GGGAAAAAAATCGTGAGTAAAAAAATAGGGGGGGGGAAAAGTTAGGGGAAAAAAAAATAAGAGGACGGTTTTAATTAAAAAAAAAAAAAAAAAAAAAAAAAAAAAAAAAAAAAAGAATTCCATGCTTACGCTAATGGTCTAGGTTCTCCGTGTAGAAATGCAATCTATGAAGAACGATCCCACTCGCCCAGCATCTCCCACAATGGTGTCCACATTCAAACACATTCTTACAACCTCTGGTGTTAAAGGGTTGTTCCGCGGTGTGATTCCCCGCATCGGCGTTGCAGCATGGGCCACAATCTGTATGGTTGGATTTGGTGACACCGTCAAGGAAATGGTGAAGTGATACGTCCTGGGCTACTTAAGTACACCGTTCCCTGCGCGATACCCTACGCTATATTTTCCCACAAGCTCATAGAATGACGTCCATGGATGTCAAAATCAATATTCCCAGATATTGTATTTGATAGGCAAATATATATTCCCATGTGCACCAAGGCTTGTATGGTTTTTTTTAAAAAGAATATTCATACAGATCAACGAAGTCCCACATCTGACACTTTTGATTAAGTAAAATCTACAAAGCGTTTTCAGCCCCAGGGCTTCAAATGGAATTCCAGGAAGTTTTATCAACGATTGTATCGAAATAACACAAACTGTTTTGTGAAAATGATGAAGTTCTAAAGTTTTCTAGCCTTTTCGATGGCTATATGGGACTTCGGAGATGCAGATCATTCTAGAGTTTCTAGAATGTTTGAGGCCAGGATTAACACTTGAACTTGATATATTGTCCAAACAGATGTTTTGGCAGCCTTGCACTTTGAGACGTATACCAAGTTTATGGATAAGCAGCTTATGTGAGGTGCTCAAATGTAGAAGACGCTCAAATAGCTCGGAATAGCCGGACCCAGATTGCTATCAAGTCATCCCCATTTCAACGGTGATATATAGACTTCAGGAACAGATACAGCCGACAGTGTGGGTTGTAGAGCCGACTATGCTTAATTCATAAGGGTACTGGTTCGAATTTTATTGCCTATGTGCAACTTTAGAAACTAGTTGGCTGTCCTATGATGCCGTCGATAATGGGTAAAACGTGCATATGCTACATATAGTCAGAGTAAAAAGCTCAATTTGAATCACCTGCCAACACCCAACTCTCGCATTGACTCCCCCAGTACGGATTAGAGGGGCAGTTGGTTGTCATTGGATCGCAGCTTTGGTTCTGAAGCAACTATCATCTTGGCATCTGCACACAGCCTCGATTGTCGGCTCTACTCCGTACCTATCTGTAAAACCGTTGATGCCCAGCAAACTGCAATACAACCCCACCTACTCCGTACATAGCTTCAAATACGACTGTAGAATAATATTTTACATAAGTACTGAAATTCACAGACACCTCGCCGTTTTGATGCTCAAGTGGGTAAATTCTTTGTTACTTGGCAAAATTGCGATGTGGCGGACTTGGCAGCTCTAGTTCCTCGAATTTGATTGGAAAGTGAACTAAGACTCATCGTTTGTATGAGGCAGAGACGAAGGACCCCTGTCTATTGCTTGGTTTTCTGGCCACTCATGGCAAACCATGTTTGCTTTTCTTTTTCTTGGTCCCTGCATCTCTACATTCTGTCACATCGCTGACTGGGACACATTAGACTGTGGTTCAGAATTACATAGGGCTATTTAGCTGAAAAGCGTGACAGTATCCTTGTCGTATGGTGCTCATAGGACAATGTCACATAGAATATGGTACCGTGTACTGTGATATACAGATTTATGATTGTTCCTTGCGCTTGAAGGGTGTTCGTTGCCAAGCCCCAACACCCGGCTGCTTTTCAAATCACTACTTGTATGTTCCCCAAAGGTGGGTGTTTATGCATGTCAGCCTCCCATTTTGGGCTAATGCCGGTCTTTAACCCAAATTTGGACAAGGCAGTGGTTCGTGATCGGAGTCCCGCAATTCCCTCGCTGTCCTGTAAATAGATCGATCTCACCGACCAAATTTATTGACTAGATAATAAACTGGCACACGCAGGTTCTTGCCCACCCACCGTCGAAACTCATTGCATATGCATTTACCCAGCTTGACATTCTGAAAATACTCGTCTCTTTTCGCAGTCATGAATGAAGCTGTTCCTCTCAACGACTATGATCGTGGCCAAAACAACGATCACGAATCCACTCCTTTGAGAACACTGTCCGTTGAAAGCAGCAATAAAGAACGTATCGATGTTGCGAAACGGCCGAAGAGAGCAATTACGCTAGACTCATGGCTTCTCGAGTCAATATCAGTGGCAGTCAGCATGGGCTGTTTTATCGCTATTGCTGTCGTTTTATATATATACGATGGCGAAGTGCGGCCGGAGATTGGTCACGGCATCAATCTTAACACGATCGTCTCGATACTTGCGACGGGGTCCAAATCAGCGTTGGTCTTTGCGGTTGGAGAATCAATCGGTCAATTGAAATGGCTATGGTTTCAAGACCCCACGAAAAGTGAAAGCCAACTGGTCAGCATACAGAGATTCGATGCGGCAAGTCGGGGCCCTTCTGGCTCACTCATGATCCTTTACCACCATCGATTCTGTTCTCTTGTGTCGGTCGGTGCCGCTGTTATTGTTCTTTTGTTGTCTTTTGATCCATTTGTACAACAAGTTCTGACATATCCGGTCCGCCCAACTATTGATTCAAGTCCAACATCCGGAGCAACTGCACCGCAGCTCCGTGAATACATCACCACGATCAATGACACGCGTGATATAGGCATTGCTTACACTGAAGGGTTTTATTCTCAGAACCAGGACTTCAGAGTGCCCCCTATCTGTTCTTCTGGGAATTGTACCTGGGATCAATTCTCATCGGTCGGCATTTGCAGCCGTTGTTCCAATATTTCCACAACTGCCAAACTGAAATGCGAATCTGCGTCGACGACCGCTATGCGTAAAGCTTGCAGTATCACGTTACAGGGCGGATTTGTTTATGATTTCGACTTTGTTCAGAACCAAACCGAACGTTTTCATGTCGACTTCGACAGCGGCATAAGCAGGAAGTTCACGTACGATACAGTGACCTTCCGGAATCCAATCATTTGGAGGCCATTTTCCTTCAACGCATCATGGATCAATCAGATTGCGCTTGGTGCGGTGGACCGCCAACTACCCGAGTTCCCCAATGCCACACTGGCTGGTGTGAAGGACCCACAGCTCCCGGCAGTATATATCGAACTTGGGCTAAATACCAGTCCCATTGAACGAAATGCGTCCATGATAGACAGGCTTTTTATCACAAACGCCACTGCTTGCAGCCTCTCGACATGTCTACGCGACTATGACATAATTGTTGACAATGGAACCCCCTCTATCAAGACCAAGAACATCGATTTCGGTACAATATATCAAGACATCACCCCTGGCGGGCTGTGCTGGACGCCTGGCCCACCTGACAGTTTGGGATTTCAAGAGGGAAGAAATTTTACCTTTTGCGAGCCTAAATTTGATGAGTTGGTGAATGTGTTAAAGTACTTTCCACTTGAGCAAAACACACAATACACTTGGAACTCCGATGACCTCGGCAAAGAAACCGGGTCATATGAAATCCTCAGCGACGATAGCTCAAGATATGCTTTTCAACTAGAACAGCTGAATCGCAACGGGTTCGAAAAGACTGTCGAAAATATCGCTGCTTCACTCACTAAATTCGGTCTTGAGGGGACGAACCAGAGTGTCGATGGAACCGTGCAAGTTACAAAGGTCTTTGTCCATGTTCGATGGCCGTGGTTGATTCTTCCTGGGTGCTTAGTCGTTGCTGGAACTATCTTCCTAGTGGTCACCATCGCTGTCAGCAGCAAGAACCGTGCTCCTCTTTGGAAATCATCCGCTTTAGTACCATATTACCATGGCCTTGAGAAAGTTGATGATGATCATAATGAATACCGGGCGTCCAGTGCCATGGATAAAAACGCGGAGAAAATGGAAGTCCAGTTGCAACGATCCACGACCAATGGGCGACTCATGATGCTACGATGGCAAGACGACTCAACATCGAGTATTCAAGGGGAATCATCAAGTACTACTACCAGGTAGTACTATCTCAAGATATTCATATCAAGGTTAATATCTACCCACAAATCGCAAAGCACAAAGCAGAGCAAACCGTGTTCCATTGAATACCGCGTGGCAATGACAATAGCCAGTCCACTCTCAAAAGTGCCACTCTGTAGAAATACTTCCAATCAGTATACGGAGTAGAAATTAAATCATACATGTCAGTCGTTGATTACCACCTGGGCGCTGGGAATTTCTGTCGCCTTAGAGAGCGGGATGTTTGACGTTTGTATCCTGAGGGCACCACTTGGAGGTCTCCTGAAGTCAAGTCTCAAACACGCAAGGCTCTAGATTTCTTTTAGGGGTTGTATAAGGACTCGAGGCAATCCATAGATGTAAAACGAGAGTGTTTGTAATATTTTGAGCCAAGTACGAGACTCTCATCTAAATGACATTCAAGTTCGTGCGAACATATCACACCAGTTGAGCAGGTTGAGCGACTCCCGCTCTACTCACACCGCTGATCACACTGTTCGGTAGACTTTCCCATGTTGATTGCCTGGATTTAGCCCTAAATCTCTCCAGTAGGTTCGTATTCCAAGATTGAAAGGACTGAAGGACTTCGAATATCATGCTTAGCACTTGCATTGGTGAAGGGGGCCCAGGGCGATAACGTGGCAAGATCCGTCGGCGCAGTTGGCGACACAAGCGGACGCGCCATTGAAGTCCTGGCCACACTCACTGGTTGAATGTTAGCATTGTTCGAGTGGTAAACTGCGATAGTATCCCCAATCGCAAATAGTATTCCGATTGAGCTAAAATTGTACTCACGTGTTGCGGCGGGCAACGCCCTCGGGGGCTGGAGCGGCGATGGCAGATCCGATGACCGCGAAGAAGAGACCAAGGGAGGCGATTGGGAATTGCATTTTGTCTTGAAGATTGGCTTCTTTGGAGAAAGAAAGTTTGTATGGTTTGAGGCTTTGAAGAGTAAGGATGTCTGAAGTTGTTTTGAAGTGTTGTAGAGAGAAGTAAAAGGCGAGGAATAGCACTGCTTTAAATATTCTCGTCGGCTCCCACATTTTTGCTATCAAGAGAACACTTCCGAGTGATCCGCTGCACATTCCATCCTCGTAGTCCTGTCGTGGCATCGAGTGAGCGTCGAGTGAGCCTCGACTGAGCGTGCTGGACTGGCCCAATTGGAGGCGGTTGGTATTGATTCGATGGTATTCAGCATGGCGGGGGCGAAGTAAATACTATCTTCAGCTTCTGGTGATTGGAATGTATGCTGAAACGTACACTTCAACCAATTGAGGCGCAAGAGTGACAACCGAGACCGAGGTGCAGATATCACAAGGCTGACCGACCTTGCTCCACATCCGTACCTACTATTCGAGAATTTGAAAGCAATGTGATAACGGGTTGCGTAACCGAGTCAGTGAGCCTTGCTGCATGGGTGGCCGTACTCGTAGACTTTCCGTGCGGAAAAGACATCCACTCCTCACACTACTCACCATTCAGCCTTTTCCGAGGAGATCGGTGAACTTCTTATCATTGGATAGGATGAATATGTGTGCTTCAATTTCCACAAATAACCCATCCTCTCACATAAAGTGAAGTAAGTATTGTTTGGGCCCTCAACGGGCCTCACACCATCGCTTAGACTGAGGACTATGTTTCGTTCGAATTCATGGCCTAGGTCATATTCTCTGGAACGAGCCAAACTGAATCGCTCAAAGTTGGGGTTCATTCTTTTGCAACTGACTCGATGGTGGCGTAGGAGAGCATATCTAAAACATGTTTTCAGCCCCCTGCATGAGCGCCCCGTGGATGGCACTCTACCTGCGTGTTCAGGCAGTGGATAAGAACATATTGGTGGAGAGTTATACACACGATGTTGTAGCTCGTACCTATTCAGAAGTCCGAGTGCAGATCACAGTGTTCATTGCTAGACACCCGAGGACACTGATAATATCGAGCGAACGAAGTGAAGTGCCGGTCATTGCAATCTCATTTTGGCCCCCGGCACCCCACAAGAATGCCCCACCCGGGGGCGGGAGTGGCGGCCACAAGCACTAGAAGCTCACGCATAAGCATTTGCTAAAGTTCGGGGCTTGAGAATCATCCGATCTTCCGTTACAAGAACTTCTTACGGACTGCACCCCCGGAAATTTTCGGTGACCCTCACTTTCTATGTAGGAAAGCGAATGAGTTTCTCATACCTTTTATGCTGCTCGACCATTTCAAGAACATAAACAAGAATTCGAGTCCTGGAGATGCCCGAAACAAAAGTGGAGAACCTTGGAAGGATAATCAGCATTGTTACTGTTCAGAGCAATCTAGATGCTGAACGCACTACGACCTTGGTGCACCTATTGGAATGCACACATTCCGGCCCCATATATCACTGCCCCCCAAAATACAATGTACTTTTTATGTAATACTATTGACGATAACATTGCCGCCTTGAGAAACTATCAGCTCTCGGATCCCAGGATACTAGTTAGTTATCCCACTGCCCTAAGCTGTCCCTTGAGTAACCCTAAGCCACTCAGTAAACAACCTGATAGCTTACCCCGTTGTTCTTCCTTAATCAATCCCTCTATCCAACTTTCGTCTGCTTCGACAGTAACTGTATTGTTTATCGATATTCTTAAAAGTTTTGATTTAAAGAGAATGTGTTCCTACATGTTACAGAGCCTACCATACACTTCAGGCTCTATTCTATTTTACCTAGTCGACAGGCCCTGTGCTGCAAACACTAGATCTTCTAAAGCCTTACTCTTACAGTCGTAAAGATTTTAATCTAAACAGAAAAAAACACTTTGAAAATTTCAAATATAAGAAAGGTATTGTTATATCGACACCCCTGCTGCCTGAGTTTGGGCTGATTTTACCGCCTACCTCTCGGCCTTTCTATCTTGATCCTGAAGCTTTACGGATTTTCAGTCTCCTCTTACAGTACCTACATTTACTATGTAACCTCCTAGTAAAATTATGTACCTCTCCTAATACGGAGCGTCTACAATCGAAGACAGAGGCCAAAGCGAAGGGAGAAAAAGATTGATTACTACCTGAGCCGACGGCCATCGGATGTCCTAACGGACCGTCACGTGACATCTCCAGTAGTGTTAGCTGCCCCCCCCCCCCCGGCCAAATGCATTTTCCCTCGCATTTTCTTTTCTCAGTAGCCTCATTGTGACCTCACTTTATCTAACGGGCCCTATAGAACTGTCTGACGATGATCGATTGCCAAAATCAAGCCCTGGATACTTAAGTAGCTCACTGTATTCAGCAGCGATTATTTTTCTCTGGCCAATGAGAGAGAGAGATATGGAGAAGCTGGCGGAATCGGTGATGTCTACTATATAAGGCATCAGGGATATCGGATTAACCGAGGGGGTGTTGATATAACAGTCCCCCAAATATATTCCCTTTGGACAATATAAACATTGAATTTCTAGATTCACAAATTTTGAAGTCATGGTATAGAATATAATCAAGTGGCAGTATAGCTTTAGAATTTAGAATATATGGGGTTTAATATCCTTTTTCGGATTTTACTTAATCGAAATGCCTGCGTCGTAAAGATATATTAGGCTCTAAATTACTAAAGTTGTTCTTTTTTTTTGCTCTTCAATGGATTATCTCCTTCTTCAACAAGCCTAAACCCTTCGACCAGAAAAGTCACTTCTACTCAAGTAACTTCCACATGATATAAGCTAAGGGTCTAGAATGTATCCAAAGTTTCTCAGAGATGATGCCAATTAAAAGGAGAAATGACAGTGTATGCAATTGTACTTGGATATTTCTGGAAACCCTAATATGGCAAACCGAGTAAACCCCTCATTCCCCTACAGGAAGAGGCTACAGGCCCAGCTTGTGCTATTTAAGCCTTCCTGTCGTCGGGTCAATCTCTTGCCGCCCTTTGAAATCTACTTTCAGAGATTTGGCACCGCCTCGAATAACATTCTGGAACCAAACGGGGGTTCCTCGCTGCGTAAAAAGTCAATAATATTCTCTCAAAGCGAGGTGATAACGTACCAATCCTGCGAAGAACCTAAAAATACCAGGGAGAAAGATAGTTTGACTAAGCCCACTATCGAGCGTATCAAAAATGGCGTCGACGACGGTGTCTATATGCAGCAGAGGCGTGAAGAAGTGGGACTGATTTGTCTTCCCCTTGAAAAGAGGTGTTTTCGTAAAACTCAAAACGGCCAGCGATGTGCGAACTTTGAATGCACTCTGGCTTCGCAGCTCTTCCGCAAGACACTAAGAAGATGAGCACTTAGAAATAGACAGGAAACGGTGATCCCTGGATCTTACCTCGTGAAATGCAATCATTCCTGCTTTTGACGCCGCATAATCTGCAATTCCTGCCGGAGGAATATAAGCACTCATCGACGCGACGTTGAAAATGTGACCGTGATTGTGCTTGATCATGATTGGAAGGAACTCTTTAGTGAGCAGGAAAGGTGCAAGTAGATTGGTCTTCAAGGTAATGATATTGTCGCTGTATGAACCTTCGACAACAGTCCGACCACGAGACAAACCAGCATTGTTGACTACCACTTTCAGTTAGAGATCTAAGTTCTCGCCCTCTTTTCACTTACCAAGAACAGTTGTATGACCTCTTTCGACTTTTATCTTCTCGCAGACATATGCAATTTGCGTTTCGTCGCTAAGGTCGCACTTATAGTACATGATATTTTTCCCTTGAGGCTGTTTTAGCAGAAAACAAATGTAGTAGAAATATTCACACAGCATACCAGGCTCATATGTCAAAGGGATGATATCCAGTACAACCACCCGAGCCCCCATAGCGGCGAGACGTTGTGCTACGCCACCCCCAATACCACCACTCCCACCAGTGACTACCACCAGTTCCTTCTTCCAGTCCCAGTGATCGTCTGTAACCCAGTTGTTTTGACTTTTGCCACTCAACCAGTCATTAAGAAACAGCAAGATACTGGCCCCTGTGACCAGTTGAACTGGCCTTTGATATGGCACAGCAACACTCAACTTTGCACCATGCACTAGGTAGAGGCAAGTCAATGTGAACAATGGATGAAGCAGTGTTCGCCGTAACCATTTGAAAACTGGATCAATGTAAAGGCCCTCACGGGGAAGAATCGCACCTTTCCCCGTCATCGTCGAAATCTGATATTGGGCGTAGTCACTACTGCATCTGGGAGTGGAGAAGTACGAAATCTAGTACTTTATGAACCTTTGGATACGGGAGACCTTGCCGCCACCTGCTCGGCTTGGGCTTTCTACCACTTCTCAGGAATTCGATTTTCGGAACCGTTCCTTGTCTGCGCCGGAAGGTACCCGGATGGCGGCACATCGACGCAGTATCATCCGATAATCGCCTTCACTTGATAAGCGGAACGTTCCGGTTTAAGAACTCAAACGGATTGTACTCCGTAGACATCTACAGTCAACATGATATACTCTATTCAATCATTAGCGATAAAATTCTTGTGAGTGGTTACTTGAAGTCACTTACTCAAAGCAAGGACCTCATTGGGGACGTCAGGAAGACCTTTCGCCATATCAAAAGACAGTATCGTTGAGAACTTTAGAATTCATCGGGGTCAACTCCAGTTGTAGACTTCTCTTAGGTTATATTTAGGTGCTATATTGACATCGAAGGATAGAAGGGTAGTAACAAGTCTATAACACCGATGATCGTCAATGGTTTGAGATTACTAGAGGTTGCCTGACAAATACCTATTTTCTAACAAATTCAGCCCTAATAAAGGGGAAGGAATAGACCTCGACAAAACCCGCCGCGGTTCCAACTTTCAGAACCTAACCCGCCCCGCGGGTTGGGTTGCGGGTTCTTGGCAAACCCGCGCTACCCGTAAACTTACATAAATCGCCTAAAAAGGAAGGTCTTGGCAGGTCTTGGCATGTATAACTTGATTATGTACATATATTGCCTATTTGTCTTGTTTGACCAACCCGTATAACCCGCATAACCCGCCGGGTTTCGAAACTGGAACCGTGACCCAACCCGCGGGTCGTGTCGAGGCCTAGGAACTTTAGAAGGGATTATAATATAGAGTCTTTTATAAGAGTATTTATTTATACCAAGGCCCAAACATATCTTCTCCTTGCCTTGAGTTTCTATTTCTCCTAGAGTGGCATCTTAAATATGTATACGAATACCATATATCGAGGTTGAAGAATCAGTTTGCTCAAATCTAGATAATTTATTTCGAGAGAATGTGAGTATGATTAGAATGAAATATACACTATATTCAGGCAAAATTAACATCAATTATCACTGGTTTCAAAGATTTAGCGCTGGCTGCAGTCCCGATCACCATGATTTCCCCAAGTGGATGTTGGACATCGCTATGGCACTGTAGGCACTGAGTTGCCTGAGGATGTCTCGAAAATCATTGAGCTGAGTACCTGCCAAGAGCCCAACGCAAGTCAAAGCCAACAGTATGACCCAAGAGATAGAGCGGGTTTTTGGCTTTATGACTCTCTGTCAAATAACGTATCAGTTGAAGGTGCCAACCAGAGGACAGGACGCTTGAGGCTCGAACCTTGATATACCAGTCAGACCATGTTGGAAACAGGCTTCTCCACCAATAGTGGCCTTGAGTCCAGGGATAGGACATGGAGTTCCAGTTTTTATCGTTAAGGTACCACTATGAGAATTAGTTGAATATGAGATGCCGGATGGTCGGGACCAGACGAGCTCAACTTACTGACAAACATCCAGCGTTCCAAACACGCTTTTTCAGTGCGTCTTGGACCCAATGCACGTAATCGTGCTCAGCTTTGGCAGTGACCTCGATAGAACCAGCATCACCGCATAGAACTGGCTTGAGGACTCGAAGGGCATAGTTAATCGAGCTAGTGATAAGTTAGAAACCCGAGGTGCAGAAGACAAGAGATAGTCGATGAGCGTAGCCTACTTCTCCGCAGCCATCATGGCAGACGTATGACCAGTCGCAGCATTAGGGCCCAAGAGCATGAAGAAGTTGGGAAATCCATTCAGTGCAGAGCAGTTATACGCTGCTGGACCGCCGTATTCCTTCATTTCCCAGTGCTGCTCGACGTTTTGGCCGTTACGTCCAACAACATTCATAAATGGAATAAACTTGTTGGTCTTGAACCCTGTTGCGAGCACAATAACGTCGGCGGGAATAAACCCCTTGTTTGTCTCGAGGCCATCTGCGGTGATTCTTTCAGCTTTCGCATCTGTTAGCAGGACCTTGTCATCATGCAGTGATTCAAGATAACCGGGGTCAAAGATTCGCCGCTAAGGTCGAATTAGCCACTCAGATCATTGGACATGACGCGCTCGACATGTTAGATGACAAATAAAGATATATTTACCTTGCAGCCAACATCAAAATCTGGGATAAGCAGATCATGATACTTTTCCGGACCAGCTCGCCGCATGTACGTTTCTACCTGTTTTCTTCTCTTCTCCCTGAGTTTGGCTGCACCCTTTGTCATCGGGAATAGACGAAAATCGTTCTCAGCGATCAAGAAGATGTGGAATCTGTGCAGTCTCATGGCTAATGGGACGTAGCGGAAGATCCACTGGAGTAGCTTGGGATAGCTGAAGTTTGGCGCTGGGAAGATCCAGTGCTTTGTTCGAATAACCTGGGCAAGAGATTTCACACCTCCATCCTTCACAAGAGCTGGAACGATTTGTGCAGCAGTACCTATGAGGAAATCAGCACGCCTGTCCAGCAGCTTTCTAGGTAATGTGAAGATCGATACTAACATCCATTTCCAATAACAACGACATTCTTCCCCTTGAGATCCACACTATGGTCCCAGCGGGCGGAATGGAAGATACTTCCTTCGAATTGTGACGCACCAGGAATTTCGCACTCACGCGGCTCTACAAGTTGCCCAGTGGCCGCAAAAAGGATCTGACACTCGTGGGTATATTCTCTTCCTTTCGAATCTCGAAGATAAAGAAGCCATCGATTGGCGTCCTCTCTCCAGACACTACGGACCACTTCCACTCCGAAGGTCATCTTCGGAAGCAGATTATGGGTTTTCACCACATTATCCACGTATTCCTTGATTTCCTTGTTAGATGGCATAAGCTTTGTCCAGTTCGGGTTCTGCGCAAAAGAAAGGCTATAAAGAGCGCTTGGAACATCGCAGCCACATCCTTCGGGGGTGTCAGTTTCTGGGTTAGATCAAGGTGAAGCGGCCTGGCTTACCTGGATACGTATTGATGTACCATGTTCCGCCAGTTGTGGGATGTCGCTCGAAGAAACGAATGTCTTCGATGCCGTACCATCTCTGTAACGTAGCACCTAAAGCCACAGCCGATAGGCCGGCACCAACGCAGGCTATCTGACTGTAGGTTGGAGCCTCGGTTGACGATGTAGTCATCTCGAATTTTAGAACTATAATGATCATAAACTCAGTATAAAGTGATGTAGTCTATCCAAATACAGGGCTGTTGCTCAGTTTAAGTATGACATATCGCTATCCCTGAATATCAACCTCACACCACGTCGGGACGACTCCCGTGGGTTCGGATGCACCCGAAACGAAACATTACATGCGCCAAAGTTATTTCTTTCCTACATCATACGAGAGAAAAGGTATAGGTCCTCGCAGAGAAGCAAATCCGGCTGTCGTGTCGGTGATTTGGGCACAAATATCCTCGGTTTCCGAGGCTGATACTCAGTCAACACCGGCACAGTTCCGAATTTCCATGACGTGGCAAAGGACAGTGTTCGAATGATCTTTTTCAAGTGAAACAATATCTTGGTGGTTAGCAGAACAAGTCCGTGGGTACGGGTATAAACAGCCATGATAATGCCAGTATTGCTGGGGTTAACATGACTTTTAAGCTGAATCACATTCTCTCGAACAAAAGAAAGCAGCTATGGATCTCCACTCGCAATTACAGACTGCATGGACCAGTATCATCACCACATACAGGCCAGGCGTCATCGAGATTGTGGCAGATATACTGGTTTAACTTGTTGGATTCATCATACCAGCAGCTATCTATATGCTGATCGATGTTGTTTTCCCAAAGTTCTCGCAGAGCCACAAGATACAAAGCCCTCGTCGGCAGCCAACCCGCCAGCAAATCCTACACTGTATAAAGATTTCTCTTTTCAATCACATTATTTCAATGGCTATGCATGGAGCGATACTCTATGTAGCTGGTGGTTTCGATCATTCGTTCCTCAATTTCGACCCGAACATACCCTCTTTGAATCCTTTATAGGAGATTTCTTATTTGCTCTGCTAGCACAAGAAATCTCTTTCTATTATGTTCATCGCGCCCTCCATCACCCCAGAATCTACACCTACATTCACAAGATGCATCACAAATATATTACGCCAGTCGCATTCGCTGCCGAATATGCTCATCCGATCGAGCATATTTTGGCCAATGTGTTACCAGTTACGCTCCCTCTCCATCTGAAAGGCGCCCATGGCCTCACTATTATGGCCTTCGTCACCTTCGAGCTTTGGGAGGCCGCGGCTGACCATAGCGGGTACGACTTTTTGAAATTACCACCCGCCGAGTTGCACGATTTACACCACGAGAAATTTCGTGTCAACTATGGAACTATCGGCTTGATGGACTGGATTCACGGAACCGACACTGTTGGGTGGGACCGGAAGGAAGTGAAGGTGGAAAAGGCCAAATGAGTGAACACGAGATAGAAAGGCCATTAGTTGGCTTTAATGACTGGTAGAATTGTCTCTTAACGTATAACGGGTGGGTTGGCGCCTACCAATGATGTTGTGGCCGGGCGTTGAATATACTTCATGAATGAACGTGAATCTCATGCAAAACTATCATGGAAATTAAATCCCGTCAAAAATCCCAAGTCATCCAATCCGGGTGCCATGTTCTCCGCGAATTCCTCCCAATCGAAGACAGGAAACTGGGTAAGTTCGCTAACTAAATTATCATATTGTTCGTTTGGTTGCGGTATATGTGAGGCATTAGCTTCCGCATTCGTCTGATGTTGACCGGTGGGGACTGCTCGAACATAAGCAGCCTGGAGAAATTGAACAGTGTTCTTTGCAGAGCGGCAAAATGTTGATAGGAATTCCAGGACACTGGTTGCCTCTTTCCAAGCCTCTCGTGCTTTGCCCAATAGTATTGGATCCATCACTTATGGTGTAGATAGAGCCATGAGGAGGACCATTGCTGCGGTCGAGGTATCTAGGAGTGGTAGAATTAGTATGACATGCAGAGTGAGGTGAAAAATGGCTATAACATACAGAAACCATTGTACCACCATGCATCGGAACAGTCGGTTTGATAAGTCTCTCGCACTAGGTGTGTCAGATCAACTGCAGCTGTCACGCATGCCTCGGCGCATTGACAGAACATGGAAGAATAAAGATTGCTTTGCATCTCTATGCTCTGGGATGACGAGACATTTTGTAACTCTGGTCCAGACGAAGATTCCCGTTTGGAGTATATTTGGATGAATATGGGACGGTAGAGGAGGATCTGAAGGTGCATGTATCTGTGAAGAGAGGTTAGAAACTGGTACTGAAGCTATAGCGATATGCAACACACCTAGCATGTAGAACATTTCTTTGCTGAGCAATCGCCATGTTGGGTTCCGGAAGAGAAGGCGTGGAGTGTGTCCCATTTGTCCACTTCAAAAAGCAAGGGACATTGGCCTTGAACAATAACAGTTCTCTTTCAACTTCGAGCACGATTTGAAGGCTCTTGGTGCTCAACGTCGGGGATGGCAGGTTGTCCTGACACAGTCGGCCACGCCAGGCATTGTAGACATCAGCTAGAATATTGTCCAAAATATCATAAAGCCTGATTGCTTCGATATAAAATGCCATCAACGAAGGTTCACTTGGATCTTTTTGGTGCCCAGATAGTTCTATACCATCTAGTGTGGGAACTCGGGCAAGATGGGAGGTCATGCTCGGTCTGCCGTATGTCATGCTCAATGTTCTACAAAGCTATAGGTCAGCAGGACCAACAAACGGAATAGAGAAGTGGAAGACTTACATGTCCATTATTACACATCCATGCCAAGTTCGTCTACGAATTTCAGACTCCAAGGGTGTCAGTGTGGCCAGGATATCTGATTTGTGGAGTCCCAGTCCAAAGGCAACTCTGCAGGCGTTTCCAACAGAATGCCAGCAACGACTGGGATATGGAGAGCTCTGTAAATAAAGTGCTGTAAGAAGTAGAGACTGAACCACCCCGAGGGTGTTGATGTCCAGGAAATCAAGCCCGATGAAATGCTTCGCTCGAAGGAAGAATGAATTGGCGACAGACTCGGCTTGCCCTGATGCCAGATCGGCAAATTGACAGCCTAAGGCGAATATTACGTTCAGGGCACACAGGAAAACAATTGAAGTGGGCTCCGACTCTGTCTTTGATCCTATTCCAATCTGTAGATCGGTTGGTGGGGGGATATTGGGTGCGTCTTCTCCACACCAGAGATTTTGATAGGCTGTCTCGAAGGCTGGGCGATGGAATAGTGGATAGAGAATGTATATTTTCTCGAAGAATCGTTTCACTAGGTGATCGGCAAACGCCCGCGGTGGTAATGAAAAATCCTCCATCCTGTAGGTGGTGGATGTGTCCTGAAGCTTGTTGTATGCGGACTCGGCATTACAGCCACCTGTCGGCCTTGATGGCATGCTTTGATAGGCAAAGCGCATGAGAGAGGCCGTGGATGGAGTACCGTAGAATTGAAATCGGGTGGATCTTCTTCGATCCTCCCTTTCCGCCTCTGACAGGATCATCTGGCCCATACCTGTAATGCGGCCTTGGTCCTCGTCAAATAATGGAGATTCATAGAGATCGGTGGTCTTTTCCACAAGTGAGCCAGTGTGGCTATCATTACGTCCACTTCGGGTACACGGCAGTATGTGTCCCGAGGCCAGTCCGTTCGGTGAGCTTGTAGGGACCGGGTTCTATTCCGTAGCTTCCAGCTGTAAATGGCGAGAAGCGGGCGAGACGCTGGTCCTGTTTGGTGTCATTTCTTCTTGCCTCGTGGAGCCACCGGGTAGCCGAGCTTGTGGAGTTGAGGGGCTTGAGACACGGGCTCCAGCCTTCAAGCAGTTTTCTTCCAGTTCTTTGATTCGCTGGTGAAGAGTATGGACATATCTTTTTTGCATTAGCGGTGAAATACAACAAGTCGTGAACGCGGGGCAGGCTCACTCGTCCCGGCTAGTTGACCGGGAGTTCTCCGTGTTATAAACACACTGATCATTCCGATATGATCGTCTCACGCATGGCCCGCAGATAGGCTTTATTCCATCACAGCGAATCTTTCTCTCTCTGCACGAGTCGCAGGCCAAGGCAATCTTCGGGCGTGTTCTGGCTCGTGTTTTTAGGTTTCCAGAAGCTTTCGGTGACATTCTGTAAGATCTTGATCCATCAGCTTGATGACTCAATGAAGATAGCGGATATTTCTTAGCTCGCAAGACCCTCTGTAGAGGAGTGGACTTGGAAGCAACAGTTAGTGGGTGATAGGAGCTTTCCGACACAAGGGGCCTTTAAGTCCGGGATGGTTCCGGTATCTTCCCGTCATCGTTTCCTTGTGGGGTGTAACTTTACCCCAACTTTCGGATCATTCCCGGGCGACCACGACCGCGACCGTACACGCGGCTAGTATAGTGGTGCTGGGTTTGAACTTTTCGCTCTTGAATCTGGGGATTTCCTACCTTTTCTTCACAGTCCGAGGCAAAATTACCTCACGTGTCCACACAACCGAGGCTATGGCCAACTTATTGACTTTTATTTGTCTCTCAGAATACCTGAGTTGGCGCCTCATCAGTCTCCGCTCACCTCACCCGATCTCATTTTGTGAAGCATTTGAAGAATGACGCGCAATATATCAGCTCCAACAAAATTACGCATATTCCTGACCTTCGCATTCTGGACTTTGCCAAACGCAGCATTCAGAATTTCTGGAGCCATTGTTCGAGCATGGCTAAAAGGCTTGCCCCTCGGGTCATCCATATGGAATGGTTTTGCTGGTGCCCTGATGGTCAACACCCATCCTCGAGACCTACAGAGCATTCTACCATCCACCATCGAGACATATAGTGCATGGGTATTGTCGCACAATATCGCTCATGCTGTAGATGTCCTGGCGGCTGACGACTCAACTCATGTACTGTGGATTGGACCAAGAAAGGCAAAGAATGTGGTCCTATTTTTTCACGGTATGAGACGCAATAACCACTCTCGAATTTTGCTGACCCACCAGGCGGCGGTTATGTGATGCCTCTTTCTAAAGGGCATTTGGACTGGATGGCACATGTGAGGAATGAGGCCATCAATGCTGGGGTGGAACTCAGCGTGTGTATCCTCGCATATGGTCCGTTCAAGAAAATTCCTTGAATTAGCGAAGAATATTCACTGACTTACCGTGCAGATTTGATTCCCGAAAGCAAATACCCCAGACAAATGTCACAGGGCATTCTCGCACTTGAGCATCTTCTAAATTCAGGATATGAACCTTCGCAGGTAAGAATGGGCTATATAAAGCTTACCACGTGCGGTTCTAACCTGATTGAGTGTTAGATTGTGGTTGGAGGCGATTCTGCAGGAGGCCATTTGTCTCTAAGTCTTATAACACATCTTCACCATCCCCGCCCCGAGAATTGCCCAACACGGAATCTCTTGAGCCAGAGTGGTGCGGTAAGAGGGTGTTTCCTTGTTTCTCCTCTTGCATCTTTCAACTTCAATACCCCCTCTTACAGCAGATGGCTTAGTGCCGATGTTTTGAGTAAAAGGGTTGTGCATGAATGGGGCTTATACCTTGTGGAGAGCTCTCCCTGGAAAGAGGAAGTTTCTGCAGGGAAAGGCTGGGGGATAGCACTTGATGTGCCAGAAAACTGGTGGAATGGTTTCGATGCCGTCGATCGTATTTTGGTGACCGGTGGATCTGAAGAGGTCTTTAGCGATCACATACAGCGATTAGCCCAGATGCTGGACAGAAAATGCATTGGCGACGTGACACTGTATATGGACAATGAAGCCCATGATGGGCCGTTGATGGACTTCTCAGCCGGCAAGCTTCCGAGTCACACTACCAAAGCTATTACAGAATTTGTGATATCTTGTTTCAGAAAATGAATGATACCCTGTTTCTCATCAATGAAGGGTCGCCATTATATTCTGATTCATGTGAAGACTAAATCCGCAGAATAAATCAAAGCAAAAATATGTCAACCACGTAAAATGAATTGAGAACGCGTTAATGACGATCGAGTTTTATGTTTGGCGTTTAGAATCTTCCAAGACATCAAGCCGAGTTGCTTCCCCCAGTATCAAGTTTACATGTTGCTCACTTCTTGGGGTAATCTTGACTGGAAATGGTTCACCAGTTCGGTGGTGATTCAAAATCTTCGAGTTATAAGGTCCAGCCTGCTCCACATTAGCCAGTTTTCCAATTATGTCTCCTAATCCCTTCACTTACTGCCTCGTAGTCGTAACAGAATACCAAGCGAGCAACGTTGATAAAAAGGCCCCGGAATGCTAATCTGTAGCCAACACAAATACGACGACCTCCTCCGAACTGCCAAAGTCCGTGTGCAGGATCGGTCTCATGTCCATCCAGCCACTTTTCAGGCTTGAAATCCTCCGGGTCCTCACATTCGTTGCATACCGGGATCTCATTAATCACGAATCCGACCCCTGCTGGGAAATGATATCCCTCAAATTCCATGTCCGATGTCAGCTCGTGGTCGGGAGTGAAAGGGAAAATCGGTCGCCAGCGAAGGAGTTCCTTGATAAAAGCGCATATATATGGCATTTGCTCCAAATCATCGATACCAGGCAGGCGGAATTTTTTCGCGGTGCCGCAGTGCATGTCGACCTCTTCTCTGGCCTTTTGAAATGTTTTCGGATAACAGATCGCAGCCATAGCGAAGATGTTCAGGACTTCTCTGGTCGTATCTGATCCTGCCTCCAGAAGCTGCATAGCAACATACATGACCTCTTGATCGTTGCCCGTGAACTTGGTGTCTGGATGCAAAAGAACGTCCCGAATCCATGAAGGGGGTGCTGTCCCATTTTCTACCTTCTCGCGTGCCGGAATCCACCATGACTTGTAGACCTCTTCGTTCCAGTCTCCAAGCTTCTCCCAGTGCTTTCGCCATGGCTGCAAAACGCGGGGTAGTTGATCTAGTTCGGGGAACCAGTCCACCAGGCTAGTTCCAATGCTTCCAACAAAAAGAGTGACAACATCTTGTAAATCAGCCAACTCCCTTCCTGTCTTGACCAATCGCTCACCGAGTGCTATACGATGGACAACAGAATTCGCATATCGATAATGGTGGCGGTACCACCTTTCCGGCTGGAAAAGATACTCCGCAAGCATCTGAGTACTTTCAAGCTCCTGCCATGACCCATATTGCTTCAAGGCCGTTCCACTCAAAAGGGAATGCATCACCCGTCGCTTTTCAGTCCATTGCGAAGGTGGAAGCAGCAAGGATCGTCCATATCGGCTAACAATTCCACTAGAAATGGGCATTGGGGTTCGACCATTTGTAAGGGAGCCGCGTTTTGCGATGATTTCGGACACCACACGCTTGCTGTTGAGCAGAACCCAGGTTTTAGATCCGAGATGCAGAGTGGTCATTTCACCATACTTTGCAAGCTCATTGTGCTGCATATCGTCAGTCCATACCCCACGTTACGTATGGCAAAACCCCTCATACTTACTATTTTATGATCTCGATCATCTTTGGCGTTTTTGAGCTGCAAAATATTACCAAATATGGGTATTCCTCGGGGACCTGGAGGAAGTTTCCATTTCTTTCCGGGGGGTGGTCTGCGTTTTCCGACCGGTGTGAAGACCTCTTGGATAACCAAGAAGATTGTAGCTATCAATACGATGATGCTAAAAGCGGTCGCGAGAACTGGATATTGCTTTGCCGCCGTAGCGAGGCGCGAATGAGCCGATGTACTCATTTCAAGATACCCTGTCCTGGCGAAGGTGGCACGGTTTTCAAATACTACATGTCCCGAACTTTAGAACACATTTATACTCAAGTATCAATGCAACCTGGAAATGAAATCACTTCTAGCTTGAATTATGCAGCGGATAATACGGCACCACGAGTTCGGATTGACCCGAACTCGTCATCGGGATGGTTCCGGGCCCCCGCTTGAGAAAGCGTCCTACCATGAACATACATAGACGGGGCATGCGCCGCCTGACCAATCTTTTTTTTTTGAAAGATGTTGGTATTGATATCGATTCCAGTTGCATTGATCATCTTTGTCTATATTCACAAGCTTCCTATTTTTTCCAGGATGGGCGAACACGGCCTTGATTGGCTCCAAGACAAGGCAATCGGCTGGAGCCACAAACCTCCAGTTAACAAGATTGACACCCATCATCATATTGTGCCGTCTTTCTATGCCAAGGGTAAGATACAATGAGTTCCAATCTCTTCGTCTCCCACAATTGACATTACCACAGCGATAGAGGAGCAAGGTGGCGACCCAAGTGGCTGGCCAACTCCCCACTGGAGCCCGCTGGCTTCGAAGCTGCTGATGAAGCGCGTGGGACTTCAAACAGCTGTGCTTTCGGTCACAGCTCCTGGGGCTTGCATTCTTCCAGATCGTCAAGCACGCGCTCAACTCGCGAGAAAGTTGAACCAATACTCTGCAGATCTCAGGGACAAGGAGCCAGAGAAATTCGCCTTTTTTGTTTCATTGCCCAACATTCTTGACACGGAGGATGCTCTCGCGGAGATTGCATATGGATTGGATACTCTCCATGCCGATGGAGTCACTCTTTTTACTCGCTACGGCTCCTCCAACACCTACCTTGGTCATCCAGATATTGAGCCCATCTGGTCAGAGCTAAACAGACGAGGCTGCGTGGTGTTTGTCCATCCCACTCATCCAGTCGATACCAACCCCGTGAACTCAAAGCTACCGCAGCCATCGATTGATTACCCCCACGAAACAACTCGTACGGCAATGGATATGATCACCAACGGAACCCGACTGAAGTATCCCGCCTGCAAGGTCATCCTATCCCACGCCGGCGGGACTCTACCTTACATAATTTCACGCGTCACGACCCCCATGAAAAAAGCACCAGACTTTGCAGTCTCGCACCGTATTGGAACGACGCATGACACTGCAATGGAGTCTTTTCGTAGCTTCCACTTTGATTTGGCGTTGAGCTCGTCCCCGCAGGTCCTGGATATGCTATTGAAAATGATTCCACATGATCATATCTTGTATGGGAGCGATTTCCCATATGCCCCGATAACTGCCTATCCGGCATTTTTGGAGGCGTTTGAGTCGTATGAGATGAGTTCGGAGTTGAGAGATATGATCAACTTTGGGAATGCGATGAAGCTGTTCCCACGGTCGTCAAGGCAGAGAGGCGGCACTTTGTGATCGTAAGTGACTGTCTGATGCAACGATACATTCTCCACAGAGCCCACTGTTAGGTTCAAAATCAAATAATGTAGGCTTTCCTTCTACTGCTTCCCTAGCAAGGAGAAGTCTCAGACCCTGGCCGTCTTTTCCAATTGTCGGTGCCTACGGTGCCATGACAGTATTCTTCCACGTAGTTGACTTATTGCCAATGACATTCATTCCTCTGCATCCATTTTCTCCCTCAGTGACTGCGCCAGATCACGGGTTGGTTGCTCAAAACGCCCAGCTGAAGATATAAAGGACATTTGTGATTTCAGTTGATTCCAAGTGTCCATGCTCCAGATCTGACGTGACCCGTCGCCTTCGCCAACACTCTTGCACTGGGCAAACACCCATTGTCGAGCCGCGTCGGGATCAAGCCACTGCGCTGCAGCGATGAGATCTCCCGCAATGCGTTTCGGTCCGCCAATTTTACGCTGCTCGAGGTCGGGGTATGTATAGTGGGACGGTAGGATATATGGCACGGCACTTGCAAAACTGCATTCTATTAAATCGAGCACAGTAAGGTGAGACACGAAACTTTGCAGGTTTCTCCAGCGAACTTGTACTTCGCTGCCTGGGGTCTCAACATCAGAGAATGGGTATGCGAGGTCTAAGAAACAATACAGGAGATTAGTAGTTTAGTAGCGATTATTATCGAATTTGCACGACGCACCCTTAGCTCCTCGTCGGAATCTCTGAGCGAGGAATACAATCGACGGGGTGCCGAATGACCATAGTGTCAGCTTTGCGTCAAATACAGGCTTGTCGGAGTCATCTTTGTAGCCGGTATGGGGTACATCGTGAAGAGGCAAGGCCTTGAGGGCCTGAAAGAACTCAATGAGCAAGCTCTGCGCAGTGTGGCCGGGGGGATATGCAGAGCAAATCTTGGCAACAGTTCCAATCATCATCTCAACATGTCTGGAGGCATCAGGTGCCACGAAGAATAGACTTTCCTTCTCTTCGGAGGTAAGATTAAATGGAGGATCGCGCTGTCTAAGCCGGTCATGTTTTGTAGTTGCCTCGCGTACCACCCATTCGTCAAGAGCCGCCGCAGCTTGGGCAGGAGTGGTGCGCTGTGTGATCAAGTCCATGATGATTCCTTTATACACAACCTCTTCGGTACTGTCATCTTCATCGAAAAGGTGGGGGTTGAAAACGGAAACGTCGTGGGAAGCCATGGCCGAGTGTGTAGGTGGAAGCTTTGGCGAGATGGATTTGACAACGAGACAATAGAAGAGAGGGCGAGATGAATGATACAACAATGCTGCAGAGTTTCTTGCTCTGACATATTGTTTTGGCTGAAAGGATCGGTGCAGAGAAATGCTGTTGGGGTTTGTGTCGGCAACAGGGTGCGTTCAAATGGCTGCCTGGATGTGGTAGTACTTAAGTATATAGCGGCCCAATCTCCTTTGTCAACTTTACTATAGATTTTTTGTCGCTTTACCCGCCATCTACACACAATATTTCTAAATTAAAGGTTATATATCGAAATTTTCATTATCGAAATTGCCTATATGCAAGAGGGTATTCACGAGAGAGAGAAAACAAGAGACAAAAAAGAGTTAACATAGATGTACTACACTATGAAAGGGCATATACTAAAAAATAGTAAAATTCGAAAAAGAGACTACTCCGTAAAGTTGAAGGGTCCATAAGTGAGGCTCGGCCGCTGTGTACTGCCCTAATGGAGACTTGCATGGGCATAGGGTTATCAACCAGTGGCGATGAAGCGGTATGGGGGGTCAGCTGGTTGGATATGTTGTTGATTTCAGGATTGGGCTTGGAGACCCATGGCCCTGAAGGTCATATTGTCTCCAAAGGCCCTATGGGCGAGACCAATGTCCGCGGATGTTTTGTGGCTGGTGATACGTCGACGTTGGCGAAGAAAGTGAATGTTGCGATGGCATCGGGTAATTTGACATTGCTTTAAGCATTGGTGGAACAGTCTCAAGGACCAGTGCTAGAAAATTAAATAGGCTCTCTCGCGGGCATTGGGGCGGCTGTTCAGTTGGCCTCGGATGAAGTTGCTGAGTTCTCTGCTGCAGAATGAACTCGGTAATTTGTTCCAGGCGAATGATATGGTGGGACTTGAAAGAAGGGAAGCATTGAATGAGTGAGCGTTGTTACTTCTGAGACACCACGGGTTTAGTTCATCACTGCCAACAATCTTGCATGGGGAGGAGACGCGTTGAGATATTGAAACGAGGTTCAGTGATTGTGATTTTTCACCTTAAGATGTAGGCTATAATTCAAACTGTTGGAGGTTCTGTCTGGTTAAAGCTCTCAGATATGCTTCCAAAATCAAAAATGGTCTCGGTGATGAAGATATCGCGACTATACTTTTGAGAAATCAGAGAATCAGATGTTAGCTAGTAATCAGTAAGTAATGGGAGCTTGAAAAAAAGCACAATGTAGTGAAAAGAAACATATGATTCATATAATTATGTGCTGTTCTTGAACTACTCGACCTTCGTTGCCTTGCCACGGATGCGGTCTCGAATAGCGACCACTTTGCTCAGTATCCGGCCCTTCAGTGTGGTAGCTCCCAATGCCGATGCCTGATCTAATGAAACAACTCGCCGAACAAGGATGTTGAAAATTGTGCCAAAGGCAAGAGCAATGACAGTACTGGTTAGAATGATCACATTGTAAGGCATGCTGAAATCAGGGACAGGGAGTTGAAGAAGGAGACTGGTGGAGCGGAGGTAGATTGGCGCGTGATGAACATTGTCCACAATTCTAATGACCGCAGGGGCAACGTTGAACCCACGATTGGCATCAGGCGGATATTCAGTGTATCGAAGAATGGCCTTCTCGAAATCGTAGATCAGTGTAACGGTGGATTCAGCTGGAACAGACAACGACAGTTCCAGCTGTGTTCCGCGCTCGCGGTCGATTGCCGGACGATAGTAGGTTTCCTTGACGATTTCGGACGTTGGAAGCTCGCGCGAAATTCCATCTCGCCCCGTGATTGTCGCATGCAAGGTGTGGATGTATGGACGGAGGAACCAGGGTAGGGTCTCAAAGTAGATGAAATCGACAGCGCTAATGTTAGAGGGATTGCCGAACATGATGCGCATTCCACCGCGCTCCTGGCCATTTCCGACAATGGTTCGCTCGGCATGGAGAACAGGCTCATCGAGTGGAACTTCAAGGTTCACTAGCTGTTTTGGGATCGAGAGATCAAATGAACCTGATGATGCAAGGTTGAAACAACGAGTGAATCCATCATCTTTTTTGATCTCCTCGGCCCCTTCGGTGATGAAAACACCGCGTTCGTGGGGGACGTGGAGGCATACACTCTGCTCGCCGGACCCTTCAACTTCTGCCAATGGGCAAATGCCGTTAATGGTTCGACCGAACACCTCTGTCAAGCTCCATGCTTTGTCATTTGTTTTTTCCAGCGGGTAGCAGGTGTCATCGGAGTGATAAGGCTTGGACGTGTCACAGACCAGTTGATCATTAGGCACAGGTCGCGGAATTGGGTTAGCTATGAAAAACGTCAGCAATTGACTTGGGTTGGGATGGGCAGCTAAGACACACATCGAGAGCGCTTAGACCGGTCAATGTCCAGAACCATATCTACGGTCTGCTCTATTTGGACGACACAATCCCCGTCAAAAGAGCACACCGGTTGAATGTCAACCGACATACTTTGCCAGGCGGCATCAAACAACTTGTGGCCATCGAAAAGACTGGAAATTCCCGCCTTTCCCTTGCAGGGAAGTAGTTTCAAGAACGGTGTAAGATTCTCTGTGCAAACCACTTCGCCGGGAAGAGTTCCATGCAGGAGATGTAATTGATCGACTTCCGAGTGATCACCAAAAGGCTCGAAGGAAACAACCGGTCGAGTAGTCCGAGTTGAATCTACGAAATTCAAGGAGGCGCAGAACAGGCCGGAGAGAGACTGGGTCAGGGTGATCCATTTGGCAAATGCCCTGCATAGGTCAGCATGGCCACTCAATTCATCACTTCTGTCACCACATACTCATCGTCATTCGGCGCATCAATCCAGGCCCAAAGTTCCACGCCTGTACCTCCTTCTTTACTGCCATTCCATGGCCGAGAGCCCCAGCTTTCAGCATCCCACCTCCCTGTTGTGAAGCGAAGGTGTAACTCTTTTGTGCTTGCATGTTGAAGGATCTGACCAAGTGCGCGAGGTAGATATCGGAAATGCTGCTGATCGAATGATTCTTGCGACGTGTTGCTCCGGAAGTTGAATGACGCTAATAGGGAGGACTGCGGGAGAGGGTGTAATTGGAGATTTTCATGATAGTCAGGCGATGCGATGACTATGGAGCTCCAAAGCGAGAGAATAAGCGCGACCAAAGGTAGCGAGTATAGGGAGAGGGTCGTCATGACTTCATGCTTGCCGGAGTTCGGTCTGTGTTGTTGAAGCTCAATGGATCACACAGTGAAGATGGCGGGGAAACAGGGAATGTTCTCATGTAACGTCCAACCCTAAAACAGACTGTAGAAGTCACCAAAGCACCGAAGAAGAATTTCACATTGAATGTAAGTCGAGAATCCCCCAGAGCACCGCGCCATCTGTCCCGTTGATTGGCGCGGAGGCGGTGAGCTTGGCTTAGCGCCAAAAGCATCAAAAACGAAAGACTTCGTTCTTTGCCTCCAATCAGTCCGTCGACACCCCATCTTGCCCTCTCCTTTGCTACTCATACCGGCGCAAAAGCTATTGGCATGGCGGCAGAACAAAGAAAGCTGCTTGAGCAGCTCATGGGAGGTATGTAGCCGTGTTGGAACCCCTCAACATCTCCAAGCTCCAGCCCACTTCGAGTCTCGAAAGCAAGCTAACATTGGTCTTTTTCTAGCTGACCAGCTCATGGGAACTGGTGCCCAGGGTCGCAATTCCCAGCTCTCCATCACAGACCCCAAAGTCTGCCGTTCCTACCTCGTTGGAACTTGCCCGCATGACCTGTTCACCAACACCAAGCAAGATCTCGGTCCCTGCCCTAAGGTTCACAACGAGGCTTTGAAGACAGAGTACGAGACTGCTGCTGCTGCAGACAAGACGAAATGGGGATTCGAGTTCGATTACATGCGCGACATGCAGAAGCAAATCGATGACTGTGACCGCCGCATTGACATCGCTGCGCGCCGTTTGGAAAAGACTCCCGACGAAATCAAGCAGACTAATACCTTAGTACGTTCAAATTGGCTTCTGTTCTGTTCTTGCCTTTTCTCGCGGAAAACTAATCTATTTCACAGCTGAAACAAATCGCCGATCTCTCCAACACCATCAACTCCGGTCTCCTCGAGGTGTCAGTTCTAGGAGAGACATCATCTGTCGCATTGGCCATGAGTGAAATGCACAAAGTTCGCGCGGCCAAGCATCAGAAGGAAACCGTTGAGCGTGAGCTCAAGGGCCTGCAAGATACATCTGGTCCATCTGGGCACCAGAAGCTGCAGGTCTGTGATTCATGCGGTGCTTACTTGTCCCGCCTGGATAACGATCGTCGACTGGCCGACCACTTCTTCGGAAAAATGCACATGGGATATTCGGATATGCGCAGGAACTGCAAGAAGCTCGCTTCTGAGCTGAAGGGTCGCGCTCCACCAGTGCGTCACCATGAAGAGGACGATAACCCGTACACCTCTGGTGGTCGGTCTGGCGGTGGTCGCGGTCCTCGTTATGGAGGTGGTGGCGGCGGCGGTGGTGGATACAGACGCCGTGGTGGTGGCAGATGGTGATTGGTTTTCTTCTTTATTAGTTCTCGGGGTCTTGGGCTCGAGTTCCTCTGCATAGCGCAGGCGTTTGTGTTTTTCTCGTGTGTGGTGCTTGGACGACGGTCAGGAGAGTCATAAGACATTGCGCGCAATATCCATTTCCTTTGAATCTCATTCGAATCATTATTCTTTTGTAGGGCAGTATTCAAGTAGTTAGACACGTACAGGTCGAGGTTCAACCTTGGAATTACTCAGGGGCCTTTATTATCTTATACTTTTTCTGACAAGCAAATTGAATTCAATGGGTTTAATTTCACCTGATGCATCACTAAAATACGAAGTAGACTACTGAAAATGACTGCAACATACGCAGTGCACACATCCATAGATAGCCCTGACTGGCAACATGAGCATGACAGGCTCCATCTTGATGAAACCCAGCAGGCATAACATTCGAAAACACTCCGAGGATATCCCACGTAAAAAGACCCATTTTCCCCAAACTTCAGTCCCGAACACCAGACTAGCAGAGAGCAGCCTTAGAAAAAGAAAATACAAACATGACATAAAACTGTACAGGGACATGATGTGGCTCAGACGAAATTCTACTGGCTCTACTGGGGGACCTGGCCACCGTTCGTCTGGGTCTGGATTTGGAATAGAGCATTCATCAAGATGTCGTAGTTGGCCGCAGCGCTGGGCTGGCGGACCAAGATCTCGCGGACCACATTGAGCTGAGTCAAATCCACATTTGGTGCGGTCTTCAATAGCTGTTGAATGGCTGGGGCGTCACTTTGGGAGCCGAGCACCTGGACTGCAGCGGGGAGTCCGGTCAGAGAGCTCGGAGGCTGGGCTGGCTGTGCCGGGTTCGGATTGTATCCAGGGAAGTGGGGAGGTGGAGTAGGCGCCATCGAGGAGTTAAATTGAGGCTGTTGAGGTGTTGAGGCGACGGTTGTGAGAGGGCTGGTGGAGACTTGGGGCTCCTGGCTAGCTTGGTGGGAGGGCGGCTGCACCGATGGGGGATTGGATTCCCCTGTCTTGATGACGAATATTGTGAGGAACATGCGTTCAGTGATAGGTCCCTCCAGGGAAATGTTCTCCAGGAGCTCAATGAACTCGGGCATGGCCGTGGTGCCGACCTCCATGGGAACAAGGTATGTGTCCTTGACAGCAGACAGCGGGTGCTTGCCAATCACACCATAACGACCTCGGCTGTGGAAGTAGTCGAACATCGTGTCGAACCCAGCTTTCTGGTCCGGGTGGTCGGGGCTGGTAACTGCGATCACGGAAACGTCTGTGGATTTGCTGAATTGAAGACCACAGAGATACTCGGTGGCTCGTCTGGTATCAATACGACCATCCACGAACAATGTCTGTGGGGCCAGTTGGCTCCATGGAATACGACCGCTCAGGTCGGCACCTCCCACATGCTTGGCTGCCGAATGAAACTCTCCGATGGGAGGCATAGTGACCTTGCCACGCCAGATAAGTCCATCGTCTTGGAAGTCCTTTGGTGAGTAAGGCGGAGACTCAGGCTCGTCGTCTCGTAAGAGCTGGTCAATCTCGGCATCGGCTTGCACCTTACCGTGCGGGACAGGCTCACGAACATTGGGAGCAAGTTCGGGGAAGACATCTTCGTGGTGATGGCCACCTGGTGAAGGAGCTCTGGCGAATCCGTCCGATTTGCCCTGTTGGGGCCCTTGTGGACTTGTCGGGCTTCCATCCACGGGGCTCCCTTCACCCTCCCCGGGGGCACGCCGAGGTGCACTGGAAAAGACAGATTCATTTGCACCATGGTTCTCATCCTCGATCAACTCCTCTCCCTTATGGGTCCGACGAATGCGAGGACCTTGTTCTTGGATGATCATGTGTTGTCGTTCGGCCTCGCGTTTGATCTCAGCGTCCTTCTGCTGTAATTCATCGCTGGCCATCTCTCCAGATGTCATTTGAGACAATGCCGTGGGGGAGAGACTGCCTACGAGTAGACGATCTCGTAGAGAAGTATTCTTCTTTACGTTGAACATAATCGACCGGAACTGCAACTTATATGCTTCACTGGGCTCCCCCGTCCGTTGACAAATACTCTCGTACATTGCATCTTCAATGGACAAACCAAGTTGCCTTCCCAGGTCCTCGGAAGACTGGTTGGCGCGCAAAGTCAGTGAGCCTGCCTTCAGGGCAAGGGTTACCTGGTCTACAAAGAACTTGATGAGATGGGTAGCCACATTCCTGCGGGATGGCATCAGTTCCTCTAGGGTTGGAATTGCAGGCGCCTCGCCAGCATCTTCCATCTTGGTCTCGGGAGCAGTTGCCTGGGGCACAGCTGCAGGAATCGATTGCGGGGATATCCGCTGCTGTTTGATCTGTGGTCCCTGATAGAAAGAGGAATTAGCATGTTTAGAATGATGGTTCGGTGAAAGATCAAGACTCACATTGTCTCCCTCGACAGAGTCTTCAAGTTTGCGCTTGTTGGTGCTGGACCGCCGGGAGTCGATGGCATGGTCGTTCTTCTCTGGTTCTGCAGAGGCGGACACGGCGGGGGCCGGCGAGCCAACAGGGCCAGGGGTGATCGAAGGCGCAGTTCGAACAGATGCACTGGCGTCTGTCCTGCTCTCACTTGGTCTGGCTTTGCTGGCTCCTTTCTTGCCCTTCTTGCGCTTGGATTTCTTGTCCTTTTGGCGGCGCCTTTCGGCGATTTCCTCCCATGGCTTTTCTCCGGCATTGATCTTGTCCAGCAGGACTTTGTGGTTTTCAGGTCGACATTGTTCACAGAAGTACTGATCTGGTTCTTGGCCCTGCTTGAAGGTAAGACCCATGCAGTCGTTATGTTGCCATGCTGAGCATTGATCGCAACAGATCATATCACGCTCCACATCCGTTTCCTCCTCGTATTCACCACAGATGCAGCGGATTATCTCCTCCTCTTCTCCTTCGCCTTCACTGGGACCGGGAGTGGGTTCGGCGGAGGATTTCGCATTCTTGTCCTTGGGGCTTTTTCCTTTGCCCTTCTTGCCGGGGCCTTCTGGTAGCTCGAGGTTCTTGTGCTGGCCTTTGGTGGCTCGGCCGGAGCGTCGGGGTTCATCTGGTGAAAGTCATTAGCCTCTTGTCTGGGACTTGCGGCATCGAAGCAGTGGCTGCCTTGCCCTCTGCCGTGGGATCAGGCCACAATGACTGAGATCGCAGTGTACAAAGGCTTACCGGCCATGATAATAGTGTTGGGTGCGCGTACTACAGCGCGTGGGGATAATATGTGAAGGTGGGTATTACCCAAGGTTGACAGTCTCTACAGGCACGAGGCGCTAAAGTAATACACAAGAAGACGCTTGAACAGGAGTGGTGTCTGGGCCCCCCAATATTACTTGAGAATAATTGATCCAGACTTTGCGCAAGATTTTCCTGTATTACCACAATGTGGCAAGGGCGCGCAAAAGGTGGTGTTGTGGACTGTGCAATCCCTTGCGCGTCAAATTGAAACTTGGCGATGAGCGGGGTCGCGTGTATCAACCGCAGTGTCGAAATGTGCTGGGTTGCAAGTTGACACGCCTGAAAGTATGTCAATTGAGAGTTGAATGATACCTGCGCCTGCAAATACCAGATGAGCGAAAGAAGTAGCGCAAGTGAAGGTAGGTGAGAAGGAGAGGTGGAGGAGCTGTGAGTCGAGAGGGAAATAGTGGCGCCTGGTTTGTCATCAGTCACGTGCTCAGCCACAGGTTCGCGCCGCAAGGTATGAATTATTGAGCTTCTCCAGGTTCCCCACTCGTCACAGGCGCTGTTCTTAAAGCCGAGGCCACTGCCTAAATAACACCTCCTTAATCTCCTACAGTTTTGACTCTTCTTTTACCTACTCTTTCCACATCCCAGATATCATGGCCGACGTCAGATCACTACTCCGCAATGAGTTAGCTTCGCGCAAGGGTACATCCCAACCAAACACGACCGGAAACCGAGTCACAAAGAAGCGCAAGGTCGACAGCTCAGATGGTGTGGTTCGCAAGAAGCTGCGCGCAACAGAATTGGATGCCTTCCAGTCTGCATCAGACGCACCGAGCACCGAGCAGACGACCGCAGATGAAGGCTCGGAGCAAATTGAGGACGATGTTGCGGGCCCAGAACCTCCCCTTGATGAAGACCAGGCAACTTCTCCATCAGTCACAAATCTTGCCGAGCAACAAAAATCCACAACAGAACAACAACCCCAACCTACATCGGTCGATGAGGATGAATGGGCTGCATTCGAGCGCGAGGTCGCCGAGCCCTCGCGTGCACCTCAAGCACCTGCCGCCATAGTAGCGGAGGCCACAATCTCCGCCGCACCTATTACAGCCGAGGAAATCGCCGCACAGCAAAAGAAAGCGAAGGAATCGGCGGCCCGTTCTCGGGAAGCAGAGTTGGAAGGCGAGCGGGAGGATGCGGCGCGGTTGATGGAAGAGGAGTTTGACGAAATGGAGCAATTGGAGGAGCGGGTTCGAAGACTCAAGCAACAACGCGAGGCGCTACGGAAGACTCGGGCTGAGGATCAAACGCCTACTGAGCCTGAGCCTGCGCCTGGCTTAGAGCAAGAAGAAGCCGAGAGCGAGAGCGAAGATGGCGACGATGATGAGGAATGGGATGAGTGGAGATTCAAGTGATTTTCTCCGTGGAATGACGACCCGTGTACGTGCAGAGGGCTATTGTTTCCCTCGTCTACAATGATACCCTCAGGAATCGAATGATTGGCATGCATTTGGCATAATGCCAATTGTCGCGTTTTGTACGATATAATTTTGGCTGGCATTATCATGACAGAAAAGTTACAGTTAGTTTTATTAGTGACCAACTATTGACTCTGCTTCTGTTCCTCGTTTCTTGTCTCATCGACCTCCATGTAGCTCCTGAGTCCATCCTTGTTGACTCTCATGGCCTCTTCAACTTCGGCCTCGCCTTCGCGTAGGAGATGCTTGCCACGCAAGAGGTCTCCTCTTTGTCTGCGTTTTTCTTCCTCTACCCGCTTTTCTCGATCAGCCAGGGCTTTTTCTCGCTTCTCGCGTTCGGCGCGCTTGCGATCTAGCTCCTCGATCTCTTCGGCTGACCTTTGCACCTCCGGTGCAGGGGGCAGAGTAGATAAGTAGGCCTCAATCAACGGGTCGCGCACTTTGGGCGCAAGCCCGATGTATCGAATATCGGTAATGATCGCCGTTGGCAGAGCTTCAAGGTTCGAGGATCTGTGCAGCAAGTCCAATGGAACAGATTTGAGCAAGGTTGACAGATCTGCTTTGCGAGTACTCTCGGGCTGCTTCAGACGCGAGATGTGATCGCGATAGAATTTCTCCCGATCTTTGTCTCCAAGTTGAGTGTCCTTCATTTCAGGCTCCTTGCGATATTTCCGTTTGAACTCCGGCCAATAGAGCTTTGGAGTGGCATGTTCTTGCAAGAACTCCAGGTATTTAATGCGGGGGTCGGCCTTTTGTTGCTTCGCCTTCTGTTCTCTCACCAGCTGAATGCGATCCCTCGTCCAGTTGGCGAAAATCTCTCGTCTGGCTTTCATGTTCGCTGGTGCCGTATATCTCGTATCTTCAATAATACGACCCTCTTCGATGATGCTTTCCCATGGTGTGAATGGGTTAATTTGGTAGTCATCAAGTAGGTCGCGGAAGAGGGCTTCAGCATCAGCTTCTGTCAGCGGTAGACCTTCTGCGCCCTCTTCCCAATCCTCCTCTGCAACCTCGCCGTATTCACCAGGGTCCAATCCGTAATCTTCGCCCATCGCCGCTAGTTGGTACTCCATGTCCTCTTCGGTGAACTCTAGCGGCTGGTCTTCGGCGCCGACACTTTCGGTGCGTGTGCGCTTCGAGGGTTGTCCTTCTTCGCCCTCACTGTCGGTAACTTCGACCTCCTCATATTCATCGTCGTCATAGGCTCTTTCCCTGGGTTCGTCGCCTTGCTCTACTGTCACATTGAGGTCCCCGGGAGCAGTTTGCGGTTTGGGCGATTGTTCCTTCGGCGGTTCTTCCGGCTCGCCTCGTTCCTTTCTCTCTTTCTTCTCGCGTTCGAGGCGATCAAACTCAGTGACACCCTTCAGGACATCCTCGGGAAATTTCCAAAAACTCTCATTGGTTTCCGGATTGTGGACAAATCTTCTCCCGAGCTTCGTTCGAATCAATAACCACGGTCCGCAGTTTGGAATGGCATGCTTTTTTTTAGGTCGGTCTTCAGGTCCTCTTCGTCCTTTGTCGTGATAGCCTCTCCCACCACGGAAACCCCCTCTTCCACGGGTACTTTGCGACGGGTCGGAGTGCGCTGACCCAGGACCGAATCCTGCCGGCCCGTAAGGTGTTGAAGAAAATGGAGGCAATGTTTCTGGGGTATAGGTTGGTTGTGAGATTGCTGGAGGGGGTGCAACAGGCTCCGGGACAGCATTCTGGGGACGGGTATATGTTGACTGCTTTGTGGAGGAATTATAGTAGTAAAGATGGCCTAGACATGTTAGCGTAACGGACTTTTCATACCCATCTCATTTTCAGGACCAACCTGTGGGAGCACGATGCTCTGTCCAACCTGCAGGCAGTGGGGGAGGAGCTTTGTGTGTAGACTTGAGCATGGTTAACAAATCAAAGAACTCTCCCAGTGAAAATTGGGCGCTGGAGACAGTTGGCAACGACAAAATGCGATTTGAAGCTTTGGTGTGGTGAGGTGGTCCGAGCTTTGCGGATGACAGAGGACGCGCCAGGGCGAGTTGCCTGGAGCTTCTACGTCTTCATCACCTTTGCCATCCCGAACTGCTATTACCACCAACTATCCCGGGTCCTTTATTAATCTCCTGTTACCTTTCTGTTATTTATTCACTATGTCTCGGAGATACGACTCGAGGGTGAGTGCACACCGTCAGTCTTTGTGCAGCTCCAGCTAACCTATGACGCTCTTCCCAAGACCACCATCTTCTCACCTGAAGGTCGTCTCTATCAGGTTGAATATGCGCTTGAGGCTATTTCCCACGCCGGCACAGCCCTTGGAATCTTAGCCAAGGATGGAATTGTTCTCGCTGCCGAGAGAAAGGTGACCAGCAAGCTGCTGGAGCAGGACACCTCCGCTGAGAAGCTCTACACAATCAACGAGTACGACCCCGCAATGTTGACCGCCGCTTTGGATTCAAGGCCGGAACTGTTGGAAACGATCTTGATAGCTAATGCCTTTTAGTAACATGATCTGCGCCGTTGCGGGTATGAACGCCGATGCCAACATTCTCATCAACTATGCCCGCCAAAACGCCCAACGGTACCTCCTTACGTACAACGAAGACATTCCCTGTGAGCAGCTGGTTCGTCGATTGTGTGATCTGAAGCAAGGATATACCCAACACGGTGGTCTCCGTCCGTTCGGTGTCTCCTTCATCTACGCTGGATACGACCACTTGCGTCAATTCCAGCTGTACCAGAGCAACCCTAGTGGCAACTATGGTGGCTGGAAGGCCACCAGCGTTGGCGCAAACAACGCAAGTGCACAGAGTCTCCTCAAGCAAGATTACAAGGAAGATTGTGATCTGAAGGAGGCCTGTGCTATGGCTGTCAAGGTTCTGAGCAAGACTATGGACTCAACGAAGCTGAGCAGTGAGAAGAGTAAGTTTTCTCGGGAAGAATCCGTGTGCACCGTTTCCATGCTGACGTTAGTACCCAGTTGAGTTCGCGACAGTGGGCAAGACCAAGGATGGCAAGATTTACCACCACCTATGGACTGCGGATGAGATTGACGCTCTTCTCCGGGAACAAGGGTTGGCCAAGGTCGATGATGAGCCCGAGGCTGGCGACATAAAATAGATTAATTCCCATGTTCATTTTCCCGTTCCAGATACTTGAATCCAACACTTCGGCTCCAATCATCCCTTCCTATCTTTTGCCGTTGACATTTCCTTAAGTCCTCTGACGGCACGTTGAAATTGCATTCTCATGCAATTGCTCATGTCTGCATCTGTTGTTCATTTCCAAGGTCATGACGTGGCATGCACATCGGCCCAGTCCTAATGTTGGCCACTGATTCTGCACCCTAATTTGACGATGTTTGCCATGCGAAGACTCCAGTAGATGAGTCCACGTAGACTGAAGAGACGTGGATGCCTCTTAGGGTATGCAGGTTCCAACATTCTTCTGCATAGTAAATTCTCCGACCTCTGAAGATATATATCACCCCCAGCCGCCAGGTCAGGAGTAAATCCCCCGGTTTTCCAACGTTGATTTCCAATGCTTTTAACACTTGAAGGTAGTCGATATTTATGACATTTGAGCTGTTTAATTCGAATCAAAATAAGCTCTTTCTAAGTTAAGTACAGGTTGGTCGAAGGGCAAAATCACAGGACTGGTTATACTCGCACGGGTGCTTACCCCGATCACACCAGCCACCTACCATTTCGCTCTCAACTCCCTCCCTCTTTCATTCTTTCATCTCACCAGACTTCTGGAGCTCTTTTCATGACCGGCCGGGCAGGCAATTCTTCTCTGACAGGTCTGTTGCTACGGCTATATAATCACTATCACGTGTGAAAATGAGGGGTGTTTCGCACTGAGTCCACAGTATGTGTCCTCACCCCGGATCCATTGCCCCTCAGTACTGCTCAAGTGCGCAAATTCTGTGGCCCTTCGAAAGAACAATCTGTTGATTTCTTCAGGCTCCAGCTTTGGAATTGCCTTCGTCCAATTGCAATGGGTGCCACTTTTCGCCCTGTGAGACTCGGTCTGTCTCAGCGAACCGCTCACCCAGCAAACACGGCGCTTATAACATTGCTAGTCCCCATTGACATTTTTTTAGGAGCCTGAGAGCCTATGAAACTAGCGTTACAGAGCCTACATCAATCAATTGGTTGTTGGAATTTTCCAAAGGAGATGTGGTTCTCTCACCACCCTGCAGAAACTCGATTCAGACTTGATGTCACGAACAAATAGTGAAACATGATACCTCGCTGCAGAACCCACTCGGGAACAATGATAGGCAGCGAGGAAACGACAGGTCAACACGACACCAAAACAAGCCAATACAATCGCTGTTCGCCTGCCAAAAAAGAAAAAAAGAAGAAAGAAAGAAAACACCCGTTTTGCAGATCAAAGCCAATCCTATCGCAGCAGAGTGCTCCTTCGGTCATCCCGTTCCCTTTGCAGAGACCGAATCTCCTTCTCAAGGTCCATAATGAGTTTGTATGACCGATCCATTGAGGCCACCAGGGTGGCCCCTTCGCGTTTCCACCGGTCCAAACGGTCGACTTCGGCGCTTCGCCGACGGAATTTGGTTTCGATTTTGTCACAGAGCCGGCAGTTGCTTTTCTCGTCCTCCGTCAAGTTGACGAGTCTCATTCCGCATGTCTCGCCGGTGCGATATTCATAATTGCATCGGTGAGCAAAGCTGGTCCAGCTCCAGTCCCCACAGGCAAATCTCTTTTGGTTGTAAAAACACATGCCTATCAAACTGATTAGTGCTGCATAATATGCAAGTGCAACATAACTTACTTCCTCTCGAGTCTCCGTTCTTGTTTCAGCTTGAATGCTTGCTTGCTATTGGTTGCACCTGACAGGACGTCGACGCTTGACGAATTGATAGGTTGACCTTTGCTTGAGCTTTTGAAGGGCTCAGGAGACCGCAACTAAATCGAAACGAATTGCGAATGGGGTTGTTATTCGTGAAGAATATCGATTGGACTGGCTTCAACCTCGCAAGTTTGAACTATGAAACCCGGGGGATGATTGAATGCTTTGTGGCCTTCTGAGGGCGTTGACAGGCTTATTTATGTTTCGGACGAAGTTTCTATCCCACGACTCCTAAGGTTCGTTCTCCTATGTTTGTGTCGTCCCACTATTGATCGACGCTTGTCAGTGCCCGATGGCTTATCATCCGTGGGTTCCAGTCCGCAAATTTCACATCACACCTGCCTGACGGTTAACCCGGTTGGCTATGAGCAGTTCTCCGAGTGGTGGGGACGGCATGATGGTCTTTGCATCTCGAATGGAGCCACTATGAACAACTGGTTACTTCATGGATGCATGCAACCTTCAGCCGTGGCGACTTTCTCCCCATCATGATGCACTATCGGTGAAAATCCCTCAATCAATGGCTCCAGTTCTCCAATTTCCAGATTTGACTACTGCAATCACGCCGTCGCCGACTGTATCTCCCCGCTTTCATGTGGATGCTGTTCGCATGGACTCGTACTCTTGTGATGCTGTTGCATTTGCATGGTTGATCCTGCACGGCCGAGTCGGTCTCGGCATTCGCCAGCTGTCGTATCGATGCAATAATCTGACTTTCGTGTCCAGGGATACCGTGCCCCTATGCAAGAGAAAAGCTACTGCCTTCGCGAATGTGATGGGACTCTGAATGCCCCCTGTTATCCACTGCAGAGGGATGTTCTATATCGAAGCCATTTTATGTCACCTGCGATTTTTGATTGGCCCAATATCTCACCCTCAATTAACTTTGACACAGTTAACTGACACAACGACGTGCTATATCCACAGAAGTGTGTATCCGATATTATTGTCTGTGTGATTGCATACGCATGCACCTTCCGAGCTATTGCCTTCTTACCTCACGGCTCTTACGCCTCCTGCATTTTGGGCAATCCTAGACAGTGGCTTTAGGTCTCAGCATGTGGTTGCAACCACTTGCCCCTGTCATTTGGTGTGATTCCTGCCGAGCTTTGCTCGCAGACATATCGAAATTCGGACCTGGTCTTCGTTCCAGGCCTGCCGCACCTTCCCGGTCCATGGCTATCAGCCAATGATTTCTCCCTCAAGTGGCAATATTCGGGTCACTGAGGCTCTATCATTGGCACCTGGGCCTGAGGACACGGACCACGGAATTGAATTTCCTTGCAATTGATCCTAAATGTCATGGATGCAGGCTAGATAGATCCATTTTCGTTCAGCTGATCTTTCACTCCTGCAAAGAGGGATCCTGCATTCGCCCCCGCTCATGTGTGTGTTCATCATCATCCACCTGCTCCTTTTGGCGGAAACGATAGGACCGGAATGCCGTATGGCCCTCACTGCGGACACGAACCGTGACACCTTCCACATACTGCTGAACCACATGCAGCTGCACCAAAGCTCGGAGACTCTGACGTGGCACGTTTTTCCTGGCTCCCTGCCTGGATTCCTGGTAGCGAAGGCTGGCTCGAAGGCCGTGGGTCACCGTTTAGGGATTCTATGCATACCCCACCGAGGTTCCAGATGCTTTTACGTTGCCAGTCATGACGAAAGATGAACAATTCCCGAATCGGATTGGATATTCCTGCAGGCTTTTCTGCAAGCTGCACCGCGTGGTCTGCTTTGAGCAATCCCTCGATAATGACACGAGATCGTCGAGAAACGCCTCTCAATCACGCCTAGAGCCATCGATCACTATCTTTGCTGAATTTTGGGCTAGATGTTGAGTTGGCAACCGACATCCCTGAAGGGGATAGCCCACAGCCTCAATGGCTGTCACACTCGGTGGATCAGTTCATTTCTGCGGCAATCTCGTTGCATCCAGCCCCGAAATTCTCGAATCAACACTCGAAGCCCCCCTGCCTTTTTGCCTCTCGCTCCGTCTTACCACCGAAATTCCCTCACTTGTCTTTAGTGTACCAGAGTTTCCCCTGGCAAGGATCAGACCGAGGGCGCTGGGAAAATGATGGTTCTGGTTTATTCCCAACAGGCGAGGTAGCCGGGTGAATTAGCAGAGGATTTCTGATTTGCCCAAGGAGCCGCATGCAAAATTTGCACGCAATGGACCCGGAGAAGCTGTATCTCAACGTTGAAATTGAATTCTAGGACCCGCATACAGGCTCCCACAGCGTCGGGCTCTTGTGATCCCGTGATCTTAAAGTGAACGGAGGCTCCCGCACCCTCCACACGCCTGCCTTTGGCCTGCAACAAATGGTTGCTGGCAACCCTACCTTCGGTGCTGGAAAGCCAAAATGCCACCGCCTAGATTTTGCTTCGACGCACGGGGATTGGTCTACCCGGGGACTTATCCTCATCTGCAGTCTGGCGAGGTGTCCAATCGTATCGGTTGGCTGGGATGCTAGTCATATGCACCTAGTGACACATTTCCCCACACCTCCTGCAATTCCGCGACCTGTGCATCTTACCAGCACTTGCGTGAGTAAGACGGAGTCTTGTTTCTTATTGGTAGATTGCGGCTTTCTTGACCTGGGCCTTTACACCCGCTTAACCGCAAGGTGCGAGTCTTTGCATCCTGCTTTCCTCTGAATTGGCAGATTTTTTTCTCCCGTTTTTCGGCGGCTCACCTCCCTAATCTCAAATGTGAGCCCCCATATTCTTGAAATGAGTACCTCATGTGAAAAGCAGAATTATGGCGAGATCCGGGTCTTGCCACTCACTGACCTGGTGTACCTATCACTGCTTCTAGCATGCAATCATTCTTGCAAAATTTCTGTAAAAGTTCAGCGTCTTCCACGAGCGATGCGTTGAACTTGATCATACAATCTAACCAAGCAAGGGTCGGTAGAAGACGCCGAGCCCGGTATCAAACCACCTTGCTGACAGTGTTTAGGAAATAGCACTTCCCTGATGATATTGCTATTCAAGTAGCCCTGGAGTGGAGCATGGATGAGTAACGAAATTAATATAAACCATTCCCCATAGATGAAGCTCAGCATCTCTTAGGGCTCAAAAGAAGATTAAGTAAGCATCATTCTTGATCCGATGACGTCAACATGATTCGATCTATAGCCGAACAAGGCAGAACAAACGTACTGGCCTTTTAAAGCTTTCTGAGTAATTCAATTCCTTCCAGTAACACCTTGCAACTCCTCATACACACCCTCGAGCTCTGATTTTTTTGGCTTGTGCCTTCATAAAGCTCCAATTGTCAAATATCACCTACTATTCAACCTCAAACAGCACATCTCAGTTGTATCTCAGCATCAATCACATTCCCACTCTACCAAAATGTGGAAATCACTCATCTCAACCGGCCAACAAGCCACCCACGCAAGCCGCCTACAGCTCTCCAAAACCACCGCATCCACCATCTCACACCCCTTCAGCACAACCCCAATCCCCAAGAAAGAATGGAGCCACGACCTGCTGGACCGGGAGGCACTCAATCCCGAGCGCTCAGAGACCACCAAATCCAGCACAGATGGCGAAGTAGCCAGCCACCCCTCTGCTTTTGATCCGTCGAAAACATCACCGGAAAGTGAGCACGAGGCTACAGCGGAGGAAAGCAGACGCGAAGGAAAGGATGATCCTTTGAATATGAGCCCTGCCAACAAGGATGTTAGTGCTTGGAGGGGTCCGACTGAGGGTGGTCCGGTCCGGAATAAGGACCGTGAGGCTTCGAGTACTCCTGGGGCGACGAAGAAGAATCGTGGTGTTCATGTTAAGGAGGATGGGACTCATGTATCGTACCGGGATTAATTTTTTTGGGATTTTGTTTCGAATTGATTGGGAAATGTATATACAGTTGAAATCATCTATAGATGTGAGCTTCACATGTCCACACCATTAATTGATGTTTTAAGAGTGACGGATCCACCGGCGATATACCTAAGTATAAGTACTTAAGTATGGATGCAGCTCCAACTTCACGATGTTGGTGTGATGTCACCCCAGAGCTTCAATTCCAGCTCCAATTGTAAAAAGAGATCCACTTGAGCATTTTCAGTGTACCAGTTCAATATTTATTACTTAAGTATTTGATTCGAAGCTTTTTAAAATCAATATAAGCCATAAAGTCACAAAGACAGCTCCTTGAGCATGGTCCAGTCCAAATAACATCACTGAGAGCCCTCCTTACCATACTGCATAATATCACTACCAAACAAAGTCCAAACCTTCTCACTACCAGTTGGAACATCACCCTCCAAAGCCTTAAGACCAGCAACAACAGCAGCATTCCCAATGACACTAGCCTCCTGCGCCCAGCCATCCTTCAAACCAGAGTGCACCTTACCCGCCCAATTAGCGATGAACCGAATTCCCGCTTCTAAGGGCCTACTCTCCTCCCTCGTCCCAGCAATCAACCCAGGCCGAAGAATAACCATCCTCTCAAAGCCAAGCGCCTTGATATCCTCCTCGATCTCGCCCTTCATACGCGTATACGCGATATTGGAGTCCTTGTTCGCGCCACTGGACGAAATAAGCACGTAGACCTTTGAGCCGGCCTCGCGCGCGGCCTTGGCTAGCTCAACGTTGAGTCCATGCTCGATCTTGTACTGGTTTTCGAACCCGCCGGCGGCTGCTTTGGTGGTGGCGAAGGCGGAGATGAAAATGCTTGGGGTGGGGCTTAGGGAGGAGAGCTGGCTTGCCCAGGTTGTGGTATCGGTTGAGACGAAGTTGGTCAGTTTGGCTGGTGGTGAACCGCTGGCTACGGGCGGAGTGCGGCGGGAGATGGTGTCCACGCGTGTCACGGCAGGGTTGGCGATGAGACTGTTGAGGATGTGGGAGCCCTGTGGTGGATTAGATTCTGGTTTTGGTTTAATTTGGAGATTAGAAAGCTTACCACCATGCCAGTGGCACCGACTAATGCGACGTTCGACATGTTGTGAAGTTGTGCAGGAGGGAAGTGCCGAGAAATGCATTTCGTCATATGCGGGAGCTAGTCACGGACCCACGTCTACCTTTCTTTTTCAATTGATCGTTGAATCTTTCCTTTCAGACTATTCTACCTATGATTGAGCTTTGTTTCATAGGATAGGCCTTGCCTCCATGGATACCGCTGTATGTAACCAAAGATGTGCTGCGTGTGCCCGGACGCCCAAACCTTTCGTCAATACAATGTGACAGGAGGCCAGCGCCCCTATCTCAAATAGCTCGGTATCCACTTGACTGCTAACATAGATGTTTTCCTTGATATCCAATGGTTGGTACGCTGAGGATGAGTTAGTATGCCTTCGGATGCAGTATGCGCCATGAAGTACCCGATCAGTGGCCTGTGAGAGGCGACCTTCATTTGAGATGAGCATGAGCATGAGCCTTTCGGTCTTCTCTGATTTTTGTTCAACAACATTGGGTGGTAGGCGTAGTGAATAAGTAGAGCTCCCTCCTCTCCCCTTTCCGTACCCCCCCTCTCTCTCTCCCTTCAAGTAGTTGAACTGATCGTTTTGTCCACGTTTTCTTCCTCGCCCGTAAGTCTCATCAGCGAATGAGCGACAGAATACCTACATGTTGTTTTGCTGGCAAATGAATAGGCAATTCAAGACGTTTGGAAAGTCACACTTAGTCTTATTCAAGCTTCCACCAAAGATCATTATTCTCTCGTTTCAAACCAAATTCATATTCAAGATAGCAGCCACAGCTAGATGTTTTCAAGAGACCTTTTCACAGCAGCCTCAAAAACCTCATCATCCGGATCAGTCTCCTTCTCTATGTACATGGTAGCCATTACCGCGTGTGTGCCTCCATTGTTCTCCCGCCATTCCTTGATAGTTGAAGGAATTTTGCCAGCGTTGGGTTGAAGCTGATATTTATAATATTCCTTGCCATCGTCCTTCGTCACGATACCGTCATAATCCCAACGCACTCCGTAGCGAAGCAGATCGGCCTGGGTTTTCGGCCATACGGTTTTGCCTCGACCAACCGTCGGGTTGAAGAATTTCTTCAGATCGGCTGGACGGCCAGTAATAACATTCCCTACTCCAAGAATGGTTTTGAATAGTTTCCCCATTATGACCAGGAGAGAGAGAGACACACAAACAAAAGAAACGTCTACATGTGAGTTTCAATAAGTTAGACAAGTTGCTTCCGGAGCATATATAATGCGGTGGGATACGGTACCTCTTTTTCTTTGATGTCGTCGTCACCACGTGTAACTGTGACTCAAATTCAGAAACGCAAGCTTTCAGTCTTTCTTAGGACAGGTCAATCCTAGATTTACTGGAGGGTGATTCCTCCTTTTTAAAGACCAAAGAGGGGGCCCGGTGTCTGTCTAGAATATCGTAGCAAGTCAGGTTGATTCATATGGCCAACTGGCCAGGCGCTTCATGGGATACTGTCATAGGTCCTTTTCACGGATAACGGGCGCTCTAAGCGTCATATTTCCGGTTTGTTGGTCAGCAAATGCGATCATGGATGTTTTCGCAGGAACTTACATGGTAGTGGCGCTCATTAGAATCTAATGATTGGACCATTAGGTACGCGCCGGCTGGTGCATTTCAATGACCCCTGATTCTAAAGTTGATGAGAGGCATTGCACGGTTCTATTGGTATTGAGCCAACCCTAGTTACTATCTATAGATGTAGAGCTTTAACGAGACATTTCAGACCAAAATAGAAGCCATTGTATGTGAGTGGACATCTAACTTCGGAAGGGATTTTCGCGCCTGGGTTATCGATTCTAAAGTTGGGGGGGCTCAAGTTTCAATTCTCCAGGGCTTCCAAGGTTGGATATGTGACCTAAATGATATCTCTGATAAAGATTATGAGATAACGAGACATTAGTATCAGACTCCTACCTAGGTACCATCCCACCCATATTCTAATTATTTGATCTATGGGAAGAAATCAACTAAAATCAAAAGGACTGATCTGAGGGGATGGCGAACTAGTCCCAGGCGAGGCCCACCCGTCGATGGGTCCACGGGCCGCCTATCGGCTAGCTTACTAAGCGAGGCAGTTTAGCTCAAGTTTGGAACACCTGGGCATTGAGTTCGTTGTACTCACTCCTCCTTCGCCTCTCGCTCATCCGAAAGGACTGCCCAGTTAGCAGTGGTAAGACCTGAAAGCTGATATCATACAACTCAAACTCTATTTATTCGCTCTTCAGCCAGAGCACTCGGGTTAGGGACCACGTGGTATCAAATGCGTTAAGTCGCTGTTAGCATCCTATGCCCGTTGTTGCCCTCAGATCCCGACGTGCCACTGTGATTGGCGTAAACTTCTTTTTTCTTTTTTGAAATGCTCAATCAGATCCTAAGGCCGTACATCTCATTTCCATTCCGGCGCATTTTCTCATCCCAGAAACGGCGCGTCTCTATGTGTTAGCAGTCCTTTGCTCCTTTCTTCGGGATTTCTTGTTATTGACAGAACGATACTTCCCAATAGGTTCTCCAGAGTACCGAGATTTATTTGGCTACACCTCCGGCAGGTTCCTCTACAATGAAGACCTGCGTTTACGCGAGCGTTATGTCAAATTCGACTACGATGGTCTTTTACGGGAAGCTGAAAGGCACCTTGGCCCAGGCCACGGCCATCCCATCCAAATGGTCAAAATAGCGGAAGGTGGTTTCAACCGAGTCTTTCTCTTGACCATGGACGATGGATTCGAAGTGATTGTCAAGATTCCATATCACATCGCAGGGCCAAAGCACTATGCCACTGCCAGCGAAGCTGCCACCATGAAATACCTTCATTCCAAGGGTATACCTGTGCCCAAACTATATGGATTTTCTTCATCGAATACAAACCCCGCCGGAGTGGAGTATATTATCATGGAAAAGGCTCCAGGTGTCGGTTTGGAGACCAGATGGCTAAGTATGAGCAAGCGCGAACAACATAGACTGGCGTCCAGCTTTGTTGAAATTGAGAAGAAGTTCTTTGATCTGCCACTCCGGTCAATTGGAAGTATTTATTTCAAGGAGGATGTTCCCATCGAACTTCAGACCGCGCTCTATACAGCGAACACGGAAAAATGCCAAGATGCCGAGACATTTTGCATTGGTCCCACTGCCGATTACATGTTTTGGTATGGGAGAAGGGCCGGTCTGGATCTTTACCGTGGGCCATGTAAGTGTGCTTCTGTCCATCACGAAATCCAGCTGTTAACTATCGCAGGGAATGATCCCAAAGATTATCTGTTATCGGTGGCACAGAAGGAAATTGAATGGATTCGGCGGTACGGGAAGCCGTTAGACCTCGACTTCCCTCACAATGGTGTATTCCCTGGAACAAAGTCCCCCGATGATTATCTTGGTCTTCTGGAGAAGTACGTGGCGTTGGTACCATATTTGCTTCCAAGTGCCACTGACAGTCCACTAAATCGGCCCACTCTTCGCCATCCAGGTATGTTTATCTCATTCGTGATCAAAATTGAGGCATCTGACGATCACTAGATTTGAACCCAAACAACATCTTCGTTTCCCCCGAGTCCGGTGCCATCTCATGTATCATTGACTGGCAACACACGACAGTTGAGCCTCGGTTGCTAGTCGCAGGGCACCCACGTACATTTGAAAACCCAGATGCAGAACAACCCCCTCAGCTGAAGGAACCAACTCTTCCAGAGGATTACGACACTCTTCCGGCCGACGAAAAATTCGAAGCTGATGAGCTCCACCGACGCCGTCTCATCTCTCATTACTATCGTATATTCAATGGCCACCTCAACAAGGAGCACCTTGAAGCTCTTCGCGACCCCCTCCTCTTACCTCGCCAGCACCTTGTTGATAGGGCAGGCAGGCAATGGAGTGGAAACTTGATGACGCTGAAAGGAGCTTTAATCCGCATGATCGATTACTGGCCCCAATTGCCTGATACAAAGGGGATATCTTGTCCAGTTTGTTTCACCGATACAGAGTTGGATGAATTTTCCGAACAAGAGAAACTATGGTTCGACCTGAACAAAGTGGTGAATCACTGGCGAGAGCAGATTGGTGTTCTAAGTGAAGATGGCTGGCTCGGCAATGAGCTTTTTGAAGAGGCTGTTCGGAAGACTACTGAACTTGAGGACTCTCTCATAGCTAGTGCAGAGGGCGATATGGAGGATATTGATCTCTTGAAGAAGGGATGGCCCTTCAGAGATCGTGAAGAGATAAACTGATGGTTGCACTCCGAAGTGAGACATCCGATGTATGAGACCCCCAAGGTCGCACTCCGCACAGCTTATTATTTTCCTCCATGAACTTGAGCACCCAAGTATGTTTGTACCTCTAATGGTGTATCCAGCAATTTCCTATCCAAATATACACCTTCCTTCCACTTTCTTCTCCTATCTGTCTACACGCTACGTCGCGTACTACCAATTGGCGAAAGCTACACTGAACTACAGTCATCTACTGCTGGTATCCCTGCTTCCTACAGCTGCTGAAAACGGACGCGCGGCGTCACCTCAGATTAAGCGTGTCGATTTAGCCGACTGGCGAGCTTTTCACACTTGAACTTGCCGAAAGGCGAAATTTCTCTTCGGAGAGGATTTGCTACATGAGGAGGATTATTGTACATAATTTACCTTAGCGCTAGCACACCCCAATGCCCCATGGGAGGCTCCAGAGCCCCCGGCTACGCCGGGTGGCTCCCTGGGTGTAAAACAAATCCAACCAACCAACCAACCAATCTTCCCAAATATTTCACAACCAACATACGACATTTTGTCTTTAGTGAGGTCTTTAGTGAGGTGTTTAAGCAGGGAAGGTTATATAGTTATTGTTAAAAATGAACCAGAAAGACTCGAATACAAAAGTAGAAGGAAAAAGATAAAATGATCGACCATGTGAAGTGTGAAAATAAGCGTACACCGAGGCTCGGTCGCGGGAGCTACCCCGGAATGCGGAGAACCCTCACATTTAATTCGAAACACCCCTGCTGGGACATATCTCTTTCTTACCCTTGAAACTTTGTAACTTTAGATATTCAAAATGGTCGACACCTCAGCCAGTTTGATTCCATTTGCAGAGCCACCATATGTCCGTGGTCTCCCTTCCCCCTACATTACGCCCGCCCACCGCCGCTTCCAACAAGCATGTCGGAAATTCGCGACCGAGAACCTGCTCCAGCATGCCCTGGAGTGGGAGCGCGAGGGAACGGTCCCAGAGCATGTCTTTCACACATTCTGCAAGCATAATATGCTGCTGCCCAACATGCCAGCTCCCCTGCCGGTGGATTGGCTGAAACGGCTGGGTATCAATGATATCCTGGGAGTCAAGGTTGACGATTGGGACTACATTTACACGGGAATTTATTGTGACGAGGTATGCTCCCCAAGACACTAGGAATCAAGCTTAGAAATTGACCGAGGCATGGACAGATGGGTCGATCTGGTCTCAGTGGGCCAAGTGGCTCCATGAACGCTGGATTCGCATTTGGAATTCCCCCAATTGTCAAATTCGGCAGCAAGCAACTGCAGGAGCGGTTCCTGCCTGATCTGCTTACAGGAAAGAAGCGTGGTTGTATCGCTATCACAGAGCCCGAGGCTGGAAGTGATGTCGCCAACATCACAACAACGGCAGTCAAGAGTGCCGACGGCCAACACTACATCCTCAATGGATCCAAGAAATGGTAAAATAATGCCCGAGACCGAGATGCGAATCTTATGCTCATAGTCCACAGGATCACAAATGGTATCTGGTCAGACTATGCTACCACAGCCGTACGAACAGGAGGCCCTGGAGCCGCAGGCCTTTCCGTGTTAGTTGTACCTTTGAAGAATCACCCGGGCGTGACTATGCGCCGACTCAAGGTCTCAGGACAAATGGCCGGAGGAACCACATACATCGAGTTCGACGATGTGAAAGTCCCCGTGTCCAACATTGTCGGCCGAGAGGGCGACGGCATGCGCATCATCATGACCAACTTCAACCACGAGCGCTTGGTTATCGCCGTCGGAGTCACCCGCCAAGCTCGCGTGGCTCTCTCTGCCGCATTCTCCTACTGCATGAAGCGTGAGGCATTTGGAAAGACCCTGATGGATCAGCCGGTGGTCCGTCATCGTCTTGCTAAGGCGGGTGCCGAGTTGGAATCAATGTGGGCATGGGTGGAGCAAATCCTGTACCAATTGGTTCATCTCAGTAAAGAGGAGGGTGACCGCCAACTGGGTGGCTTGACAGCGTTGGCTAAAGCTAAATCTGCCATGGTTCTCAATGAGTGTGCCCAGACTGCCGTTTTACTCTTCGGTGGAAATGGATTTACTCGGACCGGACAAGGTGAATTGGTGGAAGGTATGTTTTGGGCTTTCTAGAGTTCCTGGTAAAGAATCGACGAAGAGGAGATCAAGCTGACCTATCTTTAGCCATTCTTCGGGACGTTCCCGGTGCTCGGATTCCAGGCGGCTCGGAAGATGTTCTTCTTGACCTTTCTGTGCGTCAATTGGTGAAGATTTACAAGGCGGAGGAGAAGAAGCTCTCACAGGGCTCGAAGATTTGATCCGTCCACCGGGCATGGGAGTTTAGTACACATGCTTGATCCTGATGTTGAGTAATGACCAGTGAAATAAACGAAGAAATCCTTCATATTCGAATCCAAGTGCAGAGTCTTACAATTTTCTCCAACTAGTATACTCCAGGGCTACTCGGACGAGTACCAGGTACCTGCGTCCAGTATGGAATTAGACTTCCCACGATTGGCTGAGAGACCCACCGACGTCGGCAGACGCTGCAAAGGCCGAGTCACGTGATAGGTACTGGGCCTCCGAAAGCGGCTAGGGAATTCGGATGAACTCCGGGGGCTTATTGCCACGCAGAACGGGAGGAAACAAGACCCGATTGGCGGCACAAAAGTTAACGCCACGCCATAAAACCCTGTCCCTCCACGCACACATGAGCACGCAATCGATCTGGTGGCCAATCGCAATTGCGGCGATCTAAATATTTGATCCCCGCGGCTCACTATCGCTTTCCCCAATATCTTACCTTCTTTTTCTTTTAAAAAAGATATCGATCTGGTATCAAGGGAGAGCTGTGTTCTTCCTTTTCCAATTGATATCTAATTCCTGTCGTTCCGGTGTCAGTTCATACCTGATATCAAGATATGGGTTCTTCCGTCCCAGCTTTGTCGGCCTTGAACGGCCCGACTTATGTCACTGCTCAGACATTGATCCAGCAAGTCACATACTTGCTCAGTGACAAGATCTTCTCTTACTCACCCGAGACTTTCGATCTTGACGCCGCACTTAAGGAATGGACTTCCAAGAGCGAGACTAACGCCAATGGCGAGTCTCCCGTGGTCAAGGCTCTCGAGACCCGCCAGGGTGCCGGTAACCTGGCTCTGGGATACCTCTTCTCCCAGGACTTTGATCTGAAGAAGCGCCACATCCCTCAGGGTATCGTTGCTTCATCAGCAACCCTCCCTTACATGCGTGCTGCGTTGGAGCAGCTCTCTCTGCTGTACTCCGTTGCCAGCCCTGTGGCCGCCCACGTTGCCGCTGTTGACTACGCCGGCGAGGATGGCCTGGTGTCCGACTATGCCTCCGCTTTGTCTCTGGCCGAGGACCTCGGTCTGGGTCTCGTCTCCAGTGGATCCGTCCACGAGTCTCAGCACATGGCCCTCTTCACCACTTTGCTGTCTTCCGTCCTTCCTTCTCTTCACATCTACGACGGTGTTCGTGTTGGCCGCGACACCACTCGTGTCATTGATGTGCTCGACAAGGAGGGCCTCACCCGCACCTACGAGACCGTCCGCAAGACTCTTGATGAGTCTCGCAACCGTCACCTCGATGCTCAAGGCAAGGTTCTTGACATTCTGAAGTCTCTGAACGGTGAGCTCGGCACTGAGTACGCTCCCTTCGAGTACCACGGTCACTCGGAGCCTACCTCCGTGTTGGTTGCCTTCGGTACCGTTGAGGCTGCCCTCACTGCTCAGATCGCCCGCTCCCTCGCCAAGGACGGTGTCCGTGTTGGTGTTGTGAATGTCCGCGTGTACCGTCCTTTCATTGAGGAGGAGTTCCTGCGTGTTCTTCCCAAGTCTACACAGACTGTTGGTATCCTCGGACAGGTTGCCACCCAGCAGGCCGTCCAGGAAGAGGGTGTCCACTCCGCTCTTTACGAGGATGTCCTCGCCGCTTTGACCTTCGCCACAGACCGTGAGCAGACCCCCACTGCTGTCGAGATCAAGTACCCCCGCGCCCAACGCTGGGATCTGATCTCGACCGCTGCTGCCTTCCAGCGTGTCTACGACCAGCCCATCCTCACCGTTGACGGCGAGACTAACGCTTCCCTGCAACTGCTTGACCCTGCTTCTGTCCAGGAGTACACCTTCTGGGATGTCGATAGCTCTGTCACCGTCGAGGCTGCTCAGACCCTCGGTCAGGCCCTCGGTGCCGACTCCGCCAGCAACGTTACCGTCAGCAAGGCCCACGACAACCTTGTGCAGGGCGGCGCTGTTCGCATTGATATTCGCAAGAGCTCCAAGATTGTTGACGCTCCCTACGCCGTCACTGCCGCTGACGTCGCTTACGTTGGTGACATTGCTCTCCTGAAGGACGTCGATGTTCTGGCCTCTGTCAAGGACACCGGAAAAATCATCGTCAGCGCCCCTGGTGTCAAGGATGAGGACTTGGAGAAGAAGCTCCCCGCCAACTTCAAGCAGGCTGTTGCCCAGCGTAACATTCCTGTGTTCATCGTCGACTCCTTGGCTATCGAGAACTCTGCTGATGACCTCGTCCTCCAAGCTGCCTTTGTGCGTGTCGCACTCCCCGCACAGGAGGGCGTTGCCACCAAGAAGCTGTCTGCCATCACTGGCAACGGCGATGCTCTTGAAGCCGTGACCAAGGATCTTGAGAAGGCTCTCCGCCAGATCGAGGTTCCTGAGTCTTGGAAGGAGCCCGAGGGAGTCACTGAGATCGAGCAGCTCCCCAAGGACATCACCACCAACAGCTTCGTTCCCTTCGACAAGAACGAGTCTGAGCCCCCCACCCTCCTCCGTGACTGGGAGACTGCTGCCCGTGGTCTGGCTTTCAAGGAGGCCTACGGAACCCAGGATGCCCTCCGTCCTGACCTTGCCCACAAGACCTTCACCGTCCACGTCAAGGAGAACCGTCGTCTCACCCCCACCACTTACGACCGTAACATCTTCCACATCGAGTTTGACCTCGGCAACACCGGTCTCAAGTACGATATCGGTGAAGCCCTTGGTATCCACGCTGAGAATGACCCTGAGGATATCAACAACTTCATCGCATTCTACGGCCTGGACCCCGATGCCATTGTCGAGGTGCCTAGCCGCGAGGACCCCGCCGTTCTGGAGAACCGCACTGTGTACCAGGCGCTGATCCAGAACGTCGACATCTACGGTCGTCCCCCCAAGCGGTTCTACGAGGCCCTTGCCGAGTTCGCCACCGACGAGAAGGAGAAGAAGGACCTCCAGACCCTGGGTGGTCCCGACGGTGCCACCGAATTCAAGCGCCGCGCCGAGGTCGACACCGTCACCTTCGCCGATATCCTCCTGGAATACCCCTCCGCCCACCCCGAGTTCCACGAGATCGTCCGCATCGTCGGCCCCCTCAAGCGTCGCGAGTACTCCATCGCCTCCTGCCAGAAGGTCACCCCCACCACAGTCGCTCTCATGATCGTCGCCGTCAACTGGACCGCCCCCAACGGCAGCGACCGCTTCGGTCTGGCCACCCGCTACCTGAGCAGACTGCGCGTCGGCTCCCCCATCACCGTCAGCGTCAAGTCCAGCGTGATGAGGCTGCCCCCCAAGTCCACCCAGCCCCTCATCATGGCCGGTCTGGGTACAGGTCTTGCGCCCTTCCGCGCCTTCGTCCAGCACCGCGCTCTCGAAAAGGCCCAGGGCAAGGAAATCGGTGCCGTCCTGCTGTACATGGGCTCCCGCCACCAGCGCGAGGAGTACTGCTACGGTGAGGAATGGGAAGCATACCAGGAAGCTGGTGTCATCACACTTCTTGGCGCTGCCTTCTCCCGTGATCAGCCTGAGAAGATCTACATCCAGGACCGTATGCGTCAAACTCTCCCTGAGATCATCCAGGCTTACATCCGTGAAGAGGGTGCCTTCTACCTGTGTGGTCCTACCTGGCCTGTGCCTGATGTCACTGCCGTCCTTGAAGAGGCTATTGCCACTGAGGCTCGCAACACTGGCAAAAAGGTGGAGACTCGTAAGGAGATTGAGAAGCTGAAGGATGAGGAGCGTTACGTTCTCGAGGTTTACTAGATGGTTTTTTTCATTTGCATCTCATGATATCTACGAGCAGTCTTTTAGGTTTTATTGCCCCCTTTGATCCTTTTGGTTCAGCGCATCTTATAGACAAAATACATTTCGTCGCATGATACATTTCATTGAAAATAGTAAAGCAAATAAGTAGAAAAATAAATGGAATAGAATGTATTTTTTGGGTATCTGCTCTAAATACAATGCATCTGCACGTGTGCAAATACCAAGTCGTATCCAAGTCGTCTATACATACATCTTTAAATCATGCAACGTTAAATCAAGCCCGAGCAGCAGGCCCAAACTTGGTTTTTCCATATGCGCCACCTTTCAACTTCCTCAACTCCAATGCCTGCCGATAAGGCGGCGCAGTAGGCGGTTGAACAGGATCCAGGTTCACATAGTCCGGAGGCAAAGTGTAAGTAGCATCCGAATCCCAAGCGGAGAGATCACCACATGCGATGAATGAAGGAATCCACCGATTCTCAACAGCGAACCTATTCGTCAATTTCTGGGGCTGATCCGGCGCAAAAGTCGTCGTTTGCAGATGCCGAACTTCAGTAGTATGGTTGGGCGCGGAAGCTTTTGAGATGGAAGTAGTCTCACGAGAATCCGCAAGCTGATCAATCTCTTCACGGACCTCAACGCCAACATCCCCATCTGTTGACACAGGCACTGGGGCCGCGGCACCTCCGAAAAGCGGGTTCTTCAATGCGGCCATTCCCACTACGCCGCTGTCGCTGACGGGTGGGATGAAGCCCTCGCAGACAACGAATGCTTCCAGACTGCTGGCGCGACTACTCCGTGGCTTTGCGACGCTCACGCGCTCGAAGACAGTGCGCAGCTGGGCGTAGAGAAGGTCTACGTCGCGACCTCTGAAGATCTTGGCGACAAACTTGCCACCTGGGCGTAAGACGCCCATTGCCAGGTTAAGGGCTGCGTACAGAAGTTGTGACTGGATATAGATATCCAGGTCGTGGAGGCCTGTTACATCGGGGGCACCGTCTGAAATGACCAAGTCGACGGGATGGGGTTCCCTGATGGCCTGCGGGGCAGGAGAAGGGGTGTCAGAGGGTGTGGCAGGTTGTTCGTATGCTTCTGGGTCCAGGGCTCGTAGAAGAAGAGGGATTGTAGAGGGGTGTGTGATATCAGCTTTGAGGGTAGTGATGCCTTCGAGGGGAGCCATGGGCTGCAAATCGATAGAGACAATCTTGACGTTTTTCCGGGGTTTCAGTTCAGCGCTTGAGGGCTCGTCGCAGTCCATTTCATCGTCGGCTGGCTGCGTGCCTTCTAGCCCTTGTTGCTCTTTCCGCTTCTTTTCTAGCCATGCTCGTCGCCCGAAGCTCTCGCCTTTGATCAATACTCGACTGAGAACTTGGCTCCAACTTCCCGGTGCAGCGCACAGATCCACAACTCTTGTTACACTGTCTGGGTTTTCGTGCTCGAAGAGGTCGAATCGTTCGTCGATTTGGATAAGCTTGAAGGCGGAGCGCGCGCGCCAATTCTGCTCCTTAGCGAGGCGGTAGTAAGCATCTCGCTTGTCCTTTGAGGATTTACCCATTGCAAAAACAAGTAGGTCGTGGAAGAGTCTCAATTGGCCGTCGGAGTGGGTTGAAATTGCGATTGAACGTGGGGAACGAAAAGATAAGATTCCAGGGCGGTCTGAATTTTCTGCCGCTTTTTTTCTTTGCGAATCTGCTGCTGCTGCTCACGCTTGTCAACTTATACATTCTGTAATACTCAGAGTTCAATTCACCATGGGCCAAAAAAGAGGACGCGATCCCAAAGCCCAAGCGGCGAAAGCAAACAAGCGCACGAAAGCCGTCAAGGCTGACGGCAGCGACGATGAGCGCTCCGTCGGAGTTGAGGACCTCAACTGGAAAACAGTTGCCATGCCAGACCGCATGGAGGACGCCGAAGGTTTCTTTGGACTCGAAGAAATTGACGGAGTCGATATCATTAAGACTGGTGGAGATGTTCAATTCAAGGTAGGAGGCACCAATCTCGCACAGGATCACAGGCTCACAGAAATGTTCATGATTAGGCCAAGACCGGGAAGCCAAGAAAGTCAATCATCAAGCCTCCGTCCGAGGACGACAATGGTGAGGAGTGGGGTGGATTCAGCGACGAGGAATCATCCGAGAAGACTGCCGCTGCTGAGAAGACCTCCACCGAGGAGTCCGCCAAACCGGAAGTGAAGAAAGCCAAGGACGACAAGCAGTCCAAGAAGGAGAAGGCCAAGGAGCAGCAAAAAGCAAAGAAGGAAGACACAAAGACCAAGGAGCAAAAACCTAAGGACCAGAAGCCCAAGGATTCAAAATCAACTCAGGACCGGAACATCAAGAGCGGACTCTCATTTGCTGCCCTTGAAGAGGCTGAGGATGATGATGAATTCGACGTTTCAGCTTGGGACTCCCTCAATCTCTCTTCCGAAATCTACACTGCTCTTTCCAAGATGAAGTTCAGCTCACCGTCAGCTATCCAGAAAGCTGCTATCCCAGCTATTCTCGATGGCCACGACGTTGTTGGAAAGGCTTCTACTGGTTCCGGTAAGACTTTGGCGTTCGGTATTCCTGTCATTGAGCACTATTTGGACCAGAGGGGAAAGCAGGGAGAGAAGGAGGAAAAGACCAAAACCCCCATTGCATTGCTACTGTCTCCTACCCGTGAATTGGCCCACCAGCTTGCCAGGCACCTCGGAGAGCTTATCGCCAATTCCCCCGACACCAACGCCCGTATCTCCCTGTTGACTGGTGGTCTCTCCATCCAAAAGCAACAAAGGCAACTCGCCTCAGCAGATATCGTCATCGGAACACCTGGTCGTGTGTGGGAAATTCTCAGCACGGGAACTGGATTGATCCGCAAGATGCAGAAGATTCGGTTCTTGGTTGTTGATGAGGCCGATAGGCTTCTGAGCCAAGGAAACTTCAAGGAGGTGGAGGATATTCTCGGCGCACTTGACAAAGAACAAGCCGGTGATATCGAGGATATGGATGAGGAGAAGGAAGAAGAGCCCACTCAAAGACAGACTCTTGTCTTCTCTGCTACATTCCACAAAGACCTTCAGCAAAAGCTGGCAGGCAAGAGTCGCTGGACTAGCGGAGATATGTTGGACAACAAGGAATCTATGGAGTATCTTCTGAAGAAGTTGAACTTCCGCGAAGAGAAGCCCAAATTCATTGATGTGAATCCCGAGTCCCAAATGGCCACTGGTCTCAAAGAGGGAATTGTGGAATGCCCTGCCATGGAAAAGGTACATTGGAATCTCTCACGAATCCCCCGAGACTTATGCTTACATTGATTAGGATCTCTACCTCTACTCAGTTCTGCTGTACTACCCCAAGCACCGCACCATCATTTTCACCAACTCCATTTCTGCCGTCCGCCGTATCACCCAGTTGTTGCAGGTTCTTCAACTCCCCGTGTTCGGGCTCCACTCCAACATGGCCCAAAAGGCCCGACTTCGCTCCGTGGAGCGATTCTCCTCACCCACTGCCGACCCAAGCTCTATTCTTGTTGCTACCGACGTTGCTGCCCGTGGTTTGGATATCAAGGGCATCAACTGTGTGATTCACTACCACGTTCCGCGCGCAGCAGACGCCTACGTCCACCGATCCGGTCGTACTGCACGTGCCGGCGAGTCCGGAAAGAGTATCCTTATCTGTGCCCCCGAAGAAGTCGTCGGCGTTGCCCGTCTTGCGGCCAAGATCCATTCTAAGAGAACAAAGGGTGAAGCAGATGACGCGCCCAGCAAGAAACTTCCCCTCGAATCTCTTGACATCGATCGTCGGGTAGTGGCACGTCTCCGCCCCCGCATGACCCTTGCCAAGCGCATCACCGACTCCACTATTGCTAAAGAGAAGGTCAACACCGAGGACAACTGGCTTCGTGCCGCGGCTGATGACCTTGGTGTTGAATATGACAGTGATGAATTTGATCAGTCCAAGGGCAAGGGCCGTGGTCGTGGTGGTGGTCGCGAGCGTCGCGACAAGGAAGCTAGCGAAATGACTAAGTCCGAAATGGCCGGTCTTCGTGCCGAGCTCAAGCAGCAGCTTTCTCAACGGATCAACATTGGTGTTAGTGAGAAATACCTGACCGCTGGTCGCATTGATATTGATGCCCTTCTTCGTGGGGAGGGCAACAAGTCCTTCCTTGGCCACCTCGACCCTTTGACTTTCTAATTGTGATCTTAAGTGAGCATATGGGTTTGTAAAAAGCATGTGATATAGTTTATACCAAAACAATGAAGCCTTGAATACGTTCACTACATTCCTTGTACTCCGTACTGAGTGCGGAGTATAAAGCCGAGCTTCGGACGTGGCCGATAAGACCTATCAGATAACACCCAGACCAGGATGCGCCTAATTGGAGTTACATGCAGCTTGCAGCTATTTACCTAATTGCCTAACTGCATTTCCCCTCTTGTTTTCAAATGTTCCCCTCCTTTCATCTCCAACCTTCCAACAATGAACCCCCAGATCGAAGAACTACTAGGCTTAGAAGCCGTCCGCTCCAGAGCTCATGCCGTCCTCAAGTTAGCTGAGCAGGGTCGTCTCAACCACTTTAATTACCATGCTGATCGGATGGAAGATGCCACCGACTATGTGTTGAAACTCATCCAGGTATGCCCTGTGATGCTCACCACGACGCATCGCATCTTGTAATAGCTAATCCCCTCCATAGCGCGACTTCGGTCCGGACAAGTATCACCTCATTCCACCCCATGGCCGTTGGCAGCATTTCGAAGTTGGCGGGGTTCCCCGCATAGACAACCTCCTCACTGAATGGGACCAGCAGAACCTAGACACATTGGAAAAGACGCGCCGATTGGTAGATCTTTTCTTCGTCTCTGTTCTTCTGGACGCAGGTGCTGGTGATTTCTGGCGCTTCCAGGAGCCGGGAACAGGGCATACCCTTAATCGGAGTGAGGGGATTGCGGTGGCGGCGTTGCACATGTTCCTCAATGGTGACTTTGCAGGTCCAGATTCGCCGTCTAAGCATACTGCGAATGGTAGATATACCTGGCTCAGCTAGAGTTTGGGGATCATGGCTGACTGACGCAGGCGAGGCACTGCGCAATATTAATATTGAGATATTGTCTCGGGGACTCCAGGTTAACACCGAAAATAACCCCATGGTCGGGGTTGGTGCCCGTACAGAGATCATTCGCAAGCTTGGAGAGTCCTTGGTCAACCTGAAAGAAGTGTTCGGTCCTACTGGCCGACCAGGAAACCTTGTTGGTAAGTCAAATGAATCTGCCGAGAGCTTTCAAAGCCCTTTTGACGCTATCCTCGAGCCGAGCTAACAAGAGAATTGAAGACTACCTCATCGCACAATCCAAAGAAAGTGGCAAGCTTGACTACAAGGATCTCTGGAACGTTCTCCAGCGCCTCCTCCTTCCAATCTGGCCATCTGACCGGACTCACGTCGAAGGATACCCAATCGGCGATGCATGGCCCTTGCGGGTCCTCGAGCAAGCTCCTGGCGCCGATTCCAGGCCTTATCCTAACATCCAGCCCTTCCACAAACTCACACAATGGCTAGCATATTCTCTGCAGGTGCCATTCTCCCGTCTCCTGTCCGTTTCGTGGACCAACACCCACCTGGGAACAGGTCTACCGGAGTACCGGAACGGAGGTATGCTGGTAGACATGGGTGTTCTGGAGCTGAAGCCAGAGGCTCTACAGCGCGGCCTTACTCTCTCAGGCGGTGCCTTACCTTCTTTTGGTGCGGGGGATGATGAGATCGTGGAGTGGCGGGCCATGACGGTCGCCCTTCTTGATGAGATGCATGCCAAAATCCTGAAGCGGCTTGATGGCGTCGAGTTGTCTCTTCCGCAGGTCCTCGAGGCGGGCTCGTGGAAGGCAGGCCGTGAGCTTGCTGCTGCCAAGCGGCCGGATACCAAGTGTAGCCCTATTTTGAACTTTGGCGATGGCACTTTGTTCTAAGATGGATTCGAATTTGGAATATGGCCATAAAAATTGGAAACTCTGTGTCCAAGCACAGTGAATCGATACGTATAGCCGTTTGTGCATTGATCTTCCGTATATCCCGGTTTATAGACTTACCTAGAACCTAAGCTCATAGTCATTCTCCGACCCTCAGAATCGCATCTCAACGACTGAAATTGAATGCAAGGAAAGCCTCTCGACAAGGAGGCAGAAAGAAAGGGAGAAGTATGCAGTCGCCAGGGCACTCGGCATGCCGATGTCTCGGCATACCGATGCGCCGATAGTCGGCTGTTTAGGCCCCACCCGCTGGACCCGACGGATGAAAAATCGGCGGCTTAAAAAACGTGCTGCATTGTTTCCAGAGCGTTGGGTCTGGTCTTGAAATACTTGATCTTCGCAAAATACCCTTGGTTGTGCGGAAACATCGTGCGGTATAGCATATATCAAAACCAGCCCCATCCTGGACTCGTACTACGAGATCGGCGCCCCTAACTCAAAATTTCCCTTCAGAAAATCTGAAGATCTCTGACGTCCTATCAGGTATGCACACCAATATGTAGCCTGCAACCCTGCAGCCGTGCAGACGTGCAGCCCACACTAACTCAAGCAAAGCAGCCATTATACTCGGCCGACATCGGGCTTCATATATACTCTCCAAAATGTCCAACATCTCAAAGATGGCGGGACGTTTGCTCCGGCCACAGGGTGCCTTTACTTTCAAGGCATCCCCCCAGTCGATTGCCCGCCTTCACCAGCAAGGCCCAGCACGCTCTGCAGTGGTCCACGACCAAGCAATTCCCCACAGTCAAGCCCATGTACCTGCAAGCGAAACCCCATTCATCCCAACATCAAAATCACAAGCACCTACGTCACAATTGTCCGAAAGTGGAGCTGCCAACCTCGACACCCTAGTCTCTCACATCCCACTCGTGCAATCCCTCCGTGATGCGCACAGCACATACAAGGAGTCCCGGCCTCACCTTGCCATCCCACCGGCAATCAGACAACACCACTTCGTCGGCGGAAGCCTCACAGGCTCTGGAAAGCTAGCATTCCAGCCTTACATGTGGCTTTCCACTGGAAAGACCGGATCAAAGACCAGAAGCAACAGAGCAAGCACTGTCGTCTCGGTCTTCCACATTGGCCAAGATCTATGCGGTCACCCGGGCTTTGTGCATGGTGGTTTGTTGTCAGTTATGTTCGACGAGGTCTTTGCCCGTTGTGTTTCTGCTGCTTTCCCTAGTGGACTGGGCATGACGGCTAATCTCAATGTGGATTTCCGTAAGCCTGCCCTGCCTGATCGGGTGTATGTGCTGCGCACAGAGACGACCAAGGTAGAAGGCAGAAAGGCTTGGGTTGAGGGTCGCATGACCTATCTTCCATTGGCTTTGCCTCAATCTTCCGATGCGAACTCTGTGATGTCGGATCTGAGTCTGCTACGAGAGGACCATGAAGGTGCTGTCATGGTTGCTGAAGCAAAGGCTTTGTTTATTGAGCCTAAGTTTGCAGACGTGAGTTTCATTTACCCTTTGCTTATTCCTTCACGAACCGAGCTGACTTTGCTTGATATAGTCTATGGTTTCTGTTTACCGAAACTAGATCTGTTTGACAAATTTTGCGGCTGTTTTATGGTGCATTTAATAGAAGGATTTAGAGCTTATGACTGATAGAGATAGACTATTTTAATGAAATATTCACCGACGATCCATCGATATTCCAAGCCTGTTTCTGGAAGGTATTCAGCTGCACTCGGAAATCTAAAAATGCCGTTTGTTTTCTTTTTCTCTGTTCAGCTGAGTGGCTACACTAAAACCAGGGGAACAATTTCAATTGGGCACTAAATGCCGAAGATCTTCGAGATGATCGGACTAGAACTTTAGAAATGCAAGGGGATCTGCAGAAGTACAATATTCATCGAAGCTAAGCCAAACTAGACTATATTTAGTCTAATTATGCAATATTATTTTGCACCATCTGCGATCTGATACATCGGATCAGGATCCTATTGTAAGGAGAAAAGTTAATATATGATAGATCCTATTGATTGAATACCCCTGCAGAAATCATACTTAACGCATTCTTCAGCCAGGCGCTTGACTGCGCTTTTCTTTTTTTCATTTTGTTAATCCATCCGAAGAAGCACCAGGTACTCCATAGACAAAATGTGGAATTACTATGAAGGGAAATCGATCATGGTGACCGGTGGGTCTGGGTTTCTGGGGACAGCCATTGTCCATCGCCTGCTCACGACTACATCGGTTTCGCGAATTTATTTGATTTGCAGGGGTGGTGTTGGGTGAGTATCGCAAACAGCCAAGCAATAACCCCAAGGAAAAGTACTGACGATTTTGCTTAGCAAGCTGCGGGCAAGATGGAGAGAATGGCTCCCCCAAGGTATGGCCGATGCAATGTGTGATCCGAGTCGATTGATCGTACTCGACGGCGACATCCTCGTTCCAAACCTGGGACTCTCCGAGACTGAGCTCGAGGCAATCCGTAACACCACCAATATCATCATCCACGCTGCATCCTCAATCAACCTAGCAGCGCCGTTGAAACGTCTACACGGTCCCGTCATCGAAGCCACAGAAACAGTGGCAAATATCGCCCTTTCGTGCAAGATGCTCGATCGTTTCGTTTATGTTTCCACTGCATACTCAAACACATATCTGTACCCGCACAGCCAAGACGTGGATTTGAAAATCGAGGAAGAATTCTACAAACTTCCAAGTGGATGCGATGCTCTGGATGAATTGGAAGAAGTCAGAGAATACGGCACAAGCACAGCATACGAAGCAGAGGACTTTCCCTGGTCCTACGGCTACGCCAAACATCTCACTGAGAGACTTCTATTGCATCGATTCAGAGAATCCAACGAAAAGCTCCTTATTGTGCGTCCTGCCATCATCGGCGCAGCTCAGGCTCTACCGTTCCCGGGATACAATATGCCCATGTCATCACCATATACCATGTTTACTGCAGCATTGCTCTTGTTCCCATATCGCAAGTTGACAATCGCCACACGGCTGGACCAACCGGATATGCAAGTTACCTCCGACGAAGTCCCCGTTGACGTTGTCGCAGACCGTCTTCTGTGTCATCTTGCCATGGGGACTACTGGGTGCGTCCACGCCGTGAGCGGGGCCAGGGCCCGACAAAAGATGGAGTCATTTGTGCAACCAGTTATGAAACTTCGCAAAATTCCCTGGGATGTGAAGGCCAGATGGATTAAGGCAGATTGGAAGTCACGGAAGCAAGATGCGTTGTCCCGGCTTTACAGAATAATGGGGACGTCGTTCAATTTCCTCGAAACCAAAACGACTTCTATGTATGAGCAATTGTCCGAGAAAGATCGTATGGGACTCCAGTTATTCAAGAACAACGATACGGGTAACTATTTGCCTGCTCGAGGTGAAGATATCCGCTACGTGATGGATTACTTTGCTCGCAGGAGCTGGTTGGCGTGGCTGATTGTTATGCTCTTCTATTACAGCTTTGGGAAGGCCAGTCAGACCAGCCGATATGCTAAGCTGTGATATGACTAGAGCAAGGGGTGGAATGTTCTGATATTGTTAATATTGTTGATCATTGGGGCGTTTTCAACCCAGTCTATACTTGGGTATTGATGGGCCATTGCTATGTATTCTAACGCAAGGATCCCCGTGTACTATAACAAAAGGCCATTCTCGGGAGGCAAATTTGATAGAATTTGGGTATGAGTAAGAATTTCCTATCCACTTTAGAAGACATAGAGTATCATTCAAGGCCAACGATATCAAACACAATTCTCCCACAAAGATATTGCCCCTTAGTCGTCATCACCACCACCCGACGAGAGAAGTAGCGCAACTCTCCTATCATTTCAAATCCCCAAATCTACCCATTAAAATCAGCTTCCAATTGAAAAACGAAATATTCCCACTGTCACTCGTACTCACCTGCTCTGCCGTCCAACCCAACTTCTCATTCCGCTCAAAAGTATGCACCCAACAACCCCTCGTCTCACCCTCGACAGGCTCATCCTGAGCCTCAACCAAGAAACCAGGAGACTTAGACCAATCCAATTCAATTTCCCCCCGTAAAAACTGTTTTATCTCCGCACTCGTCGTATCAGTCTGAAGCTCGAACTCCGGTCTCATAGTACCATCCTTGGCAGGGGCTCCATAGATAAATTGGCTTTGGCCCTTCACTGTGCCAAAGAAGTAATCCGTGTGATCATATTTAGCCCAGTCGAGTATGCGCTCTTCTTTGGAGCCGGCTAAGCCCGCTGACGCTGTTTGTATGAAGTCGATTTTGGTGGACGGTTCGCTGGATTCCTTTTCTTTGATGGGGTATTGTAGAATCTGGATATAGATCGTTGCAAACGAAAAGGCCTTTCGTATCAGCCAGGAGACTTTTTGCTGGGATCATTAATTAGCTTCAATTTGGGAGAATCGTAAAATATCCGTAGAGTCATACCAGCTTCAGGATGGGGTCCGATTCACTGGATAATGCCTTATTCTACCGATAAATTGGGTGTTAGTACAGAGTGCAATTCATCCATGGCCAGGATAGTAAATTACCAAGACCCAGCTGCCATTGAGATGTTCAATATTAACGTCGAGAGGCGCAGCCATTGTGTGGTTTTGTACGGAGTGATCCGGAGTGATATTGATGGCGTCGAAATGAAATTGCTTTTCGCTGGATTACTTGCGTGCATTAAATACTAACTTGGGTAGTACACGCTGGTCTTCCTTTATACTCCATACTCAAGTGCCATGATTCTCGGTGGAAAAAGCAACAAAGGCTACATTGCGTTACGGCGTAAATAGTTTCTGACGCCCTTGCACAGTAAAGTTAAAGTACTGCTCAATTGGACTTTTTGTCATCCATAGATGACTGGTTGAATTGAATTATTTTATTCTCCCATGTCAAAAAATATTTTTTTTGTCTTGTGCACACGAACGACGACTAGTGAATGTAAAATGAGAATAAAGTCAAGTCAAGAGAAGAAATTATATAAGGATTTTGATATCTTTTCAAATATTGTCTATTTCATTCTCCCATTTGATGTCGAGCAATCTGTCCCAAGATATGGGAGTGGAAGTTGGGAGTGGAAGTGGCCAATAAACAACTTCTACACAGGTGTCCGATCTATATACCCAGCGCTGGAGGGTCAATTTGAGCCCCGGATATCCTGCGGCACTGTGTGCAAAGTACCAGCTTTGTCTCACAAAGGAAACACAATCGCTTGTCCAACCTACAAGTAACCTCGATCGAAATTACAGGAACAGACTAATTTAAGAAAAAAGAAAGTGACCATTGCTATCTAATACCACTATTGGAAATCCACCATGACGCCCTTAGCCGAGAAGGCACACGAAGGACGGAGTGACAAGAAACAGAGGAAAACAGACTCCGAAAACCTGAGGAATGAGGGGGTGATAAAGTCGAAAACAAGGCACATCGTTGCATCGTGAAATAGAGTCCTTGTTGGGGAGTAGGAGTTGAGATTGAAGATGTCGGCGATTAAGACAGGTGGAATGCGCCTTGGCCTTCCTTGATGGCGACAGAGAGACGTCTTTTGAGAGTTTCCAGGTCGCTGTAGTCTGGCAGCTTGAGGTAGTTGACGCATGTCATCACACTGGGGAGATAATCGTCGGGTGTGTAGGGGTGTTCGCTGGGACGGCATACGACGGTGAAGATGGGGGTGAGACTCTTGAATCCTGTTTTCTTGGTTAATATTTGTGAATTTGATATCATGGGTGGAATGAACGTACCTCCAATTGGAAGTTTGGGACTACCGGTGACAAACTGGAGGAAGTTGCGGCGTTGCTGGTTGTCCAGTTCACTCATGGTCTGGAGCAGGTTACGCACGCTGCGACTGTCCATGTTGAAACCGTGGTCGGCCTTGATGGAATCCATGAGGGTCTCAATGGACCAGTCTTCTTCGGCCTGTCCGAAAAGCATAACGAGCTCGCCTGGAGTGAATGCAGAAAGGGAAGAGTATGGGAAAACTTGAGAGAATCCTGCGCGGAAAGCCTCAACTTGGCGACGTACACCACTGCCCAAGGTCATGTCAATCACACGATCGATGTACGTGTCCACATTTTCTATTGACAGAGGAACGTCAGTGCCACCAGGGATCAACTCAATAGAGGGGTATCCAGGCAACGTGAAATCCAAGCTGAGATCATCAACCTTGACACCATGAACTGTGATGTCTTGCAAAGCCTCAGCCTTTTGGTTTGGCGAGAGTCGGTCATCGTTCTCCACTGCGTTCTTCTCGTTGACGAACTGTTTGAGCATGATCAAAGATTTGGCAAGATCGTGATCGACTGCTTTAACAGTACCCAGGGAGGGGGCGACAGAGGACATAGTATCAGCGATACGGAAGAAAGCGGGGTTGAATGAAATATCGATGATGCGAGAGTCAAGCATGGAGCGGGCAACAAACTTTCCAAGAACCTTGAAAAGATTCAACTGTTTCTTCCCGCTGTCATCATTTGCTTGCTGATCACTCATCGGCGATGGGAACAAGCCACGCTTGCCGAAAGCATATTCTGCTTCCTCACTGCCATCGGTGTCTCGCCAGATCTTGAGCTTTTTCTTGGAGAATTCCTTGGAGACCGTAGAATAGAACTCAAGGGTGGGTCCAAGTCCAGTGCCAACCTCTTCGAAATATTCGATCTCAAGAATGCTGGGAGATGATCCGTAGAGCTCCATGACCTTCAGCGCAGAATCAAGTATACGGGTGCGGGAAATTCGAACTTTTTGGCGCTGCAACTTGCCCATGAATGGACGGTCGTCACGGCGCATGTCCCTTCGGCTGTCCTCGCCGCTGAGAGAGGATTGCCATCTGAGCATTGCCCGCGAGTAACCGAAAGCAGTGGACTGTAAGAACAAATGCCTAGTTTCAAAGGGGAACAAGAAAGAGAAAAGCCTAGCTAGATCCTCACTCCAACTGGGAAGACAATCACTTGCCACAATCAATGGCTCTTCCAACTGTCGGTTGATTTTGGCAGTTAACTTAGTATTGATGAACTGGGCAAGAGGCTCCGACTTGATCGCAGCCGTGTCTTTGACATCAGTGAGGATATCATCAATAGTAGCGTTCATTTCGTGCAGCACACGGAGTAGACGAATGATAGACGCAGTTGTGGCATCCTTGCTGAGGGAGGCTGGAATATCCAGCGTGTCTACATGGGAGGCAGCAGCTTGGGAAGTAGAGGTGAGTGTAGAGGGCTCGGGTGGCGGGGGGCCAGGAACACGTTTATATGTAATGGTGTGGATAGAGGACCAGACGTTCTTAGCACTGGTCTCGTCCAAATTCTCACGATCATGATGAACCCCCCTGTAGATGGTTGTTTCAAGATCCACAACCTTGCCATCCACGGAGAACTCAAGGTGCCAATCTTGTGGAACTGAAGCTGTCGCTGCAGCGTAAGATGAGAACGGACGCCCGGCCGTGGCCAGAGAACTGTTGCTTCTGGAGTGGGATTGGGGGTTAGGTGTAGACGAAGAGGCCTTCGATCCACCCGTGGTGTGGGATGGGGTTCCAACTCGAGTACCATCCTCCTTTCGAGCTGTCACCTTACCCCCAGTTCCAACCTCCATGTTGACTGCCGAGGGATCAGAGACATTTTCAGACTCAAGATCCTCATCGAGGTCGTCAATAGCATTAAGTTCTTCGTCTTCATCCTCCTCGCCTGCATCGTCATCTTCGTCGGTCAAGTGCCTTTCATCGGCACATTCGAGGGGCTCATCACCGCGGTCCTCGTCCTCGTCCTCTTGTGGCTGCACTTGCCTCTGATGCCGCTGGCGTGCGCTAGGAGAGTCGTGACCATCAGTCGAGCCATCGGTATTCGCATCGTTGAGGCCACCGCGACCGGGGAGCATGCCAGAGCCGGATGCCAACTGGTCGCGGAGACGAGCAGCGGTTGCAAGCTGGGAAAGAATGTTATGTCGGTCAGAGCGCGACGAACGTGGCTTCTCGGCTAGGGCAATTCGGGGGTGAAGGAAGTCATCCAAAGCATGGAAAGGGGCGATGGCATGAATGGACACCATGATGTTGCGATAAGTACGAGGAACGTCGGAGTCATCATCAGCAACCAATTTGAGGCGCAGCTGTTTGGAAAGCATGTATGTAGCATTGCTGCGGGTGTTTTCGAGGGAGTTGTGGCTTATGGTAAGAACTTCAAAATGCTCTGTCCTGCTAAGCAAGTCTTGCAGTTTCCGGATAAGGATGCTGAAAGGCGTCGTAGCTGTGCTTTGGCTTTGGGCCTTGTCTGAGATGGAAACACCCATGAAAGCCTGCAAGAACGCAGCTCGGGCATCGCGGATAGAGGGTGCTTGGTAGTTTCCAAGAACGTCCAGGAGAACCCCAATGATGCCCGAGTTCAAAAGCTCGGAACTGGTGATACTTTCCAAGGCATCTCCATCAAAGTAAGACGCAAGCTGTTTGAACAAGGGGAGACCACCATCGGCCCCACGCTTGTATCGACTTTGGATTTCAGATGCCAGAGATTTCAAGGCTGTCAGTATCCGCAGAGCTTCGGTGCGAACAGTTTCACCGTGACTGGCTTCATATACCTCAAGGAAGGCTTGCGCGTCCCGAATGACCACGTCATTGAGAGCAGTCTCCAACTTTTGCAGATTACGTGGGTTCGGTGCAGAGTCGTCCTCCGAATCGGACATGTCTTCTCCATCATCATCATCGCCCTCGTCGTCATAGTCATCAGGGTCCTCATCTTCGTTGTCATCTTCATCCCGCTCGGCTTCACGAACCGTGCGGGACGTACGGGAGGGGTCTGCAGTGGTGTCCATGACTGTAGGGTCTGAACAATCGGCATTTTCGGCACCCTCGGAGAGAGTACCTTCAGACAATTTGATGATCTCAGAAATGACTCCTTCACGGTGGAACTGATGTTGGTAAACATTTTCGAGTCGCTGGAAGAGAAGTTCGGCACAACGCAACGCCAAAGATACAAGAGATGGGTGATCTTGTTGGGAGAGGATAGAAGCCAGGAAGGAAGCGTAAGGAACGGTCTGAAGAGCATCCTCAACCAAAGATGGCTCCAAAATATGCAACATTTTCAACTGCGCAATCAGCACCTTCTGACGCACATGCAGATTGACCGTGCTCGAGTAAGCATCGGTCAGAGTTGGGAAAAGAATCATTGCGAAACGCTTCAACTCTTTCTTGCAGTTATCAAGCAATGTTCGCCTGTCCTCCACGGCATCTTTCGATTTGGGGGATCTCAGACCGATGGACATGTGGCTGTCAAAGTATGTGCTGAGAAGGTTATCGGTCTTCGAGGCATCGCGACTAGGGACGCCCGGGAGGAGCTCGCAGATGACGTTCAACGTTTCATAAACCTGCTCGCGGGGACGGTGAATCAATGCCTGCATGACCAGAACACTGTCCATCTTGACGGCGGTGTTATCCACGTCCTGTGGGGGAGACACGCCGGTCAAAATTTGGTACAGTGTATCCACGACGTCCATTTTGAGAAGCTCGTTTGATAGTCGTGGGCTTGTCTTCGAGGTGATGGCAAGAACCCTAAGGAATTGTGTATGAATATGGGGGCCAATCAAGTTAGTTGTTCCCGGTAACAACAATCGGAGAACGGCCTTGAGCATCGCAGGCTCAATCAGTTCCTCGAGGTTCTCGGGTCGGTTTTTGAAACTTTCGACGATTCGTGATACACAAAGGCATCCTTGCTCCACAACCTTGGGGTCGTTGCTAGAAAGGACGTTAAGGAGAGTGGGCATCACATCGCGCACCACGGGGAATGAACCGTGGGGTAGATTGCGACAGCAGTTGGCAGCTGTAGTCACCGCCGTTCGCTGAGTACTGGTAGGGAAGAAGTCGAGATATGTGAGACAAGCAGTCAAACCACCTTCGCGCACAATAGAGGCAGGGAAATCGACAGAAATCTTGGCCAAAGTGCTCAGAGCCTGCTCAGCAAGATCGATGAACTGGATATCGAGGAGCTTTTGACAGAGAATCGGCACAGCACCGCCATATACAACACTCGCCACGGAGCCACGCAGGGCCTCCATCAGATTTGCCAGAGACCGACATGCGAGGAGCATGATTTCGGGGTTCTCTTCGCCAAACTGATTGGGTTGCATCAGAGTCACCAGCTCCTTCACATAGGGGTCAGGGGAAAACTGGCCGGCCAAGTTATCCTCGTTGGAGATCAGCAATGTGTCTGATAGTTCTTGGAGAGCACACAATTGAAGAGAAGGATCGTCTTTTGCTCTTAGATTGGAGAGAATATCCCGGAACCGAGTTGAAGTGCCATTCATCATACCACTGAGAGCACGAAGTGTACTCTGCAATGCCATTGGGGCGCGGCCACCAAACAGACTGCTACTGAAGGGGTCCATGTCATCGTCGTCGTCGAAAGCTGGGTTGGTGCCATCGTTGCTCTGTCCCGTAGGAGACTCGTGTCCTTCGTCTTCATCCTCATCCTCAATTTCCTCCTCCGCGTCCCGCATTATGACGTCCGCATTTGGCTTAACCGATCGCTTCTTCTGGCGGCGAGGTGGTGATTGTGTTGCCCCGGGGCGCTCTGCAGTGAACCGAAAAGATCAGATCTCATTTCTCACATGCACTTCCTCAATTTGTATTGAAAAGGGGTTGTTCCGAAGACTCACCATTGCGGCTGGACTTTCGTCGTGTGGGTTGCGGGGTCACTGTAGATTTGGACGATTCCTCCGACGGCCGTGAGGGTCTAGAAGATCCGGTCAGCGCTCTCCTTCACGTTATCCTGAATTCCACATACCCGGGTTGCGACATGGCTGGGCGGCTGCGGGCGCCTCGACGGGGAGCTGGGGCGCCGGGAGCTGTGGATGGAGCTGTCTGAGCTGCCGTCCGCGGTCGCTTTGCTTTCCGGGAGGGTGACGAGGCTGCTGGTTGTGGTGGCGCGTCTGCCGGGCGTTCGTGACGAGATGAAGCTTTACGTTTCCGAGAGGTGGTTGATCCGGGGAGAAGCGGTGTATCAGCCTCCGCGGGAGGGGGATCTGTGGCGAGTCTCGCGGAGGAGCGAGTAATTCTGGATGACATGAGAATTGGGTCTTCTTTGTAATTTGGATGGGTGGTGAGTAGTAGAGAGAGGAGAAAGAAAGAAGGAAAGAAGGAAAGCAAGCAGCCGATGACCAAAGATGGTCAAAGCGATATGCAGATAGTTGGGTAGAAAGATGACGAATCGAGCAATGTAGCAATGAATCCCGCTGCCGAACCACCCACGCAGCTGCGACGAGCCAGTTTGTACGCAATGTATGATCCAATCCACGCAGTTCTCAGCATTCACGTATGTCCGACGTTCGAAAAACCCGGGGTTGGTAAGGCGGGGGAGCCAGCGAACAAGAGCAGGATTCAAGCAAGAGTGGAAGCAAGAGCCAGAGTAGGAGCAAAAGCGAGAGACACAAGAACACAAGAGTACAAGAGTACAAGAGCAGAAGAGAGGGGGAACTACCTCAGGGAAGAAGAGGCGATGGAAGTGCCCGGGGAAAGAGGAGATTCCTCAAGAGGGTCCTGGTTGGAAGAGGGCTGTCTGGCCATAAGTTATGTATAGGAAATGTCGATGGTTCACACGATCTGACCCGCCATTCGCGTGTCAGGCTAGCCGCGTGGCAAAGTAGAGCAATAGCAAAAAAAGAAAGCAATAGGGAGAGAAGAGGAGGGGAAAGGAGGTTGGTTGAGATGGAGATTCGGGGAGCGTCAGGCGGCGGAAGTGCAACATTCGATGATGTTACCTCTGTGATCTATCCATTTACTCCGTTCACTTTTTTTTATACTTAAAGTACCGATTTAGATCTATTTGGTGATTCTTATTCTTATCACATACTTCTCACGTTCACCTTCACACTATTTTGTACAGAATGAATTCAATTGTACGGAGTAGTAAAGACCTAATTGTAGTACTCTGTACATTTGTTAGTACTACTTCGGCTTTACTGGTCATTTCGAAGGCCCTCCGGTCTTTTACTGACAGCATGCTTGGGTATATTTGTTGGAAATATTATTGAACATGATTCTTTACATAGCCAGATTTAATCCAGAGAATACAATAGCATTTCATCGGATATTTGTGACTGTTCTTCTGTACTTCATGTACTTCATGTACCTCTTGGGCACAGTCAGGCCTGTGCAGGTGTCACCTGATAAAGCTGACATTTGCTGTCATGTTTGCTCATATATTGCATATATTCTAAAGTTGTAGTATAGTATAGCGAGGAAAAGAGATTCCGGTCACCTAATGGCCTCCGCTCCAACGGCTCCGGAGATCGCGCCGACTCTAAATTCACTCACCGAGACCTCCAAGGTTAATAATCATCTTTCTGACTTTGGACTTTTGACTCCTTATTTCCTGAATCCTGACTTCTCACTTCTCACATCTAACTATTCTATAAGTCCGGAGGAGAGTGTTCCCTCGGTCCATTTCCCTCGCCGCCTTCGGTTCGCCCCCTCCGGTTTTGTCTTTTCGTGAACCCCCCGCTTCTGCACTTCCCCGGACCTATATTTCGGCTATTACATTTCACTCTCCCAAATCCAAAATGGCCACAGAAATGGTTGGAGGGCAGAGTGACGACGTCCACACAACCACCGCCAATCTCACCCCCGCCGCAATGGACGACTATACCTTCCCGGAGTTGCGCCTCAAGCGCACGATGAACGATCCCGAAAAGACCCCCCTCCTCCTGGTCGCATGTGGCTCTTTCTCCCCCATCACCTACCTGCACTTGCGCATGTTTGAAATGGCCGCCGATCACGTCAGATTCAGCTCCGACTACGAACTCATTGGAGGGTACCTGTCCCCGGTATCGGATGCCTATCGCAAGGCAGGTCTGGCCAGTGCAGAGCACCGGTAAGGTTCTTGGTCGCTTTTCTCTCCGGACAAGGCTAACCGGGGTATTCTTCAATTAGCGTGGCGATGTGTCAACTCGCTGTTGATCAAACCTCCGATTGGTTGATGGTGGATACATGGGAACCTACACAAAAGGCCTACCAGCCCACTGCGGTGGTGCTGGATCACTTCGATCATGAAATCAATGTTGTCCGACAGGGCGTGGAAGCCAGAAACGGTACCCGGAAGCCCGTCCGCATTGCCTTGCTTGCGGGCGCAGATTTGATCCACACCATGTCGACTCCTGGTGTGTGGAGCGAGAAAGATCTGGATCACATTCTGGGCAAATACGGCGTAAGTTGAAGCGGAGACTATTTCCAAGCAGATTTGCTAATCCCTCCTAGTCCTTCATTGTGGAGCGCAGTGGTACAGATATCGATGAAGCCCTGGCCAGCTTGCAGCCCTGGAAAGACAATATCCATGTTATCCAGCAGCTCATTCAAAATGATGTCAGCAGCACCAAAATTCGGCTCTTCTTGCGTCGTGAGATGAGTGTGCGCTACCTTATTCCTGTCCCTGTCATCCACTACATCGAGCAGCACCGTCTGTATGAGGATGACGGCACGACAGAGAAGGGCAAGGAGCGAGGGTGAAAGCCAATATTTTGCCTTCGGGCGCCATAATGACCCCAGCGACGCGAGATCCCGATACGATACCCCTGTGACAGAGTTTGTTTTTCTTGTTTTTTTGTTTTTGTCTTTGGTCTGCGAGTTTGGAGTTATTTGCTTTGGCAGTTATTTAAGTGGGATATTCCAATGTGTAGATACAGGTTTTTTGTATGGAGTACATATGCTACATGTCCCGGACTTTCCCTAGCGGGGATTCGGGATGCTTTGATGAGGCCCATACTCAGGCTCTCCGAGTAGATGTTCGCGTGAGCTTTCAAGGTTACAATCACACACATGATTGATACTGCGTAAATGCTCGGTGCTCACTGATTACTCAATGACATTTTGTGCGCAGTAAAGGGCAGGCCAGGTCGGATGCCCGAATTCGGCATATTTGTTGCCTTGGTGCCTTATTTCGTGCGAACAGAAAACAGACACCTGAAATACCATTGGAATACATAGACTATGCTCAATGCAGTATCTTTGCAGTCACGCTGGCGCGATGATGCCGACTGCCAACAGGAGCTCTAGTGGTTCCTCAAGAAGAGGCTCATTTAGGTCCCTTGTACCGTCAAACATGGTAATTTCCACGCTGGTACTTTTCGGTTTAATCGAGTATTGGATACACGTGCCATGTTGAACATCATATGATCCATATCACCATCCTCTCGTGAAAGGTGAGAAGAATCCAAACACCTATCTGTCAGTCCTGATCATGGGTGGTTTAAGCTTCGCGGGACAGAACTTGGACAATGATCTTGTCTCGTCTATCGCTAGTCTTCTCGACTCAATAAGTGTCCCAAACCTTCTTTGGGGCAACTATCTACTTACTGTTTATGGAGTTCCCACGATTGTGGATGTGAGTATTGTCTCTATTGACTGGAGCATTGACTAATGGTTTCACAGGGAGCTGCTTTTGTTGTTCCGGATGATCTCATCGAGGTCGCATTCTCTTCACTCATGAGTGCTGGCTTTTTACCCTGTAGCCAAACGGGCTGTCCGCACGCAGATACCTCACGAAGACGACCGGCATACAAGCACCTGCATATCAACGATGAACTTGCGGTCTCGCTGAATCGGAAGTCTGATGTGCTGTGGGAGTTCAAAGACTTCAGATTTGGGTCTGAAAAAAATCCAGATATCATGATTGCGTCGGACGATCGACTCCCGTCGGCTTCCCCAGGCCGCGGCCAAGGACGCTTCTCATCACATCCTTGTGACGTCAAAATTCCTTGTGCTGTGAGATTTTGCGAGGCCCTGATTCTGTTGCTTTGCCGTGACTATCGCTCTACTTACGAGATTTATTGGTTGGCTATGCTGACTTATATATTGGAATATGTCGACGATACGGATATCTTAGATGAAAGCAAGCTGCAAGAAGGTTACAGAAAGTTTTACCATGCCCTCAAATTGGCAGATCCTGTGATGTATTCACTGTTGGATGAGCTCAGACATGATTTGATTGAAAAGGATCGCCTCCCAGTGATAAATTATTAACGAAATGGAACGAAAACCTCAATGTCCTGGTTTGAACAATGAAACCAACCTATAATCTGCCTCTCAACTCTAGATTTCAACTGTTTTTTCACAATCAAATCCTTCAGACTGGGCGAAGTAATAACCCCTTTGGTTTGAGGACACTGTTTTACCAGTCTGCACGTCTTGGAAGTCACAATTGAAATGCGTATGACCAAAAGCCCAAATCTTGACAACCGCATTTTTCCAACAACGCTCGCTTGATAAGTCAGTCATGAAAGCCGATGAGATTTTGCTGTTCTTATGTCTGGGATCGACAACCATATCGTGGGTTGATGGGCAGAAATGCGTAAAAACGACAACCTTGCGCTCCGGTTCCGAGCGCGAAATACACTCAATTTGTTGGTTCAGCCACACCAGATCGGCATGGTGTGCTTCTTGATGCGATTCAATTGTCCAATCATCAATGTGATAGAAGTCATTCAGTCCGAAATTAACGGTTTCTTTTTGTTCTTGGGTCACCCGCGAGAACAAAGTACATCCGAGAACGGTGATATCGGGCGAGACGTCGTAGCGTGTTCGATCGAGAATAACAAGTTTGCCGAGCGTCTCGCTGGATCTTCGAGCCTCGTCAATACTCGTTTTGAACTTGTTCATGGCAGCTTTTGTCTCAGGCCAGCTGCTGTGATACGGTTCGTGATTGCCCAGTACCAAAAAGATGATGGAAAACAATTCCAGTTGCCTTCGGAGGAAGTGGAACAAGCCTTCGTCCTTGGCATGGCCAATGTCGCCGAGTAGGGCTAAATAGGGCGCCTTAGGGTTGACTTGGAAGATATCATATGCAGCAGGAGTTTCCAAGTGAAGGTCGGAGATGATTTGGAACTTCATCTCGTCTTTTGGTTCACAGCGTGTCAAAATTTGTTTCATGCCTAAGAGCGGTTGTGGGAGGGGTTGGGTTTCTAAAGTTGTCAGCGCTTAATATGCCGCTGTCACTGTCCCACCGCGCTTAGTCTGCTCCTGTGACAAGTGAGAAGCCAACGTTGATGGACAATTGATACGATTAGAAATGCATCCATCTGACGAAAATACTGAATGCTCACCATAATTGGCAACCTGAGAGACAATTGGACTAAAGCGATCGTCATTCTCACCGATACTGCAGAGTAAACAACTCTGGCATCTTCTATGTTGTCAACATTCGGACAGATCCCTCCATGGCGGTGTGCATCTATAACTATGTACTCAGAAAATTCCTATTTCCCTCCACGAAGACAATATTCTTGAGCTTTCGAGTGAAATGGCCTAAACGTCATGTTAGCGGACCAGTTTAGGAACTTTAGTATAACTGGCTGCAGGCTGTATTAGCTATCTCATACGGGTCAGATACTTCCGAGCCATCGAAGGAAATCAATATGCGGACGAAGTACTCCTGAAGTCCGTACCGGGGACGAAAGCGTCGCTGATTCGGAGTCCGCGGGAGCCGTTTACTGATGTCATGGATATATGTATACCATCGACTCCCTTTTGGACCAAACAAACCCATCGATATTTCCTTTCGGAGTACAAAGATGGTTAAAGTCGCAATCGCCGGTGGCACAGGTGATGTCGGCCGAACGATTGTTGAGATTATCAAAGACAACCCACGTCATGAAGCCGTGATCCTCACTCGAAAGGTAATGAATAGCCCTGGAGGCCCCTGAAGTACCTGCTCACAAGAAAACAGCCAAATGGAGATATCTTCGGTGTTCCATCTCTTGTTGTTGACTACACGAATGTCAATAGTCTGAGGGAGATATTGGAAGAGCACAATATCCATACTGTCATTTGTGCCATCGGCTACGAGGGTGACGCCCCTGGCGTATCCCAACTGAATCTGATCAAAGCTGCAGAGGCATCGGTGGCAACGATTCGATTTGTACCCAGTGCCTTTGCTTGCGTATATACCCCAGAGTAGGTCCACCTGCAATGCAAAGAGAGAAACGATGCTGATTGCGTTGCTAATTGATATCCAGAATGGCAGAGACATTCCCCCCTCTTCGCGGTTATATTCGCGCCATCGAAGAGCTCAGAAAGTCGCATCTAGAGTGGACCAGCTTCTTGAATGGATATTTCATGGACTACTTCGCCCCCGGAAAAATCAAATCATACCTCAGGCCTTTTCCGACGGTCATTGATATTGAGCACCGGGTAGCCGCCATTCCAGGCAATGGCGACGTGCCTATCACATTTACTTATTCATTCGATGTCGCGAGGTTCGTAGTGTCGTCTCTGGACTTGGAGGAATGGCCAGATGAGAGCCGCATGGCTGGTGATGTTTTGACCTGGAATGAGTTGGTTTCCTTGGCGGAAGAAATACTAGGTAATGGCATTCTGCAGTTAATTATTTTTGATCCTCTGTTATTGACATATTCTAGGATCCGAGTTTGAAGTTCATCACGACGACATTGAAAAGCTCAAGCGGTCCGAAGTCACGGAACTGCCAGTTCACTCAATTGTCTACAAGCAGATGCCAAAGAGTGAAGCCCAAGCAATGAGTGCGGCTTTCAGCTTATGGGCACAGGATGCAAATATCATGCATATCCCCGGGGAACTAAATACCAGGTTTCCAGATATTCATCCCCTGACGATTAGGGGTTTGGTGGAAAAGTACCGCCAGTGAGGGTTGATGTTAACTTGAGAAGGAATTACTAAATGAGGAGTGTTGAATTCAAGTTTTATTGATCTTAGCCAAGATCAGGAACGTGCATAATCGAGTGCCAGGTATTATCGCAGAGTCATAGACTTCGATCTCGATCTGGAAATGTACTTCCGTTCAGTTGACAATGTTGTATGGAGTAAAGGGCGATCTACATTCACCATCGGGCGATTGGATGACACCATATTAATTATTCCTTACAAATCCTAGCTACGAGTAGAGTATAGTACTCCGTAGTTGATCCGTAATTAACTGCCCAGGCGAGACGCTCGATCCGATCGCACTTATCCGTTATCGAACCACTGGCATCCCCACTAGAAACCCCGAAGGACCGAGGGGATTTCTAGGAACTTCTCAAGTTCCTTGTTTCTCACTTTCGCTTCTTGCATCTTGCATCTTGCTTCTCGCACCTCCTCCAATTCCATTATGCCTGGTCTCTGAGACCGATAACCATGTCCGAAGCACCCGAAACATGGCCCCTCACCCCTCCTGATTCCTCCGATCCCCAAATTAAAGATGTCTCCTCAGTCATCACAGCAATCCACGTAATAGCCACAGAGCGCGCAGCCCTCGCCCACCTCGAACACATCTACCAGACCGATGCGCGCGCGCAAACAGACCTCACCCGGGCCGTGGATCGCATCGCGGCCAGCGTGCGCGATGGCGGAAAGCTAGTTGTCTGCGGCGTCGGCAAGAGTGGGAAGGTGGGACGCAAGATCGAGGCGACGATGAATAGTCTGGGCGTGTACAGTGCGTTCCTGCATCCGACCGAGGCCTTGCATGGGGATCTTGGATTGGTTCGGCCCGTGAGTTCCGTGCAGCGTGCTTTTGTCCGGTCTTTTGGACCTCGGAGAGTTTCGACTAATTGCTTCCAGAATGATACTATGCTTTTGATTTCGTTTTCGGGTCGCTCGCCGGAAGTATTAGCTTTGTTGCCCCATCTGCCGCAGACAGTGCCTGTTATTGCGCTTACGTCTCATATGCATCCTGAGTCATGTCCGCTGCTTGCTTTGCATGCGCCGCTGGGGATGGGTATACTGTTGCCGGCGCCGATTCATGAAGATGAGGAGTCTTCGTTCGGGGTTAGTGCGCCTACGTCTTCGACGACGGTGGCGCTGTCGTTGGGCGATGCTCTGGCTATCGCTACTGCGCGCAAACTTCACACTGCAACGGGGAAAAGCCCTGCAGAGGTCTTTCGGGGATTCCATCCTGGTGGCGCTATTGGAGCGGCGACAGCGGGCAACATGCTACCTACCCCGTCCAGTGGTATGTCAACGAGGACTTATGACTCGCCTGCATCTTCAGTCTCTCTCCTGTGGGAGGATATCAATAATGCCCCGCCAATACCCCCCTTCAGCCTACAGTCCCCACCGACACAACGTCTCATCCCTGAGAGTATGATTGTTCCTCTGCAGGCAATTCCCACTGTCTCCCCCTCGGCTACCTCGAGTAGTGAGGTACGGCTTCTTGACATTCTTCTCGCGGCCATCCAGAACCCCAATGCGAAATCATGGGTGTTCCTATCACCGTCTGAGATTATCACCCCTCAACGAGTGCGTTCATTACTCTCCCCTGGTGGAGACATGGACATGCGCGTCTCGGATGTTGCAGCCCACGACCCCAGTACCCCTCTCACTGTACCCCGAAGCAACTGGCTATTGGTCTCAGACACCACACCTCTCTCCGAGGTGCGGTATGTCCTGTCTGAATTACGAAAAGAGACCAACCCAGTCACGGTGATTGGCGTCGTGAAAGACCTAGCCAATCCCGACAGTTGCATCGGGGTAATAGACGCCGAGGAGCTTTGGGGCGAATGAGACTGAAAGAAACACCGATTCTTTTTCTTGAAAATATTTTTGTTTGTCTTACGGATCTTTTGTATTATCATACAATCGACCAACGATGTCACGCCCATACACGCGTTTGTTACAGCCTTTGTGAAATACAGCCTTTGTAAAGACCCGACACGATTTCGGCTCTAATACATGCAAATCAACGCCAATGATATTTCTTATGGTAATACAATCAGTACATATGCAACCCATTATAGTACACTCTATCCTCTCCAATTCAAGCCTTGTTAATAGGCTTGATACCCTTGTGAATAGCAGCAATTCCACCAGTAAGGTTCTCAAAGCCCTGACCAGGAATCATGAATCCAGCCTTCTGAATCATCCCTCTGAACTCCTCCTGGCTGGGGAACCTCTCAATACTCTCAACCAGATACTGGTAGCTATCACGATCACCCGCAACAACCTGCCCAATCAGCGGAATAGCACTGAAATTCCAGTTCTTGTAAATCGTATCCAGCACCGGATTCTCAACCTTACTAAACTCCATACAAGCAAAGACACCACCAGGCTTAAGAACCCGGAACGCCTCATTCAACGCAGCCTGCTTATCGGTGAAATTCCGAATTCCAAAAACAACAGTGTAGAGATCCACAGACGCATCCGGGATATGCGGCATGTGTTCTGCGTTGGCTTCGACAAAGTCCAGACGCTTGCTGTTGTAGTAGGGTGTGTCAAGGGAGCGCTTCCGACCTTCTGCTAGCATGTCTGCGTTGATATCGCTGATTGTCACGCGGGTTTCCATGTCGTGGTTGATGTGCGTGGCATGGTCGAGCATCCGGAAGGCAATGTCGCCTGTCCCGCCGGCTATGTCCAGGATGTTCCAGCCTGGCTTGTCGGCTGTGAGGGCTGGCAGGCATGAGCCTGGGTTTAGGGAGCGGACGAAGTGGTCTTTCCAGAGGCGGTGGATGCCCAGAGACATGAGGTCGTTCATGCGGTCGTAGGAGGCTGCGACGGAGCTGAAGACGGCGCCGACTGTGAGGGAATTAGCTTTCGGATTCAATTGGTTGATCTGGATGGCGATTTACCTCGTGTCTCCTTCTCTGACTCGGGGACATTGGTGAAGCCGAAATGTGTCATGCGATTGTTGTCGGGCTTGTTCTGGACGCGGGTGGCACAGGAGAAACAGCGGTAGGGAGTGGTTTGGAAAGCGCGACGCTTTGCACTGTAGTGCAAAGCACGCCAGGCAGAGTTGGACATGGACATGTTGCTGTGTTGTTGTAAAGCTGGAACTTTAGAACGGAGCAACTTTTCAGAAGATCCCGAGTTGCCGCCCCTAAGCATCGGCCCGGGTTGGACCAATCACATCGCGGGAAACCCGAGAGCTGCACTGTGCTCTCAGCTTGGTCGTTTTATTTTGGAAAAGTGGTGTTTTGAGAATGAAGTTTATGGATTTAACGGTCTTACTCGACGGAGTCAATCTACAATCTCCGAGGCTTAACTGTGTGCTATGGATATAAATTTTGGACATGGTTCGGTAATATATCCTCACACATTGCAGAGGTTCTCATTCAGAAAAGCACTGAAACCAAAGGCCGCCTCACTCGAAAATGACTTCCACCCAACTATCGCATTGCTGCACCATTGGCAATATACACGAAGGCCAGGCTAAGGGCCAGATCAGCAACGTTGGAAATAGTAAGCCCTGGTGCCTGCCTCTCAGATCTACTTCAACCACACCCTAACACTCGATAGTCTCCACCTACCTCGCATACCCAGCGGACAAAGCGACCAAAAATGCCATTCTGATATTGACAGATGTGCTGGGCCACCAATTCGTGAATGCTCAACTACTAGCCGACCAATTTGCTGCACGCGGGTATTTCGTCGTCATGCCCGATTTGTTCAACGGGGATGTAGTCCCGATCAACAGACCAGAGGGATTCAACATCATGGACTGGGTGCAGAACCACATGCCCCCGCAGACAGAGCCCATCATCGATGCCGTGTTGAAAGAGATGCGTGAGAACCTTGGATGTGAGCGCATCGGTGGAGTGGGATACTGCTTTGGCGGCAAATATGTCTGTCGATATTTGAAACCGGGAAAGCTTGACGTTGGATTCACTGCGCACCCAACTATGGTTGAGCCGGATGAGCTGAGGGGGATCGAGGGCCCTTTGAGTATTGCTGCTGCAGGTATGTCTCGATTGAAATAAATGTCCACAAGACGAAGGCTGACCAGATTCTTTGGCAAGCCCGTGACTTTGTGTTCACAACTGCTAAGCGTCATGAGAGTGAGCAGATTCTGGACCACCTTGAAGTGCCTTATCAGATAAATCTGTTCTCGGACGTTGAGCATGGGTTTGCAGTGCGCTGTGATCTGGCTAAGCCTCGACAGAGATTTGCTAAGGAGCAGGCGTTTAACCAAGCTTTCAGTTGGTTTGACATGTTTTTGAAAGTGTAGTTGGAAACTAGGTGATACTTGGGTAAATCAGGGCCACTGGGGCATGAAGAAGCAGAACTTCCATAGATGTAATATTGGTGGAAGGTACTACCGGGTCTTCAACGCTTAGTTGCACTGGATTTCAATGTTCGCTCTGAATTCATGCGAAGTGTACGGTCAAAAATCTCACATTCTCATTTGCTTTAATTGTAACAACCATCCCAAGGTTCCTCTATGTTTCTCTATTTCAATGCTCAAGTGATGAGGCAAAACCTTCACTTATTATGTTTATCTCTACCTAGTCCAACAATGCTCCACCTTTTGACCGAGTGGCAACCAAACTTCAGGGCTTCACATCCAGAAAGACAACAAAAACATGCCTACAACCGAGAAAATGTCAACAACCTAAAATTCATATCCATAGGCGAGCAGCCATATCCTAAACGCACATATTCACCTCTTGGCAGCTTAGTCACAGAGCTGTAAATGGCTGGGGTGTGCCTACAACACAGGAAGACTTATCCCTTGCGCTTTCTGGTCACTTGCGACATTTTTTGTCCAACTCTCGCCATGGACTCCAATTGTGAGATATTGGAACCCCAGGTATATGACCATCAATTTCTCAACCTTTTATTAAAGAGCTCTCCCTCACATAGCTACAGGTCCTTTATTTTAAGGCCGTCCCTATCGGTGTGGAGTCTGCCCAACGTCTGGACCCACGCCGCGAAGTATATCGTCTGAACTTGGAAACATGCCAGGGTTTACAAGGTCTTCCGAGTGTTGTGATCATCAAAAAAAGGAAAGAAGATTCGCACGATGGATATCAGCAAGAAATAGAAAATTACGAAAGATTGAGAAGGCTACAAGGATCTGTTATTCCCACTTTCTTCGGCCAAGGTACTTTCAATGACGGTCCTGCTATCATCATTTCCGAGGTGGTAGGGACAACTCTTCGTGATATCGCCTATGGCGACCTTCAAATATCTTCGGATGAGCTTAGGCATAAGCTCGAGATAGCCATGGAGAGTATACATTGCCTTGGGGCTGAGTATTTGGACCAGCGACTGGACAACTTCATTCTCTGCAAGACGGGAGAGATTATGATTGTGGATATGGAGCAAGTTTATTTTCCGCCGGATCTTGAAGTCTTCAAAGAGAGTGTTAATTATGGGGGTGTGGGCTCGCTTTTGTATCTTTTCAATGATACGAGAGAAAGAAAGAACCAGTCAACCGACTGTGTGTATGGACGAACCTGCCTTCAAGGTAGCCTGCTCTATTGATGTCCGATAGGGGGGAAGATGGGCTAAGAAGTGGATGAAAAGGAGACGATTTAAATATAGGGTGTTTCTGAAGATGTCGTGGTTCAAGTCCGGAGTACACTTGGGCAAGAAATCCGGGATTTTGACGACATGATATGTATGAGCCACCCTCTTCCAAAAGATAATCCCCAAGAATATGTGTAGGGCTCTGCGTTTGTCAATTGGCCACAAATATTATCGTTCGTGTTGTGGTCAGCTGACCCGGTTTGCTGCAGATAGCCCCAACTCTCTTCTCTCCTTTCCCCTCAATTGTACGGATTACAGGATTCCAATACAACCGCTTCATCTCCCACTCAGGTTATCACTCTTTTGTCCATATATCCGGAATCCACATACTATACCAACTCGCTGAGATCGCGTACCCACTACGGCCCACGGGCCCCGGCAGCCCCGAACTGTACCCACAATTGAACCCGGAGCCGCCTCGTCCGTACTCCATGCGGAGTTGTTGGCTATGAAACGAACTCGTGCTACTGCACCTTTGGTCACCTGGTGTTCGTGAATTTCCCGCCGAATATTCTTTCGAATCCAATATTCCAACCATCAAGTGGTCAAGTAGTACCCATGACGAACCTCATACTCGAACCCAAAGTTTCGGAGACAGCATTACAAAGCGGATTGTCATCAAAATGAAAAAGGAGAATCTGGACTCTCAAGACTACCGTTCATCTGCAACAAAAATTTTCAGCGAGGTATTCCCAGAGCGGGAAAGCGACCCTCGCATCCTCTTTCTCGGCATAGACGTGTGCAGTGGGCGCTTTCATTATTCTCGACAAACCATCACGATTACGATTTAAACACAACGCACAAAGCTAGAACTTTGTCCTCTGTCTTTGCATTTCGACAGAATAAAAGAAGGCGGGACTGGGTTATATTCAGATGGCCTCAAGGGGATGAATATCTCAGTGCACAGTCCGCGGATGTCCATAACGTGAAAGGGTTTGGCCGACCAACTTTCCTGGAGGATCATGCATCACGCCTCGAACACTCTAACCCAAGTGAATTTTCCACTTGAACGGTTATGTTGATTCTAAGAATACAATACAGCCAGTAGTCCGCCTAGGACATGGGTTGATTGGGTCTCGTTTGTCCAAAATGTTGTGGCCCAAGCCTCAATTATCACCAACAGCTCCCCGGCGGCTCTCCAAAACATAACCCCCCCACTTTCGCCTACGAGTATGTAGCAATCAAAGGATTTTATAAGCTCTGCTTATTCCCCCCGGGGGGTTTTTTTTTCATTTTTTTTCCAGCTGTCCTTCTCTGGCAGAACTGCAAAGACCCGTTAGATATCGTCAGCCTCAACCTCATCATTTTTCGTCCGAATCCACCCTTCCGCAATAATGGGGACTGCTGAAGACAAATCCATATTCCCTTCTTCGCTGGACCTTCTCGACCTCGATGCCGTTGAACTGCAGTCCCTGTTTGCCGCAGATAAACTTACTAGTGCCCAGCTAGTCAAAGCATGCCTGGAGCAGATTCGAAACCACGACCAAAAGGGACTGGAGCTACATGCCATGATCGCGACTGCGCCGGAAGAAGACTTGATCAAGATTGCAGATGATTTTGACAGGGAAAGGAAAGCAGGACTTATTCGAGGACCTCTTCATGGTATCCCAATCATCGTGAAAGTACGAGACCCAAGCATAGGCACCTTGTTGTAGATACTGACGCATATTTCGCTACACCAGGATTGTATCGCAACTGACCCGCAATTAAAAATGAAGACAACATGCGGAAATCATGCTTTAGCTAGGTCTGTTGTATCGGGTGATGCACGTGTCGTCGAGAAGGTACAAAACCACCTGTCCGGAATTTTGGACACATTTCTGAGGATCAAAATAGCTGCGGAGGGCGGGGATGATCATTTTAGGAAAGGCAAATCTGACAGTAGGCTCCTAAATATAACATGCCGTCGCCGAAGACTAACAGAATTCTAGGAATTTTGCCAAATGAAGTACGGTAGCTATCCAAACTTGTGCCCAGCTATACTGATTACCGAGTTAGAGGAGAAAACATTACAACTGGATGGTCTGCATTTGGCGGACAGACTGTATCACCCTACATCAGAGGCGGCATTCGCCATGACCAGGGCCCTGGAGGTCCATCTGTAAGATTTCCTCATCCTGTTCATTGAGTACTCCAGATGCTAACCGGAGAAGATGCCTGGGGGGTCATCAACAGGGTCGGCCGTTGGTGTAGCCGCTGGGTACAGTCCACTGGCCTTAGGAACAGAAACAGACGGCTCTACTATTCAACCAGCTAACCGGGCAGCTCTATTTGCTATCAAGCCTACGCATGGGATTGTGTCTGTTGAAGGAGTCTGGCAGCTGTCGACCAGTTTCGATGTCGTCGGTCCCATGGCCAGGTCGGCAAGTGATCTAGCCAACCTAATGAGTATTATTGTTGAGAACAAATACGCGAATTATTCAAGATTTCTGACTAGATCATTCGCCGATTTGAAGTTGGGCTTTGCCGACCCCGACATTTGGCGGTTCTCTGATGCCTATTCCCGCCGAATCAAGGGAGTGCGGGAGCAAATGGTGAACACATAACCAATCCCTTTTTCAGAGTCTTTCTAACATCCACTAAGAAAGCCGTATACCTTGATGCTTTTTCAAAGATTCAATCGTTGGCTGCTAAAGCGGAATATCCAGTTGAAATACCACAGCCGGAGGAGCTTGATATAGCTGGAAAATCTAGCTTCTTCACCGTTATCAGTTTGTTCTGACCTCCAAATTAAATTCAACAAAAGCTCACTGTTCACAGCATATGAATAGGGTGCTCTTGCAGACACTTACCTAAACAATTTGGTCGAGAGCGAAGTGCGAACTCTAGATGAGCTTATCAAATGGAACGAGGCACATCCAGAGCTTGAGCTCCCTCAAGGTATTTTCAATCTAATTATTCCTTGATTACCCATGGAATGTTCTAAAATCAGAATGAGACTATCCTAGCCAGTCGCGTCTTATAGCGGCTCGGGATCAGGTGCCTTCTCCTGCTGAGTATAGCGCCGTCAAATCTCATCTTGAGAAAGTGACAGTCCGTCTGAGCGCCGTTTTTGAGAGTCATGATATTGACTTGATTGTGGCGGCGACAGATTCGCGCATGTGCTCATTGGCATCGGCGTCCGGTAGGTCATACAACAACGCAGAGGTGTATTCCATCGACTGACGAGTCTTAGGGTTTCCAATTGGTACCATGCCACTCAGCTATCTGAATTACAATGGCAAGCCATTTGGTTTAGCTGTTGTAGGAAAGTCTGGGCAGGATGGTCGGCTTCTCGAATTCATGAGTGCCTTTGAGGCGGCATTTCCGAAAAGACTTCACCCCCACCCACTGATTGAACGGTTGACTAGAGATCATGAATCAAGACCCTAAAAACTGCCTTTATGGGCTAACGAGATCGAACTACGAAGAGCCAGGGACGCCGAAAGACGCAGTAAGCCTTGTTCATACTGGTTAATCTCGTGGGATTTTCCTTGTCACTTCTGATGCTTATGAAAGTCCTTAGTCATAGCCACAATGGGGGACTATATTGTTACGGCATGTCTGCTCAAGTGAATCAAGGCTAGTAAAATCCTTTGGCAATCAGTTGGAAGAAATTGTGAAATCTTTGTGTGTTTGATGGCTGTTACGTTAGCAGATTATATTTGGGAAAGGAACTTGAATGCGAGGGTTTGACCACAGATATAGTGATGCTCAAGTGAACGTGATCGATAAATTCAATGTGTACAGGCATGCGCCTATGGCTGCAATTTACGCTCGCGGCCAGGCGGAATGAAAGAGTGTTCCTTGATATGACCCCAAAACTGATCCCATGATGAGATCCCACAATCACAAATCGGACAAGTTATAGGAGGGGCAGGTTTAATTGAACTTTTATTTAGATCAGCTCGGTTTGCCGCATCGGCGTGTGCCATGAAGAGGTGCTCGCGTAATTTGTCACGTCTGGAATAAGATCTCCCACAGTTTTCCACAGGGCAGCGAGAAAGTGCGTCGGTGGTCTCATGAAGACTAGCAAAGTGGCGCTTTAGTGACCCAAAAGATCCGAGTACTATCTTTCTCCCTTTTTGCTCACATAGTCGGCATTGGAATGTTCCCGATCTTAAAATGTCACTGCTGGATGAAGACTCAGATATGGAACCCGCACTAGACATCTTTGAAATGAAAAGTTGCTTCATGCTATCAAGAGTCCTGATAGCCTCCGAAAGCTGACCGTTGGTATACTTGTCGTTATAACCGATATCATCGTATGTTTCAGCAACCTGTGCCAATACATCACCGATTTTCCACTCATCAAATGGCATTTGTTTGTTTGTGAACGCTCCCCTACCATCACCGAGACTTGGAGCAGATGTCGCATCGGTAACGGAGGCACCTGGTTGTGAGTTGCTCTGAGCCCCATCAGTCAGTCCGATTTGAATATTCAAACTGATCTGATTAACTCACGGAAAAAATGTGTGTAGGCTGGGAGTAAATGGAGCTGGCATCAAAAGCTGGATGGGAATACTCTTGCCCCGGATAGTAGACATGCATTGGCACAGAATGTTGAAGAGAGCCAGACCCAGAGGGAAATACCGGATCCGGTTCATCCCACATCGGGTAATCGTCATGGGGTCCGGGAGGTCTGATCGTGCTAAATGAGAAATCCATTTGCTGCTGGGGCATGTTGCTGGATAAATTAAATATTGGGGGTTGAGAATTCTCTCCCCGTGTGAGATCTTGCAAAATGAGATTTGACATCTGCTCAAGATGTAGGCCTAGATGCCGTTGAAAACAGGTAGGGTCAGAGATTGGAGGCAACACGCAAAATGGACGCTGCTGTGGAGAGCTCATGGCACGCTCAGACAATTTTAACACGGCATCTTGTTGATCTTGTGGCAGATCAGCTGAATGTGAGTTGTGAACATGTTGTGCAAAGTGATCCTTTGATGTGCAAATGTACGAGCACAGACCGCAGAACCATTCTCGCCGATGGAATTGCCGCTCATGATCACTCCATTGTTCATAGCTATCGTAAAGCTGATTGGGGATGGTGCAGTTTCCAAAAGTACAGACATAGGGCTTGATATCGGCTTTGAAATGCTTTCTCCAGTCCTCATCAAAGTTGTGCAGATCAATGTCGACTGACTGATGGCAATGCGGGCAAAGAAAAGGTACTATTCTGACTAATTGGCGAGAGGTTGTTTCGAGTAGGATTGGAGACCGAAGATTGTTTGGAAGTGTATGATCATTTTTGCCGCCATCAAGGGCCATTTCGCTGGCCCCATGATCAGAAAGGAGGGATGTCAGCTTATTGAAAGAATTGTCACCATACTGGAAGGTTTGAGAACTTCGTTCTTTGTAATGAGCCAGAAGTAAACGCCGCCTAGTATTGGAAGTACCCAATCGCTGGACAAGAGCGTTATCCTCTGGCAGATGAAAGGCATCTGATATGGCTTTTATGTCATATGGTAAGAATCTTTGGAAATCACTCTGAGATGTCTGGGATTCCCGATCACGACTGGTAGGATTTTGAAGAGCGAGCGAGAACTTAAACCTGCATTTTATTAGCCAATGCTTCAGAACCTCGGCAACCCCCCGAGGGGTACTTACAGGCTTTTTATTATATGATGGACAGTTTGTAAACGCTCGTCAAGGCCTGAGTATTGGGCATTCTCCGTCCGGAGCTGCTCCCAGAATTCTTCATCCGAATCGGAAGAATCAACATCGACATGTAGATCATCTGGGAATGGTTCCACTGTTCCACCGAAGATGGATGTATCCCGTGGCTTATCTCACTTTCTCCAGAGACATAAGGTACGACTAAAAAATTTACGAACTCAACGTCAATTTCGTAACATATAATTGGTAGGACAAGAAGATACCGGATCGGATGGCATCAGACAAATCAGTGAGTTGGTTGACAACCTCGGCTCGCAAAATTGGTGTCTTGGAGACGATAATCCAGCGAAAGCCTGTCAGTATGGCTGCGAGAAGCCCCGAAAGTTCCGGCCCAAACACGTAATTGACCACGCTCATCTTTTGCTTTCGTTTGAGTCACATGGGCATCGCCGGAGCATGAGTCGACGAGTGTTTGAAAGTGACTATCGCAAAGAGCAATGAGGGATGATATTGAACCCTCCATGGAAAGTAACTTATATTCACCATAGGACCGGACTTCCAGAGTGGTTGACAAGAAAAGGATGCGATCTCTCGAATTTCTCAGGGAGAATATTGAAAAGAAAAAAAAAGAAGAGATGACCCAGTTCCTTTCGCATGCTCAACTTGTCTCAGCTACCAAGAGCTCCTCAAACGGATCGGTAGGGACCTTTCGCGCGAGCAAATTAAATTTCACATGTCTTGCAAGCGATTCATGGGAGATGTTGCTTCTCAGTGTGGAATTGAGGCCGGAGAGGTGGATGTTCTCATAAACGACCCAAATCACCCCCGGTGGAGCGATGGATCATTTGAGCACACTCCAGTTATCAATCAACGTTCATTTCAACAATTTCTTCATGCAACTGAAGATATGAATGAGTAATTGACAAAAATACAAGAATTGATTGGACTTCAGGGTTCAACGACAAAAGATGGCGAGGATGCGCGGGTAAGCACGCTCAAGCTGGAGTTCCTTGCCGACTAAAACTAACACAATTAGCCTGAACTGCTAGACAAAACTACTCGACGTCGACAATGGAAAAAGATAGTTTTGGTTCTTAGGAAAGATGGAATTACCAGACACCTGGAGCAAGCTGTTAAACTCAATGAGTTTCTCGCATTTCTTACACAACAAAGCCACTATTTCATTCCATCCAACCACACCCCTCGAAGAAATACGAAGCACTATCAACAAATTCGCTCGCACGCAATTGACCTATACGATATCCTAAAAGCGAACTTTCCCCAGATGCCCAACTGCAAATGCCCACTACGCCACGATGTCAACATGAAACTGGAATTCCGCAGCGGGGGAATGGTCACCAAAAGATTGCTCTTCCGTACGATCTTTACATCCGAGGTTCCAATCTTCTCGCTGCAAAATTGGTGTGAGATAGATATAGAGCCGTTGGAGATACAGAAGACAACACTTTGCCGTGATTCTCAAGAGTCAGTAACGATGAGAATTGCCACAAGACAGTCATCGTCATCAGACATCACCCAATTTCAGAACAGTCTAAATCTCTGTTCGTCGATTATGAAGCCTGTTTCATCAAAATAATGCCTTGGAGTCATAGGAAAAACGCCAGAAAAGCAGCATCGCATTTGGACCACCGGGTACCAACCACAGCAGCCAGCCTTCCAAATCATACGGACTGTCTCCCTCGCCGAGGTACTTGGGGATAAGGATTTTCAACGAGAACAAAGATCCCGACTGGGATTGAAACTGGTCTCATCTGTGATGCAGCTTCATACAACACAGTGGCTAATGGACATATGGAGCAAGACCGATATCTCGTTCGCGTGTTCCACTGAAGGAACTGTCGATTTCGACAACCCATTAATACGACGCAGCTTCGGGTCCGGGTCCCAAAATTGCAATGTATCTTCGCCGTCAAGGAATCTCCCGAGACCCTATTTGGTCGCCTCAATTCCATGTTTGTTTTCACTTGGTGTGGTCCTCCTTGAACTATGGTACGGTAAAGTTCTGGAGAGCTTGAAGAACGAAGATGAGAGGAACATGGTATGTCCATCTGGAACTTGAACACCGTTGGAGCCTAGCCAGAATCCTAACAATTGAAAAAGCCACCTCAGTTCTCAGATCCTTTATGCGCACGACGTCTGACCGACGAATTGGTCTGCGGACCATACTTCAAGAATGCGGTCCTGAGATGTATTTGTGGCCTGGATGCCGTTTACACATCGTTGGAGGAAGACGCCTTTCGAGATGAGGTTGAAGAGAAGATTGTGTGTCCGTTAGAAGAAGACTTGAAGTTTTATTGCGGCAAAACTTCTATTAATGAATGTATATGATAATTGAATATCGAATCATGGCAAATGTCGCACCAGTATGCATAGTTTCGATCACCACATCTTTTCCCATGCACGATGTACCCAATTCATCTTAGCCAGCTCAGCCTTCCGACGTTCCTCCCAGCCACCCTCTTCCCAAATCTTGCATTCTTCGTCAACCTCTGCCTTTCCAGAGTATAAATCCGCATTAATCACAGACACGAACGAAGATCGACGATAGATCTTCCAGAAGACGAACATCACGAGCCAAAACGCGAGACCGAAGTACGAAGTGATAAAGCCCTGTACGCTGAAAGGCTTGAAGACAGAGAACCCATTGAAAAATGCAGTCAAGCAGCCAATCACTATAGCGAGAATCGCTCCATATGGCTGGAAAGGTGCAGCCCAGGGCACGAATGTCTTGCGATCAATGCCTTGCGCCTTCATGGCGCGATACCAGGCAATGAATACGCAAAGCATATCGGTGTATGTGAGAACGAAGGCGATGGTAGTCAAATCGACGAACCAGTAGAAGACTTCAACGGAAGAGCTGCCAGCCACGAGGAAGGTGATGCACGATAAGACTGAAACCACGAGTACACAGTTGATCGGAATGCCTGAAGCAGTACATTTCAACAGGAACTTGGGTGCCTGTCCATCACGAGCAAGAGAGTAAAGTGTTCTGCTTGAGCTGTAGAGGTATGCATTTCCGCACGACCACCCAGAAAGCAAGATGAGGACATTGATGAGATCGGGAAGACCGGTTATTCCCAGGTTCTGAATACCGATGACCCAAGGCGACGCCGCAGATCCAGATGCACCATCACTGATTGCAGACATGAGGTGGGGATCGCGGGGGTTGCAGATGATACCTACTGCCAGGACACCGACGACGTAGAATCCAACGATACGCCAGAATGTCATCTTCACGACGCGGGGGATGGTAACGCGGGGATTTTGAATTTCTCCAGCTGCCAGGGCTGGAAGGTCGGGTCCAGCAACTGAGAAAGCAGCGTACACCATCACACTGAAGAATCCCAAGAAACGACCAGTGTCACCATCGGTATAATACTCGAACATAACGCCGTCTGTCCAGTTTCGGAAGCCGTAGACGTCGTGTCGGGGGTTTCCGCCAACCATTGTGATGAAGGTGAGGAGGACGAGTCCGATGAGGAGGAAGATCTTGGTTGATGCCATGATGAACTCACTCTCGCCATACCATTTTACGGCAACAAGGTTGAGCACAGTGCATACTATGAGCGCCATGGCTACCCATACAGCAGGATTGACGCCAGTGTCCCAGTATCCCATGACGGTTGCAACGGCAGAGTACTCTGTACAGACTAACATCACACCACCGTAGAAGTATACCCAGCCCCTAGATATGTTAGCGCTTCACAACCCCAGACAAGAACCTTGCCAACTTACATTGCAAACCCAAAAGCCGGGTCAATAAATCTCGCAGCAAGCTCAAAGATCGACCCACGAATAGGAAGATACGCAGCCATTTCACCCACACACAGATTGACCGGTAAAATGAAAAGACATCCCCAAACCAGATACCCCAAGAAAAGAGAAAGAGGACCAGCATCTCGCAAGTAAGATCCAATACCAACAAACAACCCAGTCCCAATGGACCCTCCAATAGCCATCAACTGAACATGTCTGGACGCCAGACCACGCTGAGTCTGTCGATACGGCAGAACATCACCCTGACTGGTATCCTCTTTCGGATTTGATATTTTTGATTCTTTCTTCTCCATGATGAAAAGCCGGTGATACGACTCTACGGGCGGGGGACATGGCTCCTTAAATGCGCACTGATGTTGGGGTCAATGTATAGACTTTCAGGGTGCGGAGTGATGCCAAGCATCGAGAGCCATGCGAGTGACATGCCAGAGATACGGGCCGGTGGTGCATATGCGATAACTTTAGTGTATGGGCACTGAGTTGAGGTCAGTGACAGGGGGTTAGAGAGGCCGGTCTCAAAGGGGGAAGAGATGGCGATGCTAAGGTTGCCAAGTGATAAGCTTATCGACTTGAACTTTAGAAGTCGAGTGTAAAGCGTTTGAACTTTGGAAGGGCATTTTTGATAAGATATTGGCTTGGTTTTTGATTGGTTCCTTTAGACGGAGGTTGGCCGGATATCAAAAGACCGTACTTAAGTATTTGATCAGCTACTTGGCTATTCTATAATTGCCGCTGTAACTACTTGGGACTCTAGTTACAAGACTCATAGTGATTCCAAACTTCTACTCTTTCCAATATTTCTTCTCGTGTCTAAAAAAGGATCAGCGTACACCGAAGCAAAAGTTAACCCTAAAAGGAATGGTGTACCCCGCATTTTCCAAGTACAGGGGCTTGGGCATTGAGTTGAATGCCTCGGAGTTGCCTTCAGGGCTTGGATTTCAATGAAACATTGGGGTCTTAAGGGTAAAGATCCGTGCATTCAAGGGTGTTGGGGGCTTGTGGAGAGATACATTCAAGGGTTGACGATGTCTACAGGTCAACTGCTAGGTAGCCTGTATGTCTGGGTGTGACATCCAACAAAATCAACACCTCGGAATAACTGAAGTCATTGTCGTCTGTAAACAAAACAATTGTAAGAAAAAAGGAGAAAAAGAGAGTGAGAAGGAAAAAGAAAAAAAAGGGTGTGGGGGCTGGATCGAACTCCCCCCCTCTGTTAAGACCCAGGTAATCCTGAAGTCCAGAGGGGGGCGTTGGAGTACGCGGTATTTAAATCCTGAACGCCTTAACCCACTGAGCTACCGGGGTAGCTCACAGAAAGTAAGGAACTTTTGTATCTGATATAGACCTCTGTATTTCCTAATCGGGAAGATGTCCATATTGCTATCACATGATGCAGAGCCTCATCACATGTATTCCATAGTCCAGATGCCCTATCCAGGTCAAGCCGTTAAAAACAAAGACGTGACCTCATAGACTATGTCTTCATGGGTTGAGTGCGTCCACGGGTTTCCCCGAAATCATCCAAGTGTAAAACAGGACAGCCCAGGAGTCTGCACACATGACATCAATTAACTATTCAAATGAGTATAAACAAGGAAGAAAATGCTTTTCTACTCTATTGCAAAAGGTAGCCACCAACACCAACACCATATTATTCAAAAGCCAAAGGCAAAAACCCCTCCGAATGAGCACCATCCAAAGGCCACGGCCAATCCGACAACAACTCTGGCGGTAGTTGGAACTGCATTATCTGCTCACCGGTTGGTCCAACGACCGGACTCGGCCCGGTATGCAGACCTCCACTCGGCGGACCACTGGGTGGGATATAAGTGGTCGGGGGCGGGATGCGCATTTCGGATTTTACATCGACAGGAACAGCATTAGGGTGTGGGGGTAGGTGGCCGGCACCCAGATTCAACAGCCGAGATGTTCGTATGTATCCGTCTATTCGGTCGACTTGGGAACGGAGGCGTTCGCTGGCGCCTGATGCGCGCTGTAGGCCTGTTTCCAGACGGCCGAGGAGATCGGCCATTTCCAGACTAGACTATGTTAGAGAGTGTGGTGGATGGGAGTGTGGCTACTTACAGTAATGTGCGAACGCGTTGGTAGGATGATTCTGATAAACTTCCTTCCATGACAGAGCCGAGGATGTAGCCTATTCCGCCAAGATGGTGGAGCTAGTAGCGGTTAATGTGATTTTCGCGCAAGTATAGTGGGAAAAACATACCAGAGGGGAACTGATGGCCTTCAGATACTCCACTGGGACATTACTAAAGACACTGAGCAATTCCCTAGCCACGTCACATTTGCGGTCCACTCCGAGTTCTTCTGCTGATAAGAGCATCATGCGAAGGAGTTGTAATGTCGCTTGGATATTGGCGGACTGGAATCCAAACAGATCCCTGGCCATGTCACCGGTAGTAGGCGGAGTTTCCTTGAACTGCGAGGGTAAGGCAGCATACATGGAAAGAACTCGTTCCATGACTGCCGGTTCTGACATTGAGGCTGGGGTGAACAGAGACCAGACCTGTGAGGTGCCATTGGCCGAAGAATGTCGACGCTTATTTGCATCGACCACATGCTCGAGTATGCGATAAAGATCTGTTGTGAAATTCCACCCTCGAAGCCATGCGACGGGTTGTCTTGAAACGATAGTCACGTCACCCGGGCTCAGCACACTAGATGCTGGAGACACAGGCGGAAGTCCATAGCCTTGAGGAGTGATGAACTCATCATCAACCTCGCTAGGATATCGTACCAGCGAGTGTGCTTCGCGATATCGAATCACACCTCCCCACACAATTGTGGAATATATGTCTAATGTATATATCGACCAAAACTGGAAGCCCATCAGCAAACAGGACGAATGGAAGTTCGGCAAAGTATTGGGGGCATACCAGTCTCCGTCGTTCTTCGATTTCGATTGGAGTAAGGTGTTTCGGCCAAAGCTTTTCATCATGAAGTCCCTCCATACTGGTAAGTGTATGATACATACCCGAGAACTTCTGCATGTTCTTCGGCTGGCCATTTTGGATACTGGCGATGGCAAGGATGGCGCATGCACGCATATAGTTTATACCCTTTGCGGCCGCAAGGTCTCGGGGAATAGAGTCTTTCGCCGCTGCGTAAAATGTCTCCGATGGAGGTTCTGCAAGCTCGTCGCGATGCCACCTATTTGTGAACAAGGCGCCGTCTCGAGCACGGCCCGAAACCAACGCACAGACGGCCATTGTGGATGCAAAGAGTCCAGGATTTCGTAGATGCTCTTGATTGTGTACTCTCTCGATGAAGGATTGTTTGTGGAAGAGGGGGAATCTGACAAGCCATCAGCCGAGCGGGACCAGGAAGAGGGACACGGGTGGTTCTTACATAGGGTAGACAATCTCGAAGTATACCTGGACAAGATTACGGACTTGACGATCACTGGCAATGGCAAAAGCATTCCATGAGTTGCGCAGCGCAGCATCATCATCATACCCCTCTGTTGCGACCCCGCCGGCGTTGAACGCCGACCACGGGTCTCCCGTCAACGACGGCCGATGGACCGATTCAGGGTAATAGGAGCTCCTGGACGCGGAGGAGTTGGATGTTCTTCCTGTAGCCGGCGCAGCAAGCGGCACGGGAGTAACATTCTCAGTGACAGGGGTCTTGACCAACGGCGTCTCGCGGCCCGGTGCCCTGCTGCCAGCCTTGACGCCCCGACGTTTGGCGGGGCGATCGAAGGTGCACGGGACGTCAAAATCCGCGCAATTCTGGCACCTGCCTAGCGTGTCTTCACTTCTGCCACATTTGATGCTGCGCCTGTTGCAGAAGTCGCCTGGATGCGCGTGAGCCGCGAGCTCTGAGCTGTCGCATGGGGACGAATTGCCGCTAAGCGCGAGTGGAGTATGGGAATTGAGCGCGGGGAAGGACTTACAGGCTTTGGAGACGCGTTGGAGCTTTCGGGGTTTTTCCGACATTCAATTCATTGAACCATTCCAAGGGAAGGTTTGATCGAGTGTACAGCCCACTGCGGGATGAGGTTCAGCGGGCCGATGGGGTTCGGGGTTTGCACGGAGACACGGGTCGCGTTTGCCAGGTCTTGCTGGTCTTGCTGGGTCTTGCTGGGGGAACTGGGGAATTGACTCGGGAGAATCTTGCTAGGAGGTGGAGACCAAACTCAAGTGATGTCCTCCGATGACGATGCGCCATTGAGCTAGAACTGCGGTCGCTAAAAGTCATTAAGGTTGCATTTGGAAATGCTGAGTCATCCAGATCGAAAGCAGTGGGGGGTCCGTCGATCATGGCGAATAGGGAAGAGATCAGATTGGATGTGATATGTATACGAGGAATACGAAAGGATGAAGATGAAGATTGAAGGTTGACGAACAAAGTGATTGTTTCTTCGCTCTGCGGTTCTCTGCCGCCCCCTGCCGCTCTGTCTCCTCTCTTTTCATCTCTTCCTAACACTATTTAACACATTACACAGGGTACACGATCTTATACGTGTGTGATACCCAATTATACAAGCAAAATTATACAGTTCCCGAGATCTCGAGATATAGCTTCAAACGTTGGTGACTTTGGCGGAGGCGGAAGTCTCGACCTCGCGGATGGCCTCGTCCTTGTCCACACCGTGCTCAGCGAGGACATCGCCGTGTTCCTTATAGGCTTGCTCCATCTTCCAGAAGAACGGACTGGAGGTCGAGAAAAGGGCGTCGATGGACTCGAGGGATCGGTTTCGGGTCTCGGGGTAGACTAGCGGAAGAAGGAGATTAGTGTGTGCAATGGAGAGGGGCTTGGATAAACGTACATAGATATACAATAGGAACCCAGATCAAGTTGAGTCCAGCATAGAGGAAGTATGTACGGCTCTGGAGAACATATTAGTAAGGACAGTCGAATGGAGAGAGAAACAACACACCTCCATGACATTGAACATAATGGGGTTCACCAGAGTGGTCATCCCCACACCAATGGCCCACCCAGTAATGCCGAAGCCATTGCCCTGGGCTCGCAGATCACTGGGGAAGATCTCGGTGGGAACCAAAAAGGCGACTGTTCCCCAAGTGGCCGCATATCTAGTTTGGTTAGTGAAAGTTTCATGGAATGGTTGCAATGGACTCACCCCAGATTGAATAAAAACAACATCAGTACTGCACCAGGCGCATACTGAGCTGCCTTTTCGGGGTGCTTGCGAGAGCCCTCATAAACGGCGGCCGCCTAACAAAGTCAGCAGGTCAACTTGGGTTTCCTTCAAGTGACTTACGATAAGATTAACCGCAAACAACACCCCAGCACCACCCATCAAGCACACACGTCGACCTAGACGGTCAATGATCTGAGCACTAATAATGGTACCGATAATTCCGATGGTGTTGAGTCCTCCGGCCAGACCGTTTTGCTTGATGTCGCTGTATCCGGCCTGGGCGAGCAGGGTGGGGGAGTAGGCAGTGACGGCCTAATACGCAATTAGTACTTGCTAGCGGCGCGGGAAACCTCAAGTCGCAGGTTCTCAACTCACCGTGATACCCGTCCAGGATGCCATGATCTGCAGCCAAACACAGAGCCATGCTCGTCGGCCCAGATTCAACCCGGGCTTTCCACTCTTTCCAACCAAAATCTTCACAAACTCCAAAGGTGAGCTAGGTTTGCTTCCCTGAGCAGTGGTGATGATCTCCAGGTATTCCCGATCGATCTCCTCCTGAGAAGTACGACCTGAACGAATCCGATTCAGCAGATCGCGTGTTTCCTCATTTCGCCCCACCGATGCCAAATAGCGGGGGCTATCCGGCAACATCTTGATGAACGCCACCAAGATGAGTGCCGGGAAGCACTGGAACGCCAACAAAAACCGCCATCGAACGTCCGAGTATCCATTATTCACAAAAGCGAGGCCGAAGGAGATCCAATAAGCGACGGAGATTCCTAGATCTTCACGATGACGATTGTCAGCACTAGCCCCCACAGTCTCACAGCACAGTCCACAGTGGACACACGAATGGATTGCTCACAATTTGCGATGAAGACATAACCCAAAAAGCCCCCGCGATGATTCGCGGAAGATGTCTCCGACACCAATACCGGCGTGATCCCAGTCAAAGCTAGCACACGAGTCAGAAAAGGGTCCTTTTGCTCTGAGCTAACGCAAGGCTAGCTGGGGATACTCACCGCCGGTCCCAATACCGGTGAGCACACGGGCACACAGCATGAAATTGGAATTTTGGGCTGCCGCCTGCAGCGCGCCACCGATCAATGCGAACAGTGATCCTGCTAGCAAACCGTTGATCCGTCCAACGCGATCTGCAAGCCATCCGCCGGCAAAACATCCGAAGATCGCTCCCAGGTAATAAACGCTGACAATTCCTCCCTGGTGAGTGGTGTCTGTGACAGTTCCATCTGGCTTCCCAATGCCGACCTCTGTCACATAGGTCGGTGCGCTGTTGACGCCTCCCATGACACCCTGGTCATAACCCTCGAAGAAGATAGAGACCAACGAAAAAATCTGAATGGCGACATTGAGCTGACGTGGCGATAGCCGCTTCCATAAAGTGGTGTAACCCATCTTGAGATTCCCCAGATTTTGAAAATCAAGCAACCCAGATTCAATCCTTCTTATGGGTCCCGCCCCCGGCAATTGTGAAGAGTCTGTTTGGGCCAAGATGGAGCTGCAGTTCGCGCGGGGGAGTCAGCCACAAGGGTCAACCGTGTAGCCGTTTAGCATTAAGATTTGTCTTTAGGCGTGTACGAGGAATAGACGTTTAGCCGCTCAACCCTTCAAGCGGCCATCGGGCTAAAGGTATCAGAGATCAGAATGCCGAAGCGCATTATTGGGATCCACTGGATTAAAGCCGGCTCTGGACCGATTTCCTGTTAAATATAGTCTGGAGCCCGGGGAGGAGTTCTTCTATTTTCTCAAGTCTCCATCTTCTCCTATTCTTTACAATCATTGTTCATCGATACTCAATATGGGTTCTTACGCGGGTAACAATGCTGGCAATGCCTTGGATATCACTGTTTTAGGATTGAACAGCGGAACTTCGATGGTAAGTGGCAACTGTGAAGACAGTTCTTCACCCGGGTTTGAGCTTTGAAACATCAAACTAATTCATAACCAGGACGGTATCGACTGTGCCCTCTGCCGTTTCCGCCAGGAGACCCCGGAGTCCCCCATGCACTTCGAACTCCTCAAGGTAGGTCTTCCCGACATACGTTGATGCCCCCACTGTATGCAATGCATATTAACCAATGACTTAGTATGGCGAAATCCCACTGGAGCCCGTGATCAAGAAGCGGGTGATGAACATGATCCTGCATAATAAGACCTCCCCATCTGAGCTGTCCGAAGTCAACGTCATTCTGGGTGAGACCTTCGCGTCAGCTGTGCACAAGTTCTGCGAGGACTACAAAGTAGACATCAACACGATTGACGTCCTCGGATCCCATGGCCAGACAATCTGGCTGCTCTCGATGCCCGAGGCGGGCGAGACCCGCAGCGCTCTGACGATGGCTGAGGGGACATTCTTAGCCTCGCGCACAGGCATCACCTCGGTTACAGACTTCCGCGTTAGTGACCAAGCCGCTGGTCGCCAGGGTGCACCCCTCATTGCCTTCTTCGACGCACTAGTCCTGCACCACCCCACCAAGCTGCGTGCATGCCAGAACATTGGCGGAATCGCCAACGTCTGCTTCGTCCTGCCGGATAGCCACGGCGGCGTAGACGAGTGCTACGACTTCGACACCGGTCCCGGCAACGTGTTCATCGACGCAGTCGTCCGCCACTACACCAACGGCGAACGCGAATACGACCAAGATGGCGAAATGGGCGCCCGTGGTACTGTGGACCAGGAACTCGTCGACAATTTCCTGACACACCCCTACTTCGCCCTGGAACCACCCAAGACCACCGGCCGCGAAGTCTTCCGCGACACTATCGCCCACGACTTCATCGTCAAAGCCGAAGCAAAGGGACTAACTCCCGACGACGTCGTCGCCACCATCACCCGTGTGACCGCTCAAGCCATCGTCGAGCACTACCAACGCTACGCACCCAAGGACCTTGAGATCGCCGAGATCTTCATGTGCGGAGGCGGCGCCTACAACCCCAACATCGCAGCCTTCATCCAAAAGAACTACCCCAACACACGGATCATGATGCTCGACGAGGCTGGTATCCCTGGTGGCGCTAAGGAGGCCATTACATTTGCTTGGCAGGGTATGGAGGCTGTGGTTGGTCGATCCATCCCTGTCCCCACTCGCGTTGAGACACGCCAAGAATACGTTCTCGGTAAGGTGTCGCCTGGCAAGAACTACCGCAATGTCCTGCGCCAGGGTATGAACTTTGGTGCTGGTCGTGATCACCTTGCTCCTGTTAAGGAATTGGTCAATTACATTGATGGCAAGGTTTTCAACAACAAGTGGTAATTGCTTTTGCTGTTTTGATGTCTCCTGCATAATGAATTTGGGATGCATATTTCGGTGTTTTTTGGCGGTTTCCATGAACAGACTGATATAGTCGATACGAGTATACATACATGAAATGATGATTGCACATATTTGGATCGCAATGCAGTATTTCCAAACCATCCAGGCATACTGACAGTGATAATGAGACTATATTCTAAGGTCAGATGCATGACGTTGAGCCCGACAATTGACGCCCAACCACGTCGATCAACCATGGATCAGCTTCAATTTCAGATCGGTAAAGCTAAAATTACAACGAGAATCTCTGTGCCAGCCCGCAAATATTAGCATTCAAGGTTAGACGGCCTCAAACAAGTTAGGCTTGGAAGAGTAAAGTGCGACCAGGTGTCAATCACATTCTGAAGTCGTCAATTTTGACAGCGCCGCTTAGATTCACGGTTCTGCTATCGAAACATTTTATTTGATATCACATACGCAAAAGCATTTGGTTGATATGGTCTTGCTAAAGTCTCAATCTTGGAAGTCCTGCCCTCTTGCACTAGTCGAGAAACTGCGATGAAAAAGAAACTTCGATAAGACCGAAAACAAAAAAGTATAATTCTGGTCCGGCACATAGTAAGAATAGTAAATTAAAAGAAGTATCATACTTAAGTACTTGGGTAATAATCTGAAAGAACAAGAATGGGTCAGTAAAGAAACCTTGGAACCTTGGAAACGATAATCGTCGATACTAACCCGGAAGTAAAGAGGATTAGATCGAACTCCTTCACCACCAGAGTAATACACATTCTAAAGTTCTCTTGTTGGCGACAATTGATCGATGTCTTTGCAAAGAAAGACTAAAATAATATTGTTCAATTACTTTGATACGAACGCAACGATATCTTTGATCAATTGCACTATGTTATTCTAAAGTTCGCAAACGTAACAACTTAGTGATCGATCGAAATCATTTTTCGTAGAGATACAAAGATATTGTCTTTCGAAAGCATCTGCTGCAATTTGTTTTTAAGGAAATCCAGATCCACAATATCGACAGTGTTCCATATAGCAAAGAAGATTTTATTCAACATACTTAAGTAGTATATAGATCAATAGATCAATAGAGACAAAGAACACTGGAATATTTAATAATCGGTGATGCTTGCCAGGTGGACTGTAGTTTCGGAGAAATCTCAATGAAGTCAGAATTTTATCGTCGACAAATTTCCAACTAGTGAACAAATTATATTTGTCGAGAGTCTTTGTGATAAGATTCTTGTTTTTTATTTTGATACCCTAATTCGAATATCAATGGCCTTTGATCTCTTTGTTTTCATTAGCGATCACCATATTGATGAGTGATAGCTTTAAATAAGTATCTATGCTATTTCAACCATCAAAGCTTCCATCCTCTTGACAGGCCTTTCCATACTGGTAGATATCGCACATTGTTTTCTATCACGATCACTGTCGGGCCTCGAGTTCGCCGAGGTTCTCCACGCGCGTCGAAGTCATATTGAAAGATCGCCACACGCTGCTTTGCGTCTAGCCTTAGTAACGCGTATATGCAACCTTCATCGGTTAACCGTGCACGGGTCGGATCTGCTGGTTTCCCCGTCAGCTGGTTGTTCCGAGGGACCTCGAATTGGCCAGTTCCTCATGGATATCATGTCCGTCCGTCCTGGTATTTTTTCCGCGGGCGGGGGCTCCGGAGAGTCCAGTGTCCATGTCGACGGGTTATCAAGGTCATTCATCCGTTCTGATTTTGGCGCTTCCTCGCATAATTGCTTGCCTGCTTTCAGCCGTCCTAGCCAACTCTTGAGGTGCTGCTGCCTAGTATCTGTGGACGTCATTCTGGCCTTCACGCGAAATGAAAGGCAAGAGAGTGAACACGCCGTCTTTGTGAAAGGTGAAAGTGAGTCTGAATATTCGCTACAAGCGCGGCGGACGCGAAGAGCACAGGGGCGGTTTCGCGGCGCGCCATTTTGTTGTAGTTTGATTAAGTGCTTTAGGGGTGAGAGAGGGACATTTTCTGAGCGACGAGGATTTCTTTTGTGGGCGATCTCGTTTCTGAGCAGAGGGAAGGAGCGGACAACGAGCACCTGCCTTTCCCCCACCATTCCCCCATTCCCATCTGAGCCTGTTCTGCGAGCATGTAGCAAGTGTTCCAGATTGAAACAAATAGCAGGCTGTACATGTAGCAATAACCGCGCCGTCAGTTGGTAGGCGTCCTGTAAGAATCTCGCTATTCAGGCCAAAGTCTTTTGGCCAAGCTATGGCCCTCGTATTGACCGTTTTTCAGCCTTCATCGTTTCGGTCAAGTCTTCCTCGAGGGCCTGTCTCTGCCGTTTTAACACTCAAATTGTGGACTTTGCTGATCGAATCCGAATCAGGTACCTAGGTTAGGCGCCAGCTCTTTCCTGTAGTCCATATCGGTGAGGACTCCCTTAGAGCTGACCTCATCAAGCCCCGAGGTATGGCGTGTCACTTCGAAGACGTAGTGTCAGGTAGCCGGGTAAAGAGTGGCGGCGGTGCAAAACTGTAAGGCGGCAAGGCACAGAAACGAAGGAAGAAAGATGATTGTATTGGTATCAATAGTTGACTCGAAAAGCAACCGGTCACGGCCACGTGACATTCCAAATGCGATTCCTCGCATGTACCCGGGTCTTCTTTTCGTACAGGGGACTCCCGCCCCTTTTGGTTGATAGTTGATATCCTGGAACTCAAGTTAGGAAACCTGTAAAATCCGCAAATCCGGTCAAATGTTGGAATGAAAGGCAGTCTCATACAATACTCGTACAGCGTCTTTGCCTAGGGCGGAATGTGGTATACCGTATTCGCCGGTCCTTGTCCACTGAAAACTGCCGGCCCAGGAGTTCCCACCACTCTGCCGCTCTGGTCTTCCACCAAAAGATGAAGTTCCAGATTCTCGGCAACCCGCCTTTGGAAGATTGATAGGCGTGAAGACTGGAGGCGGATGTGGCGATGGCTCGCAGAGGACTTTTCCAGAGCCACCTTAGCGTCTTTGTATGCTTTCAAGTGGAGAGCGTGCTGAATGAGGAAATCATTCTCGATGCCGGCAGAGTGGGACGGGAAGATGAGAGGGGAAACGATGGGCTGCAGGGAGCGCAGCCCGTGAATGGAGGCCGCAACCTTCAAGGAGCTGAAGGCTCGCGAAAGAAAGCTGCTTGCCGGGTTGATGCCGGTAAGCGGCACGGCATGGCGCATGCCAATACCGTTGATGGCGGCGAGGATGACTGAGAGTGGATATCAAGTCCTTCGAAGACACTCGAAAGGCTGGTGCGTTTGAATTTGGGCGACTTGATAGGGGACGGCATTTTGATCGATAAGTGTTTGATCAAGAAGTAGCTGGTGTTGAAAATGTTTGGCCGTTCCGAGCGCCCTCGTCGGCGGTCTCGTCGTCGGTCTTGGCGGCGGCCACGGCGGCCTCGCATTCGGTCTTCAGCTCCTTGGTTCCCTGCGCGTCCTTTTTTCGGAAAAATAAGAATGCCTTTTTAGTGTTCCTGAGGACGATAGGGGGAGAAGGACGGCGAGGACGCCGGAGTCGGACTCCATAAGACATGGATAATACTATCAACGATGCTCCTGTACGCCTCCGCGGTGTTGGTATCCAGAGGAGGCATGATTTCTGTATTCAGAGAACTCATGGTTAGATGGTGATGATGAGGATATCGATGTTCTGGACGTCGTATTCGAGCTTCGCTTTTGGATGCCCCTTCATGACCGACTCCCGGTCGCCCGAAGATAACGTTTGAATCGAGCATAGTGGTTTGGGAGATCCTTTCAAGGTTCAGATCATCGATAGGTCAGCAACGTTCTGTGGATTTCTCCTTCCAAAGTTGGCACTTGCAATTCATCGTTCATTCGGTTGAACTTAAGAAATATATCCATGCATCTTATATGAACATCTATTCCAGGTTTCAAAATTAAGCTGCAATTTTTATCGAGCTCTAGAGCTGGTGTGAGATTTGATGCTCAAGTGAAGTTGTTCTGAATTTGAATTTGACCCTGGGACGTGGCTCTAAGTTCCAAATAGCCTGTTTTTCTCATTAATGAAGCTTAAATGAACCTTGCAGTCGCCGATTCATGTACCAAACGTCCCCTGGGAGGTCATCCCATTTGAATTTGATGTAATAATTGAAAGATAAAACTTTGGAACAAAACAAAACACAAAACCTATCTATTGAGTTGAGGCTTATTGTTAATATAAAGCATGGAAATTGTCCTGGGGGTGGAGCAAGTGACGACAGCCAATACTTTTGCCACATATTAATCCCACAGATGCTTTAGTGGTTCTATTTGGTCGAGCTAGATTTATTAGCGATATTGCTAATAGGGACCTCGAGAGGGCTTTCGGGGGTGGTAACCTTGGAAATGCCATGAAATCACTCCAGTGCCCTTGAAGGGTGTCACAGCTCACCATGGAATGCTATCACTCATTTGCCATAAATACAGTTCCACCATTGCATAAAATTTGGTTTTACGACTTCAGGAGGACAATGAACACGAAAACCAGTTCAATTCGGCATGGCCACCGAGGCAAGTCGGTGAAATGATCGAGCGACTTGCAATTGGGAATGGGGAAGTGCACCGATATTGGATAATCGAATGAAGCACCGGATCACGGCAGGTGGATCGCATGGCGCTAGGGCTAAAGCATCTCATCAAGAAATAGTTTCCTACTTTCCATGGAAGCCACACAATCTTGCCTTCAGTACGCAGCTATTGTTCAACCTAAAAAGGTTGATCGATGTGGGATTCTAAGTCGCAGGAAGTAGTGATACTTAACGTGCATGGGTGTGTACTGATTGACGAAGGCCCCTTGCAACAGCGGTAGGCGATGGCTTTGATATGACGTGTTTGAGTGTACAAAGTTGCCCGGGTGCAAAACCAAAGTTACGGTATGTGATTTCAACCAGTTGAAACATGAGGCCTAAAACATTCCATTTCTGTGCAATCGAGCTCTCATCGGAAACGGGCCGAAGGGCGTCAGGTCACTCACCAGGGGCGGGACCCGACAAACCGAACCATAAACTAGGAGCTGAAAATTTGCAACAATTGAAATTATCGTTGGGATAGTAATATCAAAAGTAAGGAAATCTATTCCATTTGTGGTATGTGTCGTGCTCGCCGAGAAAAGTCCAGATCTAGATATCGCGGCGTTTGCTCGGGCCGAGCGTTTGCCGAGCTGATATCAAAGGAATCTCACGTCTGACCGCGCCGAATGCAGTCAAAATAAGCCTGCAAGTGTGAATTTGTGAAACAATGCGTCATTTCTTGCTATTATCAGTGCCCGGTGATCTTTTGGTCAATCTCGGAGATGGATCGGCCAAAATTGTATACTCAGTCGCTCACCCCCGTTCGATGTATAAATACCAGGCTGTACCTACACATTTTTTGGCTCGCCCAGTATCTTAACGTTCCATTTACTTTACCAGTCTACACAACAATTATAATGTCTTCTTCAATAGCCAACGAAAACCCAGAAAAGGCCGAGCCACCTCATCCCCAACACACGATGGTCGAAACGGAAGAAAGTCTGCGCGGCCTAGGCGTTTCAGAGAGCCATCGACTCGACTACAACTATCCGACTATTGGACATAATTCAGACCCCGTCTTCCCTGAAGAGTACACGATCGAAACCAACACCGGTTTAGTTCTACAAAAAACCCTCGAGCAGGTCAAATCCCATGGCTCGACTTCAACCACTCAACACGGCACATCTGCCGACGAACATAGTGCAGATCTGGAAAAAGGAGGAAATGGCCCTACGGAGTTCGTCACTTTCACAATCAACGATCCAGAGCATCCTCACAACTGGTCCCGAGTTTATCGATGGTACATTACGATGGTCGCCTCCGCTCTCGTCGTCTGCGTTGCATTTGGCTCATCCATCGTCACTGGTGGACTTGGTCTGATCGAAGATCAATACAATGTCTCTCTCGAAGTGGCTATCTTAACATGTTCGATCATGGTCTGTGGCTTTGCAGTCGGTCCACTACTGTGGTCCCCGCTCTCCGAAATCATTGGTCGCAGACCTGTATATATCATTTCACTCTTTCTATACACGGTTTTCAACATCCCCTGCGCTCTGTCACCAAACATCGGCGGTCTCCTCGTTTGCCGCTTCCTCTGCGGTGTTTTCTCAAGCTCGGGCCTCTCCCTTGCTGGTGGCACAATCGCGGATATCTGGAGCATTGAAGAACGTGGCATGGCAATCGCTTACTTTGCCGCAGCACCCTACTGCGGTCCAGTCCTAGGTCCTATCGTCACTGGATGGATCAATGTTGGATCAGGTCGCTTGGATCTATTCTTCTGGGTCAATCTCGCTTTCTCAGGCGCAATCATGGTCCTCATCGGCCTGGTGCCAGAGACTTACGCACCGGTCATTTTGAAGCGTCGCGCAGCCCGTCTGCGCAAAGAGTCCGGCAATCCAAACATCATCACCGAGATGGAAAAGACAAAGCCTTCTTTCCGAGAAATCGCACGCACAAGTCTGATCCGTCCTATCACGATGATAATGACAGAGCCAGTCCTCGACCTGATGTGCATGTACATCGTTCTCATTTACTCGATGCTGTACGCATTCTTCTTTGCGTACCCTGTCATCTTTGGCGATTTATACGGATACAACGATGGCCAGATTGGACTGATGTTCATTCCGATTCTAATTGGCGCAGCCTTCGCACTGGCCGTAACGCCAGCCATCGAAAACAGGTTCCGGCAAACATGCGCTGTTCGATCTCCAACGCCCGAAGATAGACTTCTTGGCGCATTGATTGGCGCGCCATTTATTCCCATTGCTTTCTTCCTCCTTGGTGCCACATCCTTCAAGCACATCATCTGGGTTGGACCTGCTTCCTCTGGCATTGCCTTTGGATTTGGCATGGTCCTCTGCTACTACGCCGTGAACAACTATATCATTGATTCGTACCAGAAGTATGCAGCTTCTGCGCTGGCTGCCAAGGTCTTCCTGCGGTCTGGGGGTGGTGCTGCATTCCCCCTGTTTACCACGCAGATGTATGACCGTCTTGGACTGCAGTGGGCTTCTTGGCTGCTGGCTTTCATTGGCCTTGCCATGGTCTTGATTCCTTACGTCTTTTGGATGTTTGGGGCCAAGTTGCGGGCAAAGCTTACTCGGGAGTGAATATACATGGCTTGGCTTAAATAAAAAGGGGGTTCATTGGGGAGTGGATTTTGGTGCGCGTGGGATACGTCGGAGATTTGAGCCTACTCTCAAATATTTTCGTCAAAAGTTGAAGTTGGAGGGCGATTATTCGCGATAATTTGAAGTAATGTAATAGACAATTAGAATAGATTGAAGACAGATATAATGCCCGTTTTACGATCAAATCATCCCATTAATCCCTAAAGTCGACTCCGATAATTTTCAAGAGAGAGAAATTCAAGAAGTATTTATCTCAACGCAAAATGCAGCGTATCAATCTCAGCTGGTAGTTTGATCCCACAGACTTCGCACGGTGACGTCATCAACCCATCGTCCCCCAGTCTCATCTTTCTGCACAACAAACCGAAGAGTGCGCTTCTCCCCGGGCGCCAATGTAAACGAGTTGTCCTCGAAATAGCCTACTACCCCGGCAGGGTAGTCAAGCCATGTATACAGTGACATGGCACTCTTAGCCTCGACTGTGAACGTATCAGATTCGGCGTCATGGGATAATTGCAGTTCGGGATCTTTAAGCTCCAGGTCCTTGGGATAGGAGGGCGTAAAGTAATTCCTGTGAGTGAGTGTAGTCAAGGATCCATTCTCTTGATTTGGGAGGTGACCTTGAGCAGTCAATTCGATAATGAGTACGGCATTTTTGACGCTGGGGAGGGAGATCTTCGCGATATTGGTGTCAAAGATGCAAGTAGTGTTCAGTGCACCGACCGAGAAGCTTTCAGTCTCTGGTGTACCTGCATTGTTGGGAATCGGCTTCCCGGAGAGATCTGTCCACTTGAAGCTCACATTCCCGTGCGCAGTCTCCCAAAGATCAGAGGTCACGTAGACTGAGAGGTCACCCGTCGACGAGTTCCAAAATGGCGAGACAATGATGGGTTGATATATGTCGCGTGCTGCGTAGTGCAGAACTTTCCAGCGACCATCATACTCAATGCCTGCCCACGTTGGCGCTTGCCAGATATCTTCCAGTTGCCAGTACAGAGATCCGAGTTGGCGCTCTGGCATCCCACTGCCACGACGGTAGAATTGGATTTCAGATTTGTACATGTCTGCTTGGAAAAGCTGTGTCGCATGGCACCATGCGCTAAAATTCGCGATCGAATCGTCCTTGTTCGGAATTGGGTAGTATCGTTCAACTGCGAGGGTCATCTCGGCCATGCCCATAGATGCGTTTTTGAAGTTGTGGGTATCGGGGCCGTTGGAAGGATAGTGATGGTTTCGAAGGACAATGGTGCTACTGTTGAAATGAAGGTCTTCTTCGTCCACTGCTTGCCACCAGGTTTGTAGACTGGGCATACTATGGTAGCCGAACTCGTTTGCGAAACGACCAACGGGATATCCTTCGAAGTCGAATGCCACACTGCTGTCGTAATTGTAGTAATCAGTATCCCCGTAATAATATCCTTCTTGATCCGTGCCGTTGTCGTATCGTTCGACCATTGGAACGGGGGCAGAAAGATCCACCTTCAAGAAGCCATTGTTCGTACTGCTGGGCATGTATGAGATTGATCGCGAATTCTCATAGACCAGAGGTAGAATCAGGGTAATGAACAAATGCTCATAATCACCAACCAAGAAATCGTAAGAATCAGGCGCCTTCTTCTTCGCAGTTGGCAATTCCAAACTTTCAATCTCATTTCCACCTGCCCACAAGGCCAGGGATGGATGATGATTGACCCTTCTCACATTATAGACAACTTCTGCAGCGACATTATCAAGGAATGGCTGATCCGTCGGATACAGTGCATCACTAAATTGGAACTCGCTCCAAAGCAACACACCTCGCTCGTCAGCAAGATCGTACATAAAGTCCGGAAGGTAAATGCTGGAGGACCAGACTCGGAGCATATTCTGATTTCCAGCCACAACTGCATCAAACAATCGTTTCATCTTGGCCTCGGTGACTCGTGGCCAGAAGGCATCCGGTGGAATAATGTTGGAACCTTTCGCGTAGAATTCCCGACCGTTCACTTCGAAGTGCCAATTTGCCCCTGGTGCTATACCCCGGGATATTTGCTCCTCGGTGATATTTGATCGATTGAGGAAAATTGTACGGAACCCGGTACGCTTGGTAACGCTCGCTATGTGCTGTTCATTGTTTCGAATTGTCACTGTCACGTTATACAGGCTTTGGTTCCCCATTCCTGTCGGCCACCAGAGACGAGGTGCTTCTGCATCGACCATCGTTTGGCCTGTGATGGCTTGACCAACCACAGTTACATTGTCGAGGGTTCCGGACTTGAGAATTTCTCCAGAATTGATATCCTTGATTTCAATATCCATGGACGGTCTTTCGGGGAGAGAGCCGACAAAATCGATACTCGCATTAACAACCCAAGGCTGGCTCTGATCAGGCGCAATGTGATTGATTTGGCCCTTTCGGTAAATGTCAAAACCGGTGTTTAAAACATATGCACTTGTCTCGGACTCGGATTGAATCAAGTAGACCTTCTGCCACGGACCAACAGGCGACAACGCTGGGCCCCAATCCCATCCAAAATCGGATTGTTCTTTGCGAATATACTCGCGATTTGGCAGTTCGAAAACACCTTGAATGCCGGGTGGCCATTCTAAAGGCGTGTTAGGTTCGTTGCTTGCTGAGTGTGGTTTGACTTACTTTGTGAGTTTGGATCGGCAGCAATCGCATTTGCAATGTTGGGACAGCTCCCGAAATTGAGAGACACGGTCGGAGATTCTTTGCAGTTGTTCAAAGCATCCGAGATGTCAAAAGTATATTGTCGAAACTGGTTGTCAGTAGTGGCTATCTGTTGCCCGCAGAATTCGATCGTCGTGAAAGTGTCGAGGCCATTGAAAACAAGCCAGGAAGCTTTCGCATCGTTTGATCTAGATGTCGTAAGTACTTGAGTAAGGAAACGCTAATATGCACACTTCATTGGGCACTTACAATCCCTGAATCGGTTTGCTTGTATATGTCCAGTTGTTGTTTGCAATCCACCGCAAGTTGAAATCGTTCAGACCGTGGTATCTATGAGCTCCGGTCAGCATGTTTCACACCGACAATATATAGAACGGCGGGACGAACGGATCATCTATATATTTTTAGCAAAGAAATCTCAAATTATTTCAATGGACTGTAGACTCACCTATAACCCCCGCCGCCAAAAGGTCCAAATGCGCGTGGGACGGAACATGACCAGGGACGCTGATATTGAGCGCGCTACTACTAACAGTCCAGCCATCGCCACTCAGATCAATGACATTTTGTCCCAGAGCCGACGGCAGCGCAGATGGAAGGGCACTAAGCAAAATCTGTTTCCACAGATGCATGGTAGCAGAAAAGTGAATGTTCATTTCAACTGTCCGACCGAGGGCGCGAGGTCAATAAATACGTTATTTTGCCCCCGCTTGGCTAGTCACATCGTTAACGGAAATCCAGTCTGCACGATCAAATCACCCGGTCATGCCGGCTAAATGAAATGAATCCACATATAATTTTGAGACTGGATGGGCCCAGGGGAAGATGGAGTCGATAGTATTGTCGTGCGGGGAAAAGCAACGGTAGCAGCACTGGGTTGTGCAACAATGATGATCCCGGAGGGTATAGTCAGTAGCCTGCGATTCCGGGGTCTTTAGCGGGGGCCAAGCGACGATCTGCGGTGTTGGAGGTGGAGCGATGCGGAGGATGAGAGGGGTCATGCCCGAGCGTCTCAATGCTTGCTTCGTTAGCGCGTCTTGGGCTTGAGAAACGCATAGAAAGTACCAAAGTCCACAGGATCAGGCAAGGGGCAGCCAGGCTCGTAAATTGCACCTTCCAACTTAGCCGAGTTCATGGGGGCAGAATTGACCCCTTGATTACAGGCAGATAATTCAACTTAGAAGTGACCACGAATATAGTGAATTCCAAACGTCTCATACTCTCGTGTAGATGAAATTAGCGAGAACGCCAATGCAAGTCTAGTATATACATTCTTGTATTTACACAATATTGTCCGAATCATGTCCACTGCAGACCTAAAGCAGGTTCTTGCGCATAATCTCGACATGCGTTGGCGAGAATCCAAGCCCATCGGTCAAATAGCCTTCAATCCCATTCTCAAAGGCACTTGCAAAGTACTTCAAGAACTCCGCCATAGCCGTCGCACGGACGCCACACAATTCCAGCATACCCAGGGCCTCGGGACTTAATTGGCTGATGTCGACTTCTTCAGTTTCCATATTCATGGCGAAAGCCTCCATGAGGTTCTCACGGGCGCTCTCCAGGCCGACGCGAGTCAATATATAATCATTGATAATTTCATCTCGGGGTCGGTCAATGAGAAGAAGTATCAGAGCGGCCAATACTCCTGTTCGGTCTTTGCCGGCTGTAGAGGGTTGACGGTTAGCATCTTTATCAATCCACAGCCACCTGAGAGACGGAATATCGCAACACACACCAAGATGCAAGGGCAATGCAAGGAAACTTACCAGAACAATGGAAGATGAATGGATCATCCGGGCTATCTCTGATATGGGTGAATACTTCAGTGAAGCACGGCTTGGCAGCCTCGAGAATCCCCGAGTACATCTTCACGAACCCAGCAGCGCCTTTGTCCTCGCCTGCAAAGTCTCTGAGATTTAATGTCGCCGGTCGGGCTCCATATGGCATCCATATCGTATCGACTCCCGGGATTGACGGGGGAGGAGCTTTCTGTCTTTCGGCTTCATTCCGAAGATCAAAGACGGTGGTTATCCCTAACTCGGTTGTGATGATTGATTTCCCGGAGTCCATGATATCCGACAGATTCCCGGAGCGATACACGTATCCCGCGCGCAATTTATTGCCATCGTGGCTCAAGTCGCGAAAGTTGGACACTCCTTGTATGGGAATAAACGGTGGCAGAGAAGTGATTTTTGAGACCACGGCCTCAGGAATAGGGCTTCTAATATCGGTGTTCAACACCTCGCGAAATTGTTCGGATTCCAGCATTATTGAATATGAAGATGCGTGAAAGGAAGCAAAAATGAAAAAGTATCGAGTTCATGGCAGTTCCAACTATGTCATTCCCCAAAATAGTGGGGGCCGAGGCTTACAGGCACCATGTCATCATATATGACGATGTGCCCAGAATATTCATCTGTGCCCGCTTTTTTAAAAAAATCTGGTATTTATTGTCATGTTTCTGGAAAAACAACAGCAGGTCCGATTTGGCTTTGAGTTTTCACCAGATCGTGGATAAAGTATCCTCCAAACGCCACACGATTACATCAGTTTATGGGGAAAATTCGGAATATCAATCGGATTGCATTGAGTTCGTTGGTACAATGGACACTCTCAACAAATTGCGGGGATTTGATCAAATCGACTCTCACATCCTCGAGGGCTTGGTAGAACAACAGACCGAGTCATTTTGGTGCAGCGTGGATTTGTTGTCGTTCTGAGATGATCGGGGTACATCGTTAGAGGGGTTCAGATTGAAAAAGTTGACAGGCTTGAGTGAGACCATCATTCTCTCCTTGGGCATAACAGGGAAATCTAGGAAAACGTTAGAATTGGCATGCCGCACGCCAAAATCCAGACAAGGAGAGAAAATAAATAATACACACCTTCTGTTCTCGTCACATGAGTTGTGCCAAAGCTGTGCCAGAGAACGACATCTTCGTTCTTGACGGACTCGTCCCGTACAGCCCACTTGGCAAGCCCAGTATCCTCCCGACTCTGGTTGGTAAACTCACCCGAAGCCCAGAGCTCATCATCACGGTGTTTGGTGACCCATACAGGCTTCGCGGCGAATACACCACGCTGGTAATTTAATGTTTCGGGCCCCATCATGATCATCTGACTTGGCACGGGATGAAGCTCGTAGCCAACAGGCTTGCCAGCGATGGGGTTGATCTTGGATTCGTTAAGAATCTTGAAAACCCGACCCTTCGACAGGTCTAGGTCGTATCCACCAGGCTTTTCAATGGCCGTTGTGTCAACCTTGAAGGCACATCCGGATGGATTCAAGTTTGGCTCATGCTCTACTGGAACGCAGTCATCGTACACGACTGTATTCTTTGGCCCGTCTAGGGACGGATCAACTCGCAGACAGAACAGATGTTGATGGTTCACCGCGAGAACGCCAGGAGCAACAACAGTACCCCACGGAACCTGGACTCCTTTGCGGATAGGCATCTTGGAAACAATACCCGTCGCGCGAACATCAATATGCAAATTGGCCGCCTGATCCAGAACGAATGCCAGGATATACTCATAGTTCGCAACTGTGGCAGTGCACTGAATGACAAGCTGGCGGTCTCTCACGACAGAAGACTGCCCATTACGGAAGTTGGTATGCTTCCATCCAATACCATCGTCGACCTCATGCATACATACCACATTAGGCATGATGACAGGCTCACCACCGCTTGTCACTCGGATTCCGTTGAAATAAGCAATGTGACCAAGGCAGTCACAGCCCAAGTTCAAAGAGTTGGAAGTCAAACCAAAGCCAGAATCACAAAGATCGAATGCTTGCTTGCGATGGTATGGCGAGCGAGGATCACCATACGGCACGGTCATCTCGCTCATTGAGACTCGATAGAACAGGGACCGTCCCTCATATCGGACATCGTGAAGCACGGGTCCTTTGCGCATGTTCCAACCAAGTTGGAAGGACCACTTCTGCCACTCGATGTGACGTCCCTGGACGCTGAAGGAAGGTCCCTGGGGCTGCAGGACTTGCAAGGGCTTCAAGTCCTTTCGGAACGCATTGGGTCCTAGCAAGTCGGCGCTGTATTCCACTGCACTGACCGGATCCCACGGCTGTGTTTCCGAGTCGAGCTCGTCGGTCGCCCCGGTAGGCAGACGTTGTAGATCAACAAGCTCAAGTGTGTTCGCGTCGAAGATTGGGGCGAGGGGTAGAGCAATGGAGTAGTGGTTTGCCTGCGGGTCATCGTTGAGAGCCAAGTACATATAGCACTGGAAAAGACGACGTCGCTCGTGGTGGTTATCAGTGCCAAAGCTCCAGGGGTCATTTTCGATCCTCGCGCTGTTGAGGACGTTAGATAAGTCAACCAAATTGGAAGGAACTGTGACTTACTTGGGTGGTAACTTCAGCTTCGCGACTTCCGCAAGAACCTTGGGGTGTGACATACAGGCTTTGTGGACGAGATCATATTCAACCCAGTCCACAGGCGCTTGCGAGTCAGGTGCATCATAGCTCCGCTCCAGGGTTCCTTTTGTGACATTGACGATTGCGATTGAGAGAATCGGACTTTTCAAGTGATGGTAGTAGATTCGGCACTTGCGGTCAGGCGCGGGACCACCATGGTGAAGGTAGGGTAGTGTCAAGGCCTTGGGAGGCTCAGCAAGGTCAATTACCTTGAATCGAATCTCATTCGACTTGCAGCCCAAGTGTTTCACCAGCAGCTGCGAGGCCGCTTTAACTTCCCCGGCATGCAGTGGGTCAAGATGGTGTGAAGCTGGGGCGGGGGCTTGAACTGCCATGCTGGTGACTGGTGATGCGCAAAACAAGGTGTTGTCTAATACATGCGAATGCTATTGTTTTGAGGTCAGGGTTGAAGATCTATATACAAAGTCTTCCCCCGCGCAGTGATCTCATAGCTCACAAGTTCTGCTTGACTTCTCAGCTAAATAGGCAGCATTGAACGCGATTCTGAATCTGAATCACCCAGAGATTGAAATGCGGGGAGGGCGCAACCTTTCCTAGAAGGGGTATAAGTGCGCGGTGCGGTGGAGTTTAGATATGGAAAGGTATGCTCAAGTGGCAGCGTTGAAAAAAATGACCACTGTGGAGCATGCTAGATCACGTACTTTGGGGTCGGCGACTGTACTATTTGTGTGACTTCTATATCGCTCTATCCCGCATAATCTTTTTGTTGTTTTTGTTTTTCTTACTCAGGGCCATAGCAATGCAAGGCTTCTAAAGGGCTGCCTTGTTTCAAAATTTCAGGTAAATAGCAGTCAGTCGTGCAGAATTAAAGATCCCAAAAAGAAGAATGAACATTGAAATGGTCCGAGGTCGTTCAGAGTAGGACTGGGAAACCGTGGAAAAGCTCACAGGGAGATCCACAATTTCCTAAACGGGAAGTACAGCCAGCCACGCTAGTCCCCTTTTGGACGAAGACACTCAATCTAGGTTGTCCCTTTGAGGGGCAAATGTTCTCCACGGAGATACAGACTTGTGGACTACAAGTATACAGTTTCAAATGCACCGGAATCTACCAGTGCCGAGATATTGTCTCAATGATTACATTGTGGGGGTTGCGGGGTTAATAGTACCGAGTCATCAAGTTGGCATTACTACCTTTTCTGGCGAAGTGGGACTTCGGAATACCGAGTGCAATAGTCAGATGTCCTAAGAGGTCGCAGTGCCTTTATTTTGATTGTCCTTGATGACGAGCTAACTAAGTCGCAGTTCCTGCACTAAACACCTTCACATCCTGAGTTGGTCTAAACAATTGAGCAAAATCTTCGCGTGAGCCACAATCAATCTTTTCTGTCTCATTCTCTGTACAAAAAATTCTTCAGCCATTTGTTCCTTGCTGCTCTTGCTTGGAATGCAAGATCGGTTTCGTAGAACAAGTCAAATCCATGGGGACCGCCTCCCCAAATGTGCAAATGGGCCTGAACTCCGCACTTCCAAAGTGTGGTCGCATATGCAATGTCTTCATCGCGGAACGGCTCTCCAGACCCTACATCAATGTAGGCCAGGGGTAGATTAGAGAGATCCATAGCGCGAGCAGGCGCCACATACGGGCTCACATTCGCGGTACCGGCCTGGTCTCCAAGTACGCACGACCAAGCATATCGATCCCAGACCGTGTAGAATCCGTATCCATTCTCGAATTGTAGACACGATGTAGTATCGCATCTATCATCAAGCATGGGACACATGAGCAATTGTGCGCATAGCTTGGGGCCACTGCGGTCTCTGGACATGATGACTGCACCGGCTGCCAGGCCCCCGTCGGCTGATACACCGGCGATCATAAAGCGATCGGGGTCAATATTGAAACCCTGCAAGTTCTGAGACATCCAAACGAGTGAGTTGTAGCAATCTTCGACTGCACATATTCCAGGGTAATCTGGCGATAGTCTGTAGTTAATCCTGATGACCACGGCATTCAGTTCTTTCACAGTGTCAACCAGACTCTTGAGGCCAACATAGACGTTTCCCATCACACGTCCACCTCCATGACAGAACAAAATTCCAGGTCGAGAGCGGTTTGGCTCAGAGGCATGGCGACTGGAGAGGGATATGGCCTCTAGAACTCCATCAGGGGTTGGAATCTCGAGTTTCTCGATGGTGAGATCGGGATCATTAACTATGTTTTCGTCCGTTGGTGGCTCTTCAGAGCGTAGAGCAAGAAGTTCCTCGATGCTTGCGGGTAGTGGCCGATGTTGTGTATCCTCAAAGGGTATAATGTCGGAATCGTAGGGTGGCAAGGGAAACGTGGTTTTGGGTGTTGGAACAGCTGTCATTGTTGATTGTTGGCTTGGTTATTCTGCGTGCAAGTAAGGAAGTGGAATCTGTTGGGCATCGGCTCGTATATTGCTCGCATTTCCAAAAGTCCATCCAATTCAGACTTGATCGGACATGCTTTGAGTTGACTTAACTTCCCTTTTAGGTAGAATACACCAAGCCTTTTCAAGAAATATCCCCGCATTCGCAGAAGGTGCTTTGGTTGGTTGACTCGAATTGAGTTTGGGGACCTCAATGAGTGGAGCTCTGGGGACAAAACGGTCTGTCTTCAACGCAAGGAGGTCATCAAAGGTAAACTTACCGAGAGTATGAACTCTCATGAGTAAGAAGAAGAGAGATTTGGGAGAAATAACAAAAGGTGGAAGGCAGGGGAAGGGGGGTGACAGAGAGCTCCGAGTCACCAAAAACCATGAAGCCAGCTATCTTCTCATTCTTGTACCAATTATTTCTATCAACGATAATCTCTATGCTCGTCTTTAATCTCATAGATGAGTACTTCTCAACCTCTGGGTATATCGGCTATTCTCGGAGAAAGCGTTCCGAATATAACCGAGGTTGTGTGTATGATTCAAAGGAGCAAATGATATTGACATAAGATAGGTAGCAGTCAATCGCTAAAACTTTGATCATGAGCCATCTATGAGGCGCAGAGGAAGAGGAGGAAGAGAGGCAGATAGAAACCTCTGGATGGGAGGACAAACAGAAAGGACCGGGGAGGTCTACACATCATGAGTGGACACGCCTGACATAACTTCAGTTTTAGTTATACAGCCCACCATTGGCAGAAAGAACAGATCCTGTCACCCATCGAGCCTCTTCTGAACAAAGGAAAGCAACCAAAGGGGCGATATCCTCAACTTCGCCCACTCTGGCTGCAGCGGGAGTGGAATCGATAATGGGCTGCATTTCTTTCAAGAAGTCCTCGTTGCTATTCCTTCACTGGTCTGATTTCAATGTTAGTATTGGCGCCTGTATAGTTACTCGGGGTATTTACCAGTTGCCACGGGACCTGGGTTGACGCAGTTGACTGTGACGCCATATTCTTGACCCAATTCCTTTGCCCAGACTCTAGCCAGGGCCTCGTTGCCGGCTTTCGTTGCTGAGTAGATACTTTGCATGGGAACACCCAGGCGGGCGGCAACTGAAGAAACAAGGACAATTCGGCCGCCTTGCGGGAGGTGTGGGAGGATCTCCTGTGTGAGGAAGAATGGTCCCCGCAGGTTGCAGTCAACGTGTCTGTTGTAGAAGTCGAGGGAGACATCTTTCAAAAGGGTATCTTCGCCTAGAGCAGCACTAGGAAAGCTAACGACTATAATAAGCTTGGGGTTCAATAACTCACTTGTGGACTAGGATCTCAATCTTCCCGGTAACGCTGAAATCAACAGCAGCCTTGACCAGCTTGGGGATGTCATCAAGGACACTAATACTAGCTTGGCAAAGTAGGGTCTTCGATCCAGTTGCCTCTATCTTGCCGACAACATTGGCCGCTGCCTGACGACTACCATTGGACACATAGTTGACAACCACGTTGGCACCCTTCTGCGCAACCTCAAGGGCGATCCCTGCACCGATTCCTCTTTTGTGAGAAAAGAAAAGTAAAATGTGAGCTTATAGTGAGATTTTGCTCGAGTCGAATGGGGGATTCTTACCTGGATGCACCAGTAACGATAGCGGTCTTGCCTGCAAGGGGACGGTGTGGTACAGCGGTCGCACTCATGATTTCGGTAGTATGTTCAAGATGAGGAGGACGGGTATCAAAAGAGGAAGCATTGAGCCTGACAAGATGTTGAGGCCTACACGGCGAGAGAAAGAGAGAAGACGACTGACTGATCGATTCACTGTGGGAGAGAGAGAGGGAAGAAGAAGGGGAGAGAGGCTCGGGAGCGAGGGTCTATCTACAAACAGCAAACGAGGGTTGAGACAAACTTCTATCTCAACACAAGATACAATAGTCGACATAATAAATACATGAAAAGTGAGGGGCACATTTTGGGGAGTCCCCTCGTGTTGGTCCACCTGCCCCATGAGGAAGCCGAGCCCGCTTCACAGTCAACGTAACTCAGCATATGAATCTCAATCTTGGTTTTTTTTTTCTAAAAAAATGTTCGAGAGCTAAGTAAAATTGAAGTGACGCAATATGCCCGGGTTTGCATCAGCAACCCACCAACCATATTCAAACTTGCGCGATCATGAGGGGTGCTATACAGAGTCACCAAGATATGTTGGCTAGGTAGTGCGAGATTCATACTTAAGTAACAGCTAGAAGCACAATCTTCCCCTGGAGCCTGGGAGCAGAACGTATGGAGTTGAACTAAATGTCACAATATAAGACGATAGAATTTCCAAAATTCCACATCCAACACTCATCCCACAACTTTAGAATGAAGTAGCAGTAGCAGGGTAGCGGAAGTTCACTTTCAATTTACTTGCTAAACTAATGCAACAATCGTATGATCCATAGATAACGTTAGGTTTAGAAGCTTCAATGTTTATTTCAACGTCTTCTCCCACAGCTCTTTAAAGGAAAAGAAATCAGCAAGAAAACTGAAACCGCCGGATGAAGTAGCCAGAAGCTGAGATCCAGGTGGAAAACTCCAATGAAGACAGAAAATTCCCCATACGGATGCTGAAAATAACCGTTTCCTCCAGGGCAAAAATTCAGCCGAGTCCAACAGTTCCTCATTTCGCGGCACCTGAATAGGCCCCAGGCTGTTTCGAATCATGATCTCCCTCCCGAGTTTGAACAGCTCCAACGCAAAGTGCAGTACCAGGGCCCGCGCGCCCCAAACAAAGCACTTATTGACCATTTTGTCGGTCATGGTCCATCTTTGGGGTAACAGACGTTTTGAGGCAAGAAATGCGTAGTTTTCGAGAGATTGGTATGTTGTGATGGTAAGAAGCTATGCGAAATCAATTCGACTCGTTTTAAAATGCATATTTTGGTTGAGTATGTTGATTATGCTAAGCAGCCGTAACGTATAACGCGTTTCGCTAAAAATCGAAGACAGCGACAGGAGACTGGCAAGAATGCGTTCGAGGTCATCGGTTGTCTGTGATCGGAGATCCGGGGGTTTCATGCATTTAAGCGCCTTGGTTCTGGTGTATATCAACTGTCGAATACGATTGCGGACGAAAAGAAGATGATGGAGTGCATGTGGGAGGTATTCGAGAGTTGCTAACACACAATCCTGTCCTGCAGATGTTTCCAAAAGTCTACAAGAATATTCATCAAGACATCAAAACTCCTAGAATCATAACTTGCCTCCCCAGTCGTCGAATGATATTGCTGATTCTCTGTACAGTCTCGAAGCCCTTTTGTCCCAGAAAGTGTGCACAGCGGGTGTGGATCAAACTTTTTTCCAAAGGAGAGGCTTCGCTCGAGTTGTTCGATTCCGTTGAAGACTTGTCTGTCGGGGATGTCTCATCCAGAGACTCCTGATCTGTACCGAGGGTATTCTGGTCTTGCATATTTGGAATGAACTTGACTTGACTCAACCTGCACTCTGGGATGATATGGTACTGAGATCTTTCAGCGACAGGTTTTCCTGTGGGCTTCAAGCTCTAGAGTCAACCCCATCGCAAGTGGCAATTCTGGTGATCAACCTGTCCCCGGTCCACATGACCTACTCACTATCACTGGAAGCGATGTACTCATCATACTGTACTAGCCCTGACTCTGGGAACTTGAATCAGGGATATCACCTATATCGTTCCTTCCCCTACTACTGTCCCGGTGGCGTTGTTAGTTTCGGCTCGAAGAACTTCCTGAAAGGGTATATATTTCAACTGAGCCACCAAACCTAGGGCTATGCAGTCGGGCTCTATAATGCGCGGAGGGATCATCCGGACCCCTTGCGAAGTGGACTTGAGGGGTTGGTGCGGGAATTGCAGAGAGATACCGAGAGATACTACACCTGGGCAATCAGCCAAGGTTGTAAATACGTGAACGGATACCAACCCGAAAAATACACTGTGTTTTCTTTGGGTCTCGCTAGTTTGGAGCCACTCCAGGACTCAGCTCGCGAGGTTTTGGTTATTATCGTACTCAATCATTCGCCAGATAAACTTTTGTGTTGTTTCATTCCACCCCCGGGCAGTTTGTGCTGTCAGCCACAAGTGAAGACTTCATGATTCAGCTGACCTAATCTCAAGACTATGCTTCCTACAGTCAATATCAATATTCAATTTCGCCCTCGAAACATTGGCCAACTACTGCGACATAATGAGTATTCCCTTCCGGTCCAGAATCTAAACTGACAAAAGATCCAATGAAATCTACTCTGTCAAAGGTTTGAACGAATCAGCAGGAAATCGCATACAAAGGGCGCTAGGGATGAAACATTCATGGAAACATACCAAGTCCGTGTGGTATTCCAATGGCTAGCTCGTTATCCCCCGCGCGAACCCGGAGCCTTCGCATGTTGAGTGCGGGGTGGTTGCCATGTAAAATACTCCCGACGTCGTATAGATAGTCAAAAGCACTGGGGTTAATCGATGATTGGTCACTATGGGATCTGCCTTTTTCGGGCTTATGGATTGATATAAACGGATTCTCCATTTTGGTTGTTGAAGCAAGGTATTTAGCCATCAGCAATGCCTCTTGATCTCCTGAATCATTTCCATCAGACCAAGAATTGAATAATTATACTTCCATGGATTCCAAATTATCTCCAGAGCTAGGCGAGATTCCTGGTAAGACCAAAGCTCAGCATTATCCATCGAGTATTGAGGCTGGAGTTTGTGAGAATGTTTTGAAATGTGACGAAGACGATGCCGTCCTTCGAGCAAATGGTCACGAGGCCGCAATGCCTCATCAATTTACCTGGCTTTCTGCACTTGGGCTTTCTTTCTCAATCATCAACTCTTGGATTGGATACCTGGTATGTCCGATCAGACAGTGTCGTCAGGTCGAGGTTGGCCTTATCCTAATCTTTTTTTCGATGAGCAGAGCTGCTTTGGCCAGAACCTGATTTACGGAGGTGCGCAAACCTGCATCTTCAGTTTGGTTGTTGCCTTTTTAACCCAAGGTATTGTCACCCTGGGGCTAGCAGAATTAGCCTCTGCCTATCCAGTGAGTGTGTGAATACTTTGGGTGATGGTATACTCGCTTACGGATAATCAGCCAAGCGGCGGGCAATATCACTTTTGTTTTATTCTAAGTCCACCAGGCTCCAGGCGATATGCTGCTTATATCGTTGGCTGGATCACAATGTTAGCCTGGTGGATTGTGACGTGTGTTCTCCAGCCCAGATACTACATTTGGCAGAAAACTAGAAGCTGATATTGACGCAGTTGCTCCGGGATATCCCTTTCGGCTGTGGTTTTGAATGGAATTGTCAATTTCTGGCATCAAGAATATATCGGAAACCAATGGGAAACATACTTGATCTACCTTGCGGTATCAGTGGTGACCAGTGAGTCTCCCAACAGGCACTCTGGAAAAATGAGGACTCTCCCATTGACTTTGCCTTCACTTTGCAGTCCTTCCCGTCTTTTACTCTTCGAAGGTTTTCGCCGTCTCGCAGGCATCCCTATATCTCAGTCTCACTGGATATCTAATCTTGTTTATCGTCGCGCTTGTGATGCATAAGCACCGCCAGCCTGCGGAATTCCTCATACGGTCTGGTCTTGGAGTGAGCGGGTGGTCGGATGGTACTGGCTGGTTGCTCAGCATCAGTAACGCTATGTATGCTTATGGAGGTGTTGCTGGAGGTAAGTATTCCAGGACATCATTCTCTTAACCGCGGTCTAACTTATGCCAACAGTCGTGCATATCTCGGAAGAGATGCCTAAACCAAGGAAGCGTATCCCTCAAGTCATGCTTCTGACCATGTTCATCGGTCTTGCCACCGCACTCTCGCTCTTCGTCGTTCTTATGCTGTTTGTTGTTGACATGGATGCTGTACGGACATCACCACTCCCTAGTCTGGAACTTATCTATCAAGTGTGAGTGCTCTGACGGAGACCGAATCTTGATAAAAGGCTGATATATATTTTGGCAGTACTGGCAATCGCGAGGTGACGCTTGCAATTTTTATTTCATTGTTGATCATCTACTGCGGTACGTCGAAAGCTTCACCGGAGCCAATTTTCCTTTTTCTAACCATGCACCAGCTGGTTTACCGGCTCAATGGGTCACCTCAGGACGGATCGCCTGGGCATTAGCGAGAGATGTAAGTTTCTAGTCAGTAATTTCCTATGCAACATGTCAAAAGCTGACCAACAACCAGCACGGTGTGCCCTTCGGTGAATTCTTCTCCAAAATCCATCCCAAATTTCAATTTCCCGTCAACGCAACCATTTTACATGGATATATGGCCTTCTATACCTTGCATCAACAACAGCATTCAATTCAATTGTCACTTCGGCAGTACTGTTCTTGAATATCTCTTACACGGTACCCCAAGGCATATTGCTTGCTCGAGGTCGCAAATCTCTACCGGATCGATATCTGAAGCTCGGCTGGCTGGGATACTTTTGCAACATCTTCTCAGTGCTGTGGATTATCTTTCTTGGTGTCCTGATTTGTATGCCGCCAAACCTCCCTGTATCGCTGGGATCAATGAACTATACTCCTGTGATACTGGTTGGTATATTCGCAATCATCAATCTGATTTGGATCGTTTCCGGTAGGAAGAAGTTCGAAGGCCCACAAATTGACTGGAATGCCATGCTCAACATCGAGAATTAAGAATCGAGATCTGGATATTAATGACATCAAAGTCTCTTTCGATAGAAATCGTCATGTGTGGAAAAACTATCAAGTCCAGTGAGAGTTTGAGACACTGCACCGGCAGCATGCCAGTGAAACAAATGATCTCAAGCTCCAGTCAATTGAAACGATAGTGGAAAATGTTTTCAGTCGTAGAAAATAAGTGTCCCCTTGGGCATAATGCTTCTCCCCTGGTGTTTGAATTGTGTTATAGAAGTTAAACTTCATTTCCAACTTGATCCTTAGCTAGGTCTCATTAAAAGCACAAAGTTAGGAACTTCTCGCATCTTTGAATGAATGCGAGACTTTGAAGTCATTCCCTTCTTACAAAATCTCGAGGACGTATCAGTCCGCTGTGCAGAGTCGATGATCCAAAATACAAGATTGAAGATTGAAATGGTCTGAGTTCGTTCAAAGTACAACGAGACACGTGAGTCTCGCCCAAAATCAAGGGGTTATTTTATAAACTAGATGCGGGTCACCAGACAACATCTTTCCTTTCTCTTCGTCTTCGTCTTCGCCTGTGCCCTACTGCTCAAAATTCCTACCATTGACCCAGATCGCTGAGCTCCGCCTCGTGCAAATTCTGGCAGACACAATGGCATTGTCCACCATTCCCGGTTACTGAACTACATATTTTTTGTGAATTTCGGAACTTGGTAATTGAAAAGTAATTGCTCTTCAATTATTGCTCAATTATGCGGAGCACAAACTAAGTTTTCTGTTATCAGTATTCTCAACCCAAGAAACTTGCGCTCAGATATATTTATCCCCCCAATTGACAACAATCAACCCATTGGTGGCATTCCTTTTTCTTTCTAGGTATGGCTTTTTTCACCGATCAAACACCTTCCCAGGGTTCCTATAAAAACAAATGAATGGTTAGTTGTCACTCTGAGCGGGGATGAATAGCCGGGATCTCGAGATAGAGAACATACAGAATCCAATGGGGATCAAAGGTTCCCTTCAAAGTTTTCTATTCATGAATCGCCTCGTTAGCATGGATGTCATAGCTTTAGCCCCGACCCAAAGCAATACAGTGGACGTGCAGGGTTGATGGTACATCTTTCAGGAAACAACGTACCATGAATAGGAGAGTGTCATCGCCAACTTCGCGTATAAGGGCTTCCTTTTTACCGAAGCCAATACCGTGCTCGCCAGTGCAGGTACCTTCCATCTCGAGAGCTCGATTGACCATGTTTTTCACCGCAGTCTTGGCCTTCTCAAATTCGCCAGGTTTGGTGCTGTCGTATGTGATATTCTCGTGGAAGTTTCCGTCCCCGACGTGGCCCTTTACGCACGCCTTCAGTCCCAAAGACGCTGCTTCCTCCTTGCTTGCAACTATAATATCGGCCAGTCGACTTAAGGGGACAGCAACATCGGTATTCCCTGAAAAGATCACGATCCGAATTAGACGACGAGAAAAAGAACAATGGCGACAGGAACTCCAATAAACTTACACATCTCTTCACCCTCCTCGCGAAGGGCCAAAAGGGAGTATAATGACTCCTTTCGCGCGGACCAGAGAAGTTGCTGTTCTTGCTCGTCACGAGCAAACTCAAAATCCTCGGAACCGTGAGACTCGGTGATCTGCTTGACTTTCTGGATCGTCTCTTCCAACATCAATTGAGAACCGGCAAACTTCAGGAAGAGAGTCGGCTTTTCTTTCCAGACGCGCGGACGGGTCATACCGCCCTGGTTCACGATGCGCATTTGAGTCTCGTCCATCAGCTCGAGAGCTGCAACGGAAACTCCTTTCCGAATAACATTCGTCGCTGCCGAGACAGCTTCATGGATTGTGTTGAACGGGACGACAGCAACGGAGTAGTTTTCCGGTAGAACAGCCAGTTTGAGTGTTGCTTCAGTGACGATTCCCAGGGTACCCTCGGATCCCACAAACATTCCGTTGAGGTTATACCCGGCACTGCACTTCCGTGGTCGTTGGCGAGTCTTGATCACACTACCATCAGCAAGGACAACAGTCAAGTTAATGACCCAGTCACGCATAGTACCGTAGTGAACGGCATTAGTTCCCGAGCAATTGGTGCTGATCATACCGCCGATCTTTGCGCTAGGTGCTGTGGTAGAGATATGATTAGCAGGGATCAAAGCAAGCAGCACTACAACAGAGCCACAAACCTGGATCCATAGGAAAGAACAGGCCAGTGTCCATCTGTTTCAGCTTCTGGTTCAAGTCTACCCACTGAACGCTAGGCTGAACTACCACATCCATATCTGTCTCGTTGATCTGTACGATTTGGTCCATGTAGACGAAGTCCATACTAACACCACCAAATGGTGCCGCCGTATGTCCTTCCAAACTGCTCCCACCGCTATACGGAATTATGGGAACTTTCCACTTGTGGCAGATTTGAGCCATCTTACTGACTTGCTCTGTGTTGCGTGGATAAGCGACAGCAACAGGCAACGTATCCAATCGGACTGAAGACCACTCAGAGAATCCGTGCATCTTGAGGTCCTCATCATCGGTTGAGATAATGTCTTCGGTATCGCGGAGCTCGTGTTCGATTTCGGCTATGGCCTATTTTCAGGAGCTTTGTTAGTTTTCCACGTCGAAAAAAAAAAAAAAAAAAAAAAAAAAAAGAACAAAATAAGGTCGCTGAAATGAAAAGGAGACGAGAGTCACAGTAAGCCCTATCGCAAACTGACCTTCTTCATGTCATCTAGACTCGCATATGTTACACGCGGTAGATGCTGCTCATCCAGAATGGTAGCGACCGAGGTAGTCGATTCATTGGAATCGACTGACATTGATTGAGAGATGCCATAGCCAGCTAGGCCAGCGCCGACAGCAATCAATGCACTAGAGGCCTTCCAGATACCCGGATTTGAGCTATTGGCCGGCGCACTTTCATGCGCAAAGTGGCGAGCATTGTTGCTAGGATATTGCGACTTGGGAAGAGATGAAGGCTGTCGCAATCCCTTGCGAAGCTGGTTTGCGTGGGTTCTGAAGCACCTCATTCTGTGAACGATGTTCCTTCCACCGGAAGTTGCCATGTTATTTGAACCCCATCTATAAATGTGGCTTTGTGGATATCTGTAGGAAATATACAAGAAAGTTCACGAACGAGTGGGATCCATGGATGACGAGGGAAGTGGATCTGGTACCCATGACTAGCTGATACTTACGAGTAAGCGGTCCCTACTCGGCATCCCCTTCGGGGGTCCTTCCCTAACGGCTTTGGGAATGCTCGGGAAGGTGTCAGCGAGATAACGTTGGCTCATGTGGAATTCCTATGTACGAGGTAGATCACATCAACTCTGAAAAATTGGGCGAATGCGACGGAAGAAGAGAGAGATAAAATCCTATTAGTACATCGAATGAGGCTAAATCATTGCACATGAACCTATCAACATAATGGGTGTCCTGGCCAGCCAAATTACAACAATGGAATCCCTTTCACGTCAACATGAGACATTCGTCTCCTTGTTTTACAACCTCACGCCAACCTGAAGTCCGTTCCCGGTAGTTTGCAGGTCCCCGTCTCCAAACTTCATGAACGACTTTGATACCGGTTCTAGTCGCTTCGATTCCATAAACTTCAACTCTTGCATACCACTGGCGGAAGCGTTCCTGGTGTTTGTGATCAAAGGCCTCTACGGCTCCCATAAATGCAGGCCACAAAAGCGGAGCAGCGAGGACCTTCGTTTCCGCTTTGAGCTGTTCAATGGCTTCGATACTGTCCAAGATTTTGTCAACGTATTGTCGTAAGTAGCGATGGCTCATGAATCTGACACCCTGTGAAAAATAAATAATAAGGGCATTAAGAAAGGCTCTGGTTTGATGGTAAATAATTGTTACGCTGGTTCTGTTTCTGGAACCTTGGTTTGCGTCGAGAGGATCTTTGAGGGGCCAATCCATGATCTTCTGTTCAATCTCGTCGCAAATTTGAGCCAGATGATCCGGAATAAACAGGATATCGGTATCGGCGTGGTGGCCTTTGACCTGGTCGATTACTTCGATGGTTTCTTTTAGAAGAATCAGGAGTGACAATGGGATGCCGTAGATACATTCATACGACGACAGTCCCGGCAACGGACCCTCGTCCGTCATCATGCTTTCCGCCAAGGGTAGATTGAAGGCGGGCGAATTCTCGTCTTCTATATAACGAGCGTGATTTGGGGAGACCGCTTCAGGACCAAACGTCTTGGTGCAGCCCAAGGACGGTGAAAACCGCGAGGCTCCACTTGGTGGAGGAGATGAGGCGGTGCTTTCGTATATCACCCGCAAGTAAAGATAGATGCGGTGAAGTGATTTGGCTTTACGGGAGTATGTAGCCTTGCGGTCATTCATGAAGTTGATGAGTCTTTCGGCGCCATCGAGATGAACACTGCACGTACTGGTATCGCCGGACATCACCTGAGAACAGATAAGTCAATACAAGCACACGCAAAGCCAGAAGAGCCAAACAAAGGTAAGAACGTACATTGATTGTAATCATAGACAACATAGTCGCGAGGAACTCCTTATATTTCGGTCTCCTATCGGCGTAGAGATCCGTCTCAACGGCGTATTTAAGTAATCCAATGGCATCGCATCGATATCTTGACGCGACAGTGCCCCAGTTTTTTGCGTCAAGGTCCCGATGGTTGGCTCGGTGTTCATTGGATAGATAGAATGCACTGATCGAGAGCAAGCATTTTCTCAGTGCATCACGAATTCGCGTAGTGGTTGCACCGAAGCTCTGCTCGCCTGCGCACTGCAGCACCCGGGGCAAGTGAATGGTCTTCCAGGGGCTTTTAGCGTTGTCAATCACACAGAACAGATTCACCACTTGGTTGCTATAGTGACTCATCAAGTACCGTTCCTGTGGAGGGATCACTAGACTGTTTGTTACGGTCCCAAGAAGTGGCAGATATTGCTCTGCCTGATTAGTCGGGTCCCCATCGCCGTGGTCGGATGGGATAAACCCTTTCAGGTCATGAGATTCTTCTGGACCAACATCAGGCGGGGTGAGATGAAGACTTGAATCATCTCCTGACGTGATGTAGGCAGCTATGTTGGCGGACTCTAAAGTCTGCTGGCAGGGAGAAAAGGTGACGGCCGTTCCCGTATCAATGGGCCAGGGTGCTTGTGCCTCGGAACATGTGGGCAGATGTCTCGATCCTGCTATCGAGTCACAAGGATGTTCGAACTCGACCTGCTCAGAGGCATTGAGCACGCCAGACGCGGGAGATGGAATATTGCGGTCATTGGTTCGACTGGCCGCCGATTGCTGGTCCAAACTAAAGACACCAAAATTCTTGATGCTGGCACTGATATCTTCTGAGTGGTTGACCCCAGGCTCCAGAGAGTCTAGATAGTCTAGAATGTGATCGATTTGGTTCCACTTTAGAATTGATTGGGGAGGCACTACCAGGCACACGAATTAATTACGTTCGGACTTCAGACCGAAGAAAAAAAAGGGAAGAATCAAAAAAGAGAGAAAAAGAAAAACTGGGGTGACAAGACGTGGACGCAACATACCTGTGGGGAGTAGACGCCTGAGGGACTGGTTGATGGGAGCTCGCAGTGGGTCCTCGGTATCGGGTCTTCGTTCATGAGTAGCGGGAGTAAGCCACTGCAGGCGAGCTGAGTAGCCCTCACAGTGAACCCCTTTGTCAGAGCATTGGTGGCACTCAGGCTTGGCCTCGTCACACTTGATTTTCCGCGCACGACAGGTCCAACACCCCGTGAACGTCTTAGAGCGCTTGCGAGGCGGAGCTGCGGGCGACATAGGATTTGTTAATCCCGGTTCGTTGATTCGTCAGAGCATGGGACATTTGGCTTTCCAGCTGAAGAGGAACTTCGCAATCATGCAACCAAGTAGGGGTGATGAGCCCATGGGGAAGAGTGAAGTGGGCAGGACGGGCATCCGAAAAAAGGGAAGGTCACCGAAGTGTGGAGGCGGTGAGTGGAGTGTCGCCACTGTCACATTTCTCATTTGGGAAACTGACAGCGTCGGCGTGGATTGCTGTGCCAATTGCTCATGTCCACTCCTTCGAGTGTGCCGAATGCTCCAGCATCATCGCATCAAATGATCGCAGATCATCAACCAACTTTGTGAGTCAGCATGGAACTGGACTCCTTTGATCCCGATCAACTACGCCAGAAATCCCTGTGACAAAACGAATACCTTCTTATAAAGATCGCAACTCGTTTGGTCACCCACCCACGTCGAGTCCAGAAACAACGTGGTTGTTTGACGATATATCCCAAGTGAATTATAGAAACTCAAAAAACTCTCCTTGGATTTTATCTGCGAACATTTCAATCTTGAAAAACCAAAACAAAAGAAGAAGAAGATAACGCCGCTTCCACAATGTCCACGACTGCGACAACTACTGCCACCCAGCAGAACGAGGTCTCTGTGACTCCGGTTGCCGCAGTTCCCCCGCCCCAAGCAGGTGCGCAGGCATCGCTGGCCACGGGAGGCTACGAATTTCCCGGCATTCCTCAGATCGATGACCCTTACAAGAAGCGCCAATGGCAACTCGAGCACATGGCCGGTGCTTTCCGTGTCTTTGCTCGCAAGGGCTTCACTGAGGGCACCAGCGGCCATATCAGTGTTCGGGATCCTGTCGACCCGTCGACTTTCTGGATTAACCCGTATGTCCTCCTCGCAACTTGGGGGAAACTCATTCTACAACCCAGGGCCCGCTAACATTTTGGGATCTTCTAGCATGGGAGTGCACTTTGGCATGCTCAAGGCCTCCGATATGGTGCAGATCGATGAAGAGGGCCAGGTCATTGGCGGGAACCGCACGGCCGTCAACGCTGCCGGCTTCATGATTCACAGCGCGATTCACCGCGCGCGACCGGACGTTCATGCAGCGTGCCACACGCACTCGCCGGCTGGCAAGGCCTGGTCCACGTTTGGTCGCCCCCTCGACATCATCAACCAGGACACCTGCAACTTCTGGGGTACCCAAGCTGTCTACAAGGCATTCGGCGGCGTTGTCTTGGGTGCCGAGGAAGGGGTGCGCATCGCTGAGGCGCTGGGGAGCGAGGGTCGTGTGATGGTCCTGCAAAACCACGGACTGCTGACCACCGGTGGCACCGTTGACGAGGCTGCATACCTCTTTACTCTCATGGAGCGTTCCTGTGAGGTCCAGATCATGGTGGAGAGTGCCGGTCTGCCCAAAAATTTCATTGGAGAGACCGAGGCCAAGTACACCGCGAAGGTGAATGCGGATCCGGTATGTTCTTTCCCTCTGTTACGAGATCACCAGTCTTGGAATTCCATATACTGACGACCTCATGTAGGAGACTCTTTACACTGAATTCCAGCCCGACTTCGACTATGAGATTTGGAGGTCCCACGGTGAGTTGAGCAAGGGCGAATAACCGTGGAAATCAAGTCACGGCGACAACGACTCGCCAATAGTGGCTGTATTTAAATGTTGCGTTCAAATGGGTCATGACTATCTCATATAACTTGCGTTCTGATTTTTCTTCCTTCTGACAATGTGATCCCGTCCGACTATTCCAACGTTGTAAGCCCTAGATGCATACTGTGAACTGCCGTGCTAGTAGTAGTACAGTACGAATGCGAGACAACCTCGAGGGCTGCCCTGAAGTGAACTTGAACAATCGCCTATTCAACAATGCTCTAGAAGGCCATTGTAACTCCCGTATCGATTATTGTCCAGCTACTAAAGGTGACCTTTTTTTTTTCTCCGCGTCTTTCATCTGCAGATTTGCCACTCATCAGAACCTTTTTTGTGTACGAGGCAGCGTTGACTATCTAGGAGAATTGCCACTCCAGGACCAACTCCCACCTCGATAGAGATAAAAGAAGAAAGGCAATTGTCAACTTTAGAAGGCCAAGCCCTAGGTAATCTACTGGAACTCCGATTCGGCCCAGTCGTACTCCACATCAAATTGACAAACTCCACTCTAGCTTTGGGTACATCTTCCTGGGGCAAGCGGTAGCGAAACATCTCCCGCTGGTTTTTTTTTTTTTTTTTCTTTTTTTTTCTCTCTCTTTCTTTTTACTTTTGGCTGATAACAGATTGAACCTCTGTGGGGGTTACCGGCCTGGAATTCCATGATCGCCTTTACTGGCTCGCTGAATGGTTGCGCTCAACCCCATTCCGACTAGGCTCATCGGAGGGTCGCCGGTTCTCCGCGTTAGACGTTCAAAAGGTTCTGTGCTTAAGCTCACTTTATCTTCTCGTGTGGCTCAATTGCTCTTTTCCTCTTCGATCTCTTTTCTTATAACTCCCAATTGACCGTATCGGCTTTCGTTGCTCACTTCACAATGGCGAACCGGGGCAAAACTCTTGACCAGCAGGTCTACTGCATCAAGGACCTGGAGCGGTTGGGGTCCGAGAAAATGCTCAAGTCGAATCGCGGTGAGTTGGGAACCTGACCAAGATGCTAGATGATCATCCCTCCCCCCGGGTTCTAACCGATGACTGCTAGAGTATTACAATGAGGGTGCCATGGACCTTCTGACGTAAGTTACTCTTCCTGCCCATTTTGCGCAACTGGTCATCTGAAGAATATACCAGATTGCGAGGGAATGAATCCGCCTACGATCGATACATGATCCGACCCCGGGTTCTCCGCAACCTGGCTACCCTGGACGCCAGCACCAACATCCTGGGGTGCAAGGTGAAGTTTCCCTTCGGGTTCTCTCCCACGGCCATGCAAACCTTGGCGCACCCCGAGGGCGAGGAGGGCACATCCAAGGCATGTGCCAATATGAATACCCTCATGGGTCTATCCAATTACTCGACCAAGGAGCTAGAGAAGGTCATTTCGCACAGCTCCGGCAACCCTTACGTAATGCAGATGAGTCTGCTGAAGAACAAAGATGCCATGATCCGCATGATCAAGCGCGCCGAAGGTGAGGGAGCTCGGTTCACGATTACCGTACTCGTGTCCTAACTGTGATTTCTAGCGGCCGGCTTCAAGGCCCTTTTCGTCACCCTGGACGTACCTTACCTAGGCCGACGCCTGAACGAGTACCGAAACAACTTTGGCGTGCCCAAGGGAATGGAATACCCGAACCTTTTCCCTGGTGTGGATGTAACTAATCTGGAGGATGGTGACGAGTCCATGGCGTACGGTAAGATCAATATCCTAGCTCATTATTACGAAGACGTTTCTGACGCAGCCACCAAACAGACAACGCGATTGAGTGGGCGGACATAATGCCCTTCTTCCGGAAACACACCAAGATGGAGATCTGGGGTAAAGGAGGTATGTGGTGACATCTAATCCCTTGTGATGGTCGAAAGGAAATAATTCTTCAAATCCACGATGGACCTTCACTGACAAGAAAATTCCACAGTCTACACTGCGGCTGATGCAGAACTCGCGATCAAACATGGGTTTGACGGAATCATCGTCTCAAACCACGGAGGTCGCCAACTGGATAGTGTCCCCTCCACCCTTGACGTTCTCCGCGAGGTCGTCCCCGTTGCCAAGGGTAAGATCGCAATTGCTGTTGATGGCGGTATCCGACGTGGTACCGATATCTTCAAGGCATTGGCCCTTGGTGCCGACTTCTGCTTGGCTGGCCGACCCGCCATTTGGGGTCTAGCTGTAAGAATTTCTCCTTTCTCCATTTCTTGGAACCATGTTCCGCATTACTCTTGTTCCTGTCACTAACCCTCCGTTTCTAGTACGACGGCCAACACGGTGTCGAGCTCGCTCTGAACCTTCTTTACGACGAGTTCGTGACATGTATGGGATTGGCTGGGTAAGTGTCCAGAAGAACCCTTTTATATCCAGCAATGGCATTGCTGACCAAAGTTTATCTACAGTTGCAAGAACATTTCGGAGATCACAAAGGAGCATATCTCCCTCCTTCAGCCAGACGGTCGTCTGCTGAAGCTGTAAAGCAGGACTAGAGTTAATCAGATTTAGATTCGGGGATCCATAGATGAAATATCAGACGAGAAAGCTTTAGCAGTTGTGCCAATGTATCACAGACTTGGAGCTCCCTTTCGTTATATTTGGTATTTTCAAGGGCGCTGAATGAATTTTTCCGTTCGTTTACAAGTGTGCATTCAGAAGAAATTTGATTCAAGACATTTATAGATGAGCCTTCAACCCGTTCGTAAAGTTTAATGTCCATCCCTTACCTAGTGAAGTGGGAAGAGCGCGATGGCGGTCTGCCGCGTCGCAGACAGGAGAACAGGGAGGAGTAGCACCTGACTAGGGCGGCGACAGGGTCTGTAGATTACTAGGACGCTATAATAGGAAAGATATGCCCCTCTGTGAGGATGTGTGGGATGCTTGCTTTCCATACTACTTAGTAGCTACATGGTGGGTCAAATAGGGGTGTGGTAGGACTTCACTTGAGCAGGAATAGACATATATATATATATATATATATAGGCGCATGCATTCCCTCTGAAGTCTCAAATATGATAATTCACATCTCCTGGAGTCTGACTTACAACACTAGGTAATGTGAGACATCCACTTAGGTATTCACTTTCACGAATTTATCATAGAAACATTATATTCGAATTGAAATGAATTGAATTGAGCTCCAAGGACATAATTCTTCAATACAACGCCGGTGATTTAAATTGAATGTATAGACCCCGGATATTTTGCGCTGGGTTTCAACCTGAATCTCTATCCATGTCTATAGTCGGGAAGTGACCCCAGTGTTTAGGGCCTTGACAACCTCTGCCGCAGCTCGCTCTCCACTACGGATAGCACCCTCCATATAACCCTTCCACTCTCCGGCAGTCTCGGTACCAGCGAAGTGCAGGTTGCCAGAGTTCTCGCGAAGAGCATCGGGTCCAACAGTATCCAGGACACCGGGGGTCAAGGCTGTGCAGGGGCAGCCCCAGCCGGAGAACTCGTCGTTCACCCACTCATATGTGGTCATCTGGACGAACTCTGAGGCCACATTCTGAACATTGAAGAGCTTTCCGAGCTGCTTCAGCAGAGCCTGCTCCCGCTCCTTGGTGGGCAGAGCCGCCCAGGAGCGACCGGGATCGCCCGACATGAAGCAGGTCAGGACATATTTGCGATCCTCGGGACTGCAGCTGTCTCGGACGACGCTAGCAGGCCCGATGAATGATTGAGCGAGACCGCAGAAGCCACCCTTAATCCAGAAAGGTGAACGGAATTCCATTATGGCCTTCGTGTAGTATCCGTAGGTAGTGGACTCCAAGAAGACCTGCTTAGCGGCGGGAAGCTTGGGGAAAAATGAGATGTTCTTCAGGGCGGGGCTGGGAATGGTGATAATAGCCTTGCGGGCAGAGTAGACAGCACCGCCCGCTTGGATTTGAACAGATCGGTCTGCAAGTTGGGTGATTGAGTGAACTGGTTGGGAGAGTTTCACAATATCCTTCGGAAGCGAGGATGCTAGACCCAGAGAAAGGCCTTGGGTACCCTGGCGAATTCGCAAATACTGGCCACCATGTTTGCGATCAGAGCGCATTTGCAGAAGACCACCGCCGGACTTGCAGTAGTTCAAAAAGTACAAGGCAGAGACATCCTTGGGGTCCTGTCCCAACATCGCACGGGTCCAGACCGTAGCAGTAGCCAGGGCAGTTTCACTAGCTCCCCGAGAGTGAAGGTATGCCTCGAAGGTGAGGCTATCTAAGCTGGTATCCTTGGGTTTCCAGGCGTCAAGAGCCTGGCAGTCGGCCTCACACATATCGCGGATTTCGGCCAAGTGCTTCTGAGTAGCCTGATCGAACTTTTCATCCCGGTATCAAATTGTCAGCCCAAACTCTTTCGAAAGACGAGATTTGTCTCCTTTCTCGTACAATGAGGGAGCTTCAACAAATGCCTTACCTGGGGGAGTTCTCCATAGGCGAAGGGTGTGCATCTTCCATCAAAATCCTCCAAAACAACATTGCCCTGGGTGTTCTGCTCAATAACCTCCAGGTTATAGCGCTTGGTCAGAGCCCAAACCTTGCTCTGGTTGGTGTCGTTGATCCAGGCGGCACCTAGGTCAATCACGCCCTTGCCATCCTGAAGCGGCGTGCTCCAGGTCTTGCCACCCACGCGGTCGCGGGCCTCCAAAACGACGCAGCTGAGGCCGGCACGCAAGACATCGTGAGCAGCAGACAGACCAGCCAGACCGGCACCGATAATGACGACATCGGTGGTCTCGGTGGCTGTTTGGAGAGTTGGGGGGCTTATGGGATCCGGTACGGCAATGACGGCGTCGATCTCGAATAGCCATGCGGGGACGGCCAGTTTAGGGACCGGAATCAAAGTGATTGCAGGGCGATGCCCGCCGAGGAAGCGTTGAATGTGACGGGTGTGTTTGCGATTGCCGGCATCGTAGTCGACAATGAACAGGTTGAGCTTGACAATGTGCTCAATGGCAGAGCCGGCGGCGATAATGAGTTTGCGCAGGTTCAACAGAGCCAGATGAATCTGTGACTCATAGTCGGTCGGGACACCGCCATCCTTGGTGCTTCCTGGCTGACCAGCGATGTGAATCAGCCTGGAGGCGGGGGAAATGGTCGCAGGGGCATAGTATGCGCCAGTGGTGTTGGAAAGGTCAACAGTCTCAACTATCTTAGGCATGATTGATCAGCTTAAACCGAACGAAAAAAGAAAAAGACGGATGAGAGAAAAAGAAGACTGAGCGATGTAGATTGGATGCGGGGAGTATGTGAAAACTACTCGCTATATACTACGAGACCGAGAGCCCTAATTAGTCCGTTATCATCACTTGTGTTATCAGCCCCCAGACGTGTGGGGGTTATCCTCAGAGTATTGGCCCCATGTTGGCCCATGGTCTTCTCCAGTGGGTCTTGGTGCTGCTCTCGCTAGTTCCACTGCAACTTCTACGATCCAATAGCGAATGTTGGATTTCCGGCCCGAGAAGATACGGTATTCATATCTCTGTCACCTTCCTGGTGAGATTTGGGGACCCACTAACGCTGTTACTTGCATCTCGGACAGAACACCGACCTTTTGTGATGATGTCGCCTTCGTGCTTAAAGATGGTTATCAGGAACTGCGTTCTTCTGGGCTCAAGTTTAATTTTATTTCTTAGGGTGTGCATCGCTACATTTAGCTCGCAACAGTTCAATTCATCAGTATGACGGCTTTGAAAGTTCAACTGAAGGATCAGTCCTTGCTGATCGGCCAAAACTACATTGACGGAAAATGGCTTGAGGCCGAGTCTGGCAAGCGTTTCGACGTCATTGGTAAGTCGCAGGATGGTTTCTATCAGAATATCTGTCTCTTTGCACCCATGGATGAATTTGACCTCGTACTATAGACCCGGCTACTGGGGCGATTGTCGGATCCTGCCCCGAATCAAACGCCCAGGATGCGCAAAGGGCGATCGCATCGGCAGCTGCGGCAATGCCCGCATGGCGCTCGCGTTCAGGTCGCAACCGAGGTCGTTTGTTGCGCCGGTGGTATGACTTGATCATGGAGAACCAGGAGGACCTTGCCACCCTGATCACTTTGGAGAACGGAAAAGCGAAGCCCGATGCCGCGGGCGAAGTTCTTTTTGCCGCGAGCTTCCTAGAGTGGTTCTCTGAGGAGGCTGCGCGCGTGTATGGAGATGTCATTCCTCACAGCCAACCGAACTTCCGTGTCTCTGTCTTGAAGGAGCCCATCGGTGTATGCGGTCTGATTACACCGTACGTTTTTCCTGATGGCAAGTCTTAGCTATAGGACCCGCAAAAACTAATCGGGTTGCGTATCACAGATGGAACTTCCCCGCGGCGATGATTACTAGGAAGCTGGGACCGGCACTGGCCGCCGGATGCACAGTCGTCGTCAAGACTGCTGGTGAGACACCACTTACGGCGAATGCTTTGATCAAACTCGGCGAGCGCGCTGGTATCCCGGCTGGTGTCATAAACAGCGTGACTGCCCTCGAAAATACACCTGAGATCGGAATGACTCTCTGCACCTCCGAAGTCGTCCGCAAGATCTCCTTCACTGGATCCACCAGGGTTGGAAAGCTCCTTGCGGAACAATCAAGCACTTCCTTGAAGAAGCTTGGCCTCGAATTGGGCGGTAACGCACCTTTCATTGTTTTCGACGATGCCGATCTTGACCTGGCCGTGGAGGGAACAATTGGTAGCAAGTTCAAGTCTTCGGGACAAACCTGCGTGTGCTCCAACCGCATCTACGTTCAGAAGAGTATTTACCCTGAATTTATGCACCGCTTGAAGGCCAAAGTGAGCAAGTTCCAGCTCGGTAACGGCTTTTCCAATGAGACCACCCACGGTCCTTTGGTGACACCTGCGGCCGCCCAAAGGGTTGCTGGTCTTGTTGAAGATGCTAAAAAGCGTGGTGCGGTGGTAGAGATGGGTGGAAGCCAAAGAACGGATCTGGGTAAGTTCTGCGCGCCATAAACTGTGATTAACAGAGACTGGCAGATGACGCTGGCTGCCTCAAGAAAAATGTCGCAGCTAATAACTCATGCTTCAAATATAGGCCCGAACTTCTTTGAGCCCACTATCCTCACCAACGTCACGGCCGATATGGCACTGGCTAAGGAGGAGATCTTCGGCCCTGTCGCACCTATTTTCACATTTGATACCGAAGATGAGGTCGTTGCAACCTCCAACGCATGCGACGTGGGACTGGCATCATACATCTTCACCAAGGATGTAACTCGCGCCAACCGTGTTTCAGAGCTCCTGCAATTCGGTATGGTGGCCATCAACACGGGTGTCGTTTCTGATGCTGCTGCTCCGTGAGTCAACCCCACATCTACGCTTTATAGTCGAAATAATATGAGCTAATTGAAAAACAGTTTCGGTGGTATCAAGCATTCCGGCATGGGTCGTGAGGGAAGCAAATATGGTATTGAGGATTATCTTCAAACTAAGACTGTCGTCACTGGAAACGTACATGTGGTACACAAAGCTTCTCTTTAAATATTAAATTCATACTTCTTTCGCGCATTACAGTGACGAATACTGTCCAGCAATTCATTGAATGTTAAGACAAAGACCTGAAGCCTGCTATTCTCAAACCATCACCCATTAACAATAAATAAGGATACATGATCTTGAAATGGAGGAATGGAACTCATGATATGCAAAATGTCTACAGGTCAACGCAATATTGAAGTACCAGTATTTAGATAAACCACAGACGTAGTTATCAAGAGACATCCCACTGGGGCTACACTTGTCTAAGAACGGGGAAAGTTCGGCTCTGTAGTCCTACATGACCAGGATCACTCCTTCTTTTTATTTTTCTTTCCCTTCCCGCCCGTTGTTGTTGTTGTTTTTCCGCTATGGCGATTTACCAAGAATCCTGGCCACCAAGGAGAAAATTAATGTCCCCAAGATTCATCTCCACGGGGGGATTATTTCCCGAGTTTGACTAGCCACGCCGCTGGGGTAGTTCGTGTTCGGCTCCGGAGTACTCCGTACTCCACTAGTACTCCGTTCTCCGTAAGGAGTCTAATATACTCCATAGGCCCGCAATATTACTACCCACGATTCCGATTCGCCAGAATGACAAGTGCCAGGTCACAACTGTTTTTAGTTCCCCAACCATTGTTTTGTCGTACTTTCGAGAGACTGTAAGGCGGACACAGTTTGTCCTGCCATTGGGGTAAACGATGATACCGCGGGTGGGTCATGTTGGGTCAGGAAGGTGATTCTGGAGAAGTAGTGGCGGATTGACAAATTCGGCCCGTGTCCCATGACGTCCAATGGTGTTCCATGGGGTCCATTTGAGTTCTTTGATTGGGAATCGCCGATTATTGCGCTACCACTTGCCTCCCGCGCCGAAAGGGGAATTCGACTGGGTCCATCTTCTTGAGGCTGTTCAACGCCAAGGGAAGCAGAGGCAATGACAAGACTTCAAAGCACGGTTCAATCAATTACCTAATTCCATCACTATGAGTACGAGTAGACTCCGTATTTTCCGCGTCGATAAGAAAGAATGCGGATTCATGTACCCCTGCTCCCCGGCAATGACGCAATTGTAATATCTCGGAGAGCTTCATCGCTCCCATCTACCTCGTACATACAGTGTAGAAGATAACAGGCACTGGAATCTACGCCGTGACCTTCCTCGCGATCTTTATGATGGGTAATGGAGAGCCTCCACCCCCAGGCTCGTACCAAAATCACACGCTAATCAAATTGCACGGGGGACCAAGGTAATAATCTTGATCCAGGATCCCCTATTGTGTTTCTTTTGACTGTGCTTATATACGAGTAATGTCTCAATGTTATCAGAATCTTGGAAGGACTTCATAATTGCAAAATACTTTCAAAATGCCTTCCAAAAGTGACGTTGTTCTCAGCCAGGATGCCCCTGCTCCTAGTCCCCTCATGTCTCAGGGAATCATTTCAAATGGAATGATCTACTGTTCGGGCAGTCTGGGACTGGACCCCAAAACGGGAAAATTCGTCAGCGGCGATGCGTCAGACAGAACAGTGAGTACAATGTGCCCAAAGGCATCACAGACAAAGTGTTAGGCTTCTAATACCCACGCCAAAAAATTAGGTCCAAGCTCTCCGTAATCTCGATGGTGTCCTCAAGGCTGGTGGTAGTGACTTGAGCAAGGTTGTCAAGGTTACAATCTTCATTTCCAGCATGGACCACTACCCCAAGGTTAACGAGGGTTATGCAAAGATTTTCACCAACGATGTCAAGCCGGTAAGGACATTGGATCCCAGGGAAAGATGAAAAGAAAAAGAAAGATTGCATAATATCGTGAGGGATCCCAGCTAAAACCCTTTTGTAGTGCCGCACATGTGTTGGTGTTGCGCAACTTCCTTTGGATGCGGAGGTTGAGATTGAGCTTGTTGCACACCTTTAAAAGGCAAATGTTGGAACTACAGTTCTTTTGATCTATGCATTGGAAAGTCCAGCACTGAAATTTCAAGTTGACCGCGACTCTTGACTACATACAGATACACAATGATGTTTTATGAATACTTCTTCAGATTTATGATGAGAGAATTACATACGAGATATAAAACCCGTTTTACTGATCAATACACCATCAAAGTTTTCTTCGATTACTATAGACAAACTATTGAGAGACCAATTGCTTCCTTTCATCACTCTTCGAGACGTTAGAACCTAGGTATGAAACACTATCTCAAGAGTCATCCTAAAGATGAGAACATGACACGCACTCGCTGCATTAGTTTACGACTATCTCCGTTATCTAAGCCCTTTAGCTTCATTCTCGAATAATCCTTAGTCAATACTTTGTGTGGCAATGATCCCAATCTATCTGCGGTCAGACACCCATGATTTAACCTTCTACAAAGGGTATCTGAATTATATCTCCGCCCTTGAATTGACACACGATAAGGGTGGAAACAAGGTAAGCTATAGCGAAACTTCTTTCATTGGTACGAAGAACTGTGCCTTATCTGGGGTATCGTGGAGCAAGTTTTTCATCCGGCACCGGGCGCCCTTCGACAGTTCCTATCTCGCCCCTGTTTTCTTCATGACCCCAATTCCATTGATAATGATAGGCTGCTTAAGAATCATGGTCCCTATCTTGCATGACCCACTCTCTGCCTATCCCCACGGGGTGTGCGGGCTTGGTATAAGAGACCTAAGACAACTGCGGATTGCTTTTGGCTACTCTCTCTCTCTCTTTCACTACTCGGCTTTGATCTTTTCCTAGCCACTTCAATATGACCGATATGAAATCAAAATTTCCAGATGACCTTGAAGCTCCGAGGCCTATGGAAGAATCACCTTCACAACTTGGGGAAATTATCAAAGACGAAAGTACTCCTCACGATGCTGTTTTTGGCGAGCTCAGTGAAGATGGTCCCAATTATCGTAATGTGAGATCCCTATCCTAATTCATTCTAGAATATCGTGCCTGATTTCTATTCCCTCAAAAGCTCGGATGGCTAGGAACGGTTGCTCTTATGATGAAAACACAAATTGGCTTAGGTGTTCTTTCTATCCCTTTCGTTTTCGATACCCTTGGAATGGTTCCAGGCGTTGTATGCCTTTGCGTTGTATCTCTTATTGCAACCTGGACAAGCTATATGGTCGGTGTCTTCAAGTTAAGGCACCCGGAGGTCTATGGATTTGAAGATGCCGGAGCCTTGATGTTTGGCAGGATTGGGAAAGAGATTTTTGGAATTGGTTTCTGTCTTTGTACGGAGTCATTTCAATTTCTGACCTTCTGACAACTGGAAGCTAACCTTACTATAGATTGGGTCTTCGTCGCTGGATCCGGAATCCTCGGCATTAGTATCAGTCTGAACGCGGTCTCCGATCATGGTACATGCACTGCTGTTTACGTCGCCGTTGCCGCCATTATCGGATTCACCCTTGCCAGCATTCGTACACTTGGAAAGATCAGTTGGATTGCTTGGCTAGGATTGGCATCTATCTTGGGTGCAAGTGGGTAGCCTCCAACTGAAGTTTTGTTTTTTACCTTGTTTCATACTAATGATTCGTTCCAGCTCTTCTTGTAACTGTCGCTGTCGGTATTCAAGAACGACCATCCTCAGCACCGCAAGAAGGCCCCTGGTTCTCGGACTTTCGCATCAGCAACAGCCCGTCATTCGCGAAGGGTGTATCTGCTGTTTCTTCTCTGATCTTTGCTTGCTCCGCGACCCCCGCCTATTTCTCTCTTGCTGCCGAGATGCGCGATCCACGACTCTTCACTCGGTCGCTGGTTGTTGCCCAGATCGGATCGACTGTACTTTACCTCGTAATTGGAATTGTGGTGTACTACTACTGCGGTTCATACGTTGCCTCGCCCGCTCTTGGATCGGCGGGTTTACTCATCAAGAGAGTCTCTTACGGAATTGCTTTGCCTGGACTCATTGCATCCACGACCATTGTTTTACATGTGAGTGAGACGCCATTTTACCTTGGACATTTTTCAGATTTGTTCTAACAGTATCTAGCTTCCAAGCAAATACGTATTCGTTCGAATTTTACGAGGATCAGTTCATCTTACCTCGAACAGCCTAATCCACTGGTGTACCTGGCTTGGCTGTACTTTTGGGTCTACCGTTGTTGCCTATATAATCGCAAGTGGTATTCCCTTCTTCGATAACCTCGTTTCCCTCATTGGGGCTCTTCTGGGGGTTTTCCTGGCCTACCAACCTACCAGTTGCATGTGGTATTACGACAATTGGTGCAAGCGCGATTTCCGTAACTGGAAATGGCTTCTACCGGCAGGTTGGACTCTTGCCATCCTTGTAGTCGGATGCTTCTTGACTGTCGCTGGTACATATGGATCGGCAATTGGTATCGTTGATTCCCTAAAAGGGGACGGTGGCACAAAGCCGTGGACTTGCGCTGATAACTCTTAACTGCTTGAGCGAGGGGTGGCTTTCCGTATCAATAAACCCCTTTTTAGGCTACGACTATTTATGAAATACTGCTTCAGGTTCTGGTCAAAGGAAACACCAGATTCAATGTACAACTCGGCTGTCCTTGGAGGCCCTTCATATTATCTGCGAGCCAAAAGCCTATAGCCAAGGTTGATCCTCCATCTCAGCATTCTGGCGATATAGCTTTCTGTATTTTTTTAACCTGGTCCATCATTTTCACGATCCACAAAACTAATTTCTCTGAACTTGAAATAGCTATTGTGAAATACATGGTATCATCATTATCTTCCGAATCTTCCATCGACGGGTATCAATCCGTCTGTATCTGCAGAGGGTCCACGATGGAGGCGACTGAAGGATCCTACTACAAGAGAAATGGCAGGTGACCTTTTCCTGCCCTTCGCCCCCCATCTTCTCTTCTCAAACCCGCCCAAACCACCCCACAATACACCGATCAGCCTTACTCGTATAACCGTATCTTGATCACCCATAGCACTAGTATTGCCGCTACTCGTAGGGCTGTCTTATTTTATAGCCAGCTCCTAAGCAGCGTTTTTTTCTTGAACTACTTAAGTACATAGTACAGAACGGCCCATATTATAAGCCACTGAGATTGAATAATTCTGCCGCGTGCTGATTTGCCTGTGGAACGACAATCTCTTTAACTATATTCTTGCACGCCCTTATTGAAAAATTCATCCTGATTTTAGCCAGTGGTCGCCAATTTTAGGTGATAGTTTAGATTCGTCATAATGGGCTTCTTCAAGAATTGAATTGGCGGCAATAGCGATTTGGCGACGATTTATCGATGCTGTAACCGTGTCAAAATAATCGATATATTCACATAAAGCCTTCCCTGTGCAGCATTGAGCTTTGTGCCATTAGGTAGTCGTTGAAAACGCGATTTTCCCCCTTTCCATCGGTGACGTAGTCGGTTTACAGGAACCGCGAATTCTCGCGCAGTTCTCGCGATATTAGGTTTAGATTGCTCAGCAAGAGATTCGAGGGCTCTAAAGAGCGGATTCTCTATAACTTTATTATTTTTAAGCATGGTTGGTTAAGGATCAAAGTGAAAAGGTGGGATTTAGAAAACATGTACGGTTTGGATGGCATATACAGCAGGGGTGGCGGACCCTCGCTTGCGAGGGCCCGTAATTTCTGTAAAAAATGTAAGGGCCGGTTAGTGCCAAGTCAGTCACCGCCAGATATGAGATGTTGGAGGAATGATATGTATAAATTACGGTATTAAGTGAACGATACGGTCATCATGGCAAATCTCAGGGCCAAGAGATCTACCACTATCTCATGATGACTACAGAAATTCTTTTTATCTCATAGCCAGATCCTGGGCCTATTTATCTTGGCCGTTTACGGAGGTCGGGATGGGAATACCAGTAGTATCCACTTGAAAACACCGAGACCTACCAACAGTCTACTCGTAAGCTACGAGTAGGAATGGGAGGAAGGTCATGGCGAGAAGTTGAGTCCCCACAGCCTGACCTAATTTTCGGAAGACTTTTGGACCCATTTATGTATAGTCTTGTCGATCATACCCAATCACAATCTTAGTCGGTTGGTAGCCGTGGATCTCCAGCCATCCCGCGAACATTTGTCGCTGTCAGTTTCCCCTTCCTGGAATATGAAATGTCGCTTATCTTTGAAGAGAAGAAGATCATGGAAGCTAATAGGAATAGTTTCAACATCTACATACATACCATGAATCAATTCAAAATATCTCATTTAGGTCCACAAACCACGGCGGGGTTCTGAGTGCGGGGTGTAAGTATTTCTTCATGAAGCATCTGAGAGCGAAATTATGTACCTCGATAGATATGACTAATCCCCGGCATTATCACGTTTGATAAGTTTTCAAACTTCCGACGTCGCCCTAGAAGATTTACTAATGTTTAACTTCACGTCCTGGAATATCCGGAGCGCTTATGAGAGCTCTTGTCTAATATACCAAGGGTTCAAGCCTATATATATTTCGACCCCAGCACCCAGCTGCTCGGGATACCGTTTTCCATTCCGTTTCCAAAATCAATCGCTTTCCACTATGGCAGCCAAGAGCAGAGTTTTGGTGGTCGGTACCGGTGGTATCGGCACGATGTCGGCCTATGCCCTGGAGCAGGGTGGTTTAGCAGAGGTTACCGCTGTCATGCGCTCCAACTATGATGCCGCCACGACGCAAGGAATCGACATTGACTCGGTCCAATGGGGTCAGATCAAGGCCTGGAAGCCAACTGCAAGTACGTCAAGACACTGATACTGTATTACTTTATATTTAATTTCCAGAACTACCAGCTAATTCAAGGGCAGTCACCAAAACCGTCCCCGACGTCACTAAGGGCGACACTGCACCCTTTGACTACATTCTTGTTACCACCAAAAATATCCCTGATGTCTCTCCGACAGTCGCAGATATCATTGCCCCCGCTGTGACACCGGGTAAGACAGCTATTGTCCTTTCCCAGAATGGTATCAACATCGAGAAGCCTCTTGTCGCCCGCTTCCCTTTCAACCCCCTCATTAGCAGCGTTGCCTACACTGGTGCAACCGAAACCGCCCATGCCAAGATTTATAACGACGACCCCGACTGCCAGAAGATCGGTGCTTTCCCCAACCTAGACAACCAGGTTCCTGTGGAAATATCCGTTGAGGCAGCTCAACGCTATGTTAAGATCTATAACCCAGAGGGTAAGCTCGACGTTATCTATGATGCCGACGTCGCCAAGGTTCGCTGGCGCAAGATTGCCTACAATGGCTCAATGAACCCCATTGCTTCGATTCTGGGCATGGATACACCTCGTATGCGCATGAGCAAGCACGTTGTTGATGATTTAATCCTGCCTATCATCCTGGAGGTTCGCGCCATTGCGGCAGCTAGTGGAATCATACTGCAAGATAATCTGGTTGACGCTGTGCTCCACCAAGATCCTATCGACACCGCTTTCAAGCCTAGCATGTGCCAGGACTATGAGAAGGGAAACCTTATGGAGATCGAGAACCTTGTCGGAGAGCCGCTGCGTGAAGCTGAGAGACTCAACGTTCCTGCTCCAACCCTGAAGGTCGTTTATGGTATCGTGAAGGGACTTCAGCTTAAGGTCAAGGAGAACAAGGGTCTCTGGGAGCCAAAGTTCGAGGCTGGGAATCCTTATAAATAGATAAAATGCGCTCTGATCAATGAATTATTCTTTACATAACTTCGGTGGCAGGTCGTACTCTGAAGCTCTATGTATAATTTAGAACCTTGGAAGGCCTATTAATTGACTAATAGCGACGAAAGGGAAAGGGTGGACACTTGCTCAAGGGGGAATCAGGCTCGTTAGTGCTAACTGTGACGACATGACTGGATCAGACGACTGCCGAAAGAGGAAATAGCTACTGGATCAACCAGACAGTTTTTAAGTGGGCTTGGTCGCTTGGGTTATGTAGCTAATCAGTCGGGGCTTACATGTTGAGGCTAGTGCAGATCAGGAATCAAGCCGGGGGGGGGGCGAATACAACGGCTGTCTAACAGCATCCCGCCAGAAACCTATGATTGCTGGCAGAGTCTTTGCGGTCACTAAGATCGATCTATGCAAATATCTGCCATCTTGCATATGATTTTTGATGGGTGGCATTTGCACCGCTGCCACTAGGCTCACCACGACAGTCCCGAGTCGTACTTTGAACCGATTTGATTTCATCCACATGTGTTTATGGAGAAGGCACCGGCTCGGTTTTTGAAAGGGAACTAACTTGGGGTGGTAGTCATGTTGCGCTTCAATTCTCCAGCGTATAGAATATTTTATTTATTGCTCCTGAACCCAGCTTAGAAGATATGGTGCAGTACCTTGGGCGCCGTGGACGCCAAAGCGTGATCAGGCGCTGCATAGAGAACATGTGTGGCAACGCTGCTACGCTGAAGCACGCCCCATTCAGTATGATGTCAACACAAGCTGTATACATCGGTAGCCCTGGAGGTCTTTTCTACCCCTATCAGTTTTTCAAGTAGATTGGACTAATTTGGAACAGCGGGGAAGTTCATGCAGACCGACACGGCCGGGAACTTATCTGGGGGCTACTCAAGTCCAGGCGTTGGTGCAACGATTAGCAAATTTGATCTTGAGAAGGCGAGGAACTGCAGCATTTCTGCACTGCTCTACCCCAGGCAAGGTCCTGCCTTGGTGATCCCCATGGAATATAAAAAGGGGCTAGCAAAAAGACGGGAAGCCTTCCCCTCAGGGCTCAGTTGTACAAGCCTCCATTCGCAGACAGAACAGATCCAGTGACCCATCGCGCTTCTTCGGTGCAAAGGAATGACACAAGCGGGGCGATATCCTTCACCTCGCCGACACGCGCCTCAGCAGGGGTTGACTCGATGATGGGCTTCATATCATCAAGGAACTGCTTGCTGCTTACCCTCCATTGATCTGTAATCCCTCTCATCAATCCTCGCCCAATGGACCTTCCTTAGGGTACAATCAGCTTACCTGTAGCGACAGGTCCCGGGTTGACGCAGTTAACCGTGATATCGTGCTCCTGGCCAAACTCCTTGTTTGCAATATTTGCCTCAGATGCCCACTGTAGATAACCACCCTAGCTAGCTTAGATCTTCTCTCTCCTCTCTAATCCAATTCAACCATCGTTCCAAAGCAGTATCCTGGTCTAGTAACCCTTCCCTACTGAAGAGATTATGAGTCCTTTTGTACATTAGCTGCCAGATCACGCGATTTGAAGCTATTCCCAACCTTCATTCGGTTCAGATCAGACACTGTTTACTTCCGGTCACGGTTCACCGAACTACGCGCAACGCGTTCACTTCACTCCTCCCTTACTTACTTGCTCTCTCTTGCTTGCCCCTCACCTTCTATTACCATACATTGCTATCATATCGTCCAAATCTTTGCTAAAGATCGGTAAACTGGTTTCCAAACTAAAGGATTCCTCGAATTAGAGACTTTAGTATAAGCGAATTGAGAAGTATATACGTACTTAAGACAAGAAGCTCTAGAAGGTATTCACCGATACATTCACTCGCTCTGCAGATATCAATACTACGAAAGAGGATAAGATCGTTGCCGCGATCCTTAAGTTATAAGACGAATATAACAAAAAGTAGGTTATGAAGTCAGCCAACTTTCTTCTGATAGAAAAAGGCGACGGAACGTATCAAAAGATACAGATTAATATCGAAATCCTTCTTAGTATAATCAAGCATACTTAGAAAGAATAAGATAAATATAACTTTATCGCTATTATCTATGTAAAGATAATGGTTACAATAGATATAGTTATTTATATCAAGAAGTATGTTACTGTAAAGAAAGTATACAATCACTTTTAGTAGATATATGGTATTTCTACTTTGGAAGAGGTTGTTTAATACTATACTAAATGAAGCAACTATTGTTACAAAGGCTTTAAATCAAAGGAATTCTTTTAAAAATAATATTAACTACTCTAGAAACTCTATAAGATCTATTCTATAAATAAAAAGTTTAGTTACGGAATGTTTTTTTAGCAAATTCAATTAATAATCTTTAATATAAAGAAGTATAATATATTCCTTAATATATACTAATATAATCTTAAGATATCCTGAAAGAAGAATTTTGAGAAGTTTACTATTGCGTTCTATATATATAAGAATTATTGTTTAGGCTGTAATACTAGTATTCTTATTTAATAGTTTGCGATTAATTCTACTATAATTAATATTAGTGGTGGTAAGAAGAAGAAGAATAATATTAAGAAGGGTTTTAAAGATAAATCTAATAATAAGAAGAAAACTATTATTAATAAAAAGAATAAACTTTATTATAAAAACTATAAATTCTATAATTATACTACAAAAGATTATTAAATAAAGAAAGCAGAGATTGTTTTAATAGCTAAGAATACTAACGCTATATAGTTGAATCTTAATACTTCTAATAAATTCGATAAATAAGATAGAATACTATATCTCTCTACGCTACATATAAATTCTATTATCAAAGATACTTCTAACAATAAAGCATATAATTTTAATATTAAGAATAATAACTATGCCAACTAGAACCTTACTGTTAAATTATTTTCGATCTCTAATACTACTTATAAGAGTATTTTCTTTTCAGTTAAACTTCTATTAATTCCTAAACTTACTTATAAAAATAATAAGGCACTTTATTAAGTTTAAGTTTTCAAACAGAAAACTAAGGTTAAACCTTTAAAAGTAATATTTTCGAATAGAAAGCCTTTTATTATATGTAGGATTAGATTTCCAACAAATAAAGTCCTTTATATATCTAAGACCATAATAAAGGTATATAAGGATGAATGAATATAGATGTTTGATTCAGATTGCTTAACATATATAACTCCGGTTAGGATTTACTTCTTAACTTTTACTCCCTATCGTATACTTATCGTTACTACTATAAATTAGACTTTCTACAATAAAAGATATAATCAAGTTTATATTAATCTAATAAATAAATATACTTATAAAGAGAACGATAATCCTATACATATAGAAGGTATTGCTCTAAAGAAGGTCTTATATACTCTATAGCTAAATAGTAGCTTGCTATCGATCTATAGTCTTATCAAAAAAAATATTATTAGTATCTTCTATTAAAACCACATTCTTCTATACTTCAAATTATTGTAGAATATAAAGAGATATATAAATTAAGAAGAAGGTTAATACTAATTATATATCTATCTGAATATGCAATCATATTTGCAAACGCTCGTTACTTCTATTACTCCGAACACTTATAATACTCCAAAAATGGAAAGTAAAGATAACAATGTGTTATTTGTTCTTTCTACTAGATCTAACAGTAATACAGCTACCATCACAATAAATTTAGCTCATTAATAAGTGATTCACACTAATAAGAATAAGATCCAGAAGACTATCTATAATATCAAAGGATTTACTATTATAAAGGATTCTGCTCTCAGTTGCCTCTACATACTATACATCTTCAATAAAAACCATATTTTACTATTTGAGAAAACGAGGTTCATTCATATAAAATCTAAAAATCTACTTTATTTAAATGTTTAAAGCCCTATCTCCATCATCTTACTAAACAATTATATCTATTATATAACTTTTATTAATAATACTTCTTAATTTTACTAGATATTTTTTATCAAAAAGAGATTAGAAGTTTTTAATTATTATATTGAAGTTAAGTAATTCTTAAAAATACAACTTAATATCATCGTACTATATATCGCCAACAATAATATAAAGGAATTCATTCTACTAAATAAGTATCTAGTCTTAAAAAATACTACTTAAGATCTTATTTCTACATACTCTTCGAGCTTAAATAATATACCAAAGATCTATAACAAGATATTAGTTGAATCGATTATAAGTATTATAACTAAACATCAACTACCTTATTATTTCTAAAACCTTCTCATTCTTACAATTAATTATATACTAAACTAACTATAGTATTCTAAGATCAATTACATTTTATTTAAAAAGCTTTTTAGATATTAATCTAATCTATCAAACCTATATACTCTAAAATATTAATACTAATATTTTATTTCCAAAAAGGAGCGTAAAACAAAGTTGCATTTCTATTCTACTAAGGATTGTTTTATAGGCTACAACAAAAAAAGTTATTAGATATATAATATTAAAACTAAATAAATTATGACTTTATAGAATATAATATTCAATAAAAAACAAACTATACCTTCTATTGTAATTACTAAAGATCAAATTGACGATAGCCCTCTCACACAAAAGATGATTAACTAAGAAGCACCTTGTTTTATACCTACTGAATTCTTTTGTCCACAAATGAATCCCACATTCACTATAGATAATATTAACAAAGCTATTCCTAATAATATACCTAGACTTCCGCACCGACCCCAAAAACCCGGACCCAACCCGGACCCAACCCCAGTTGGGTGGGGTTTTGGGTCCAA